TCCAATGTGAAGGACGGCACACGATTTCCGGTCTGTGAACTTCGTCGCCCTCTCTCCAAACATAAACTCTTTTATATCCTTCAAATGCTTCCTAATTGTCCTGCTAGTGAATGTTTTACCTTTGTTTTCATTAAATTTAGTAGTGATTTCACCGAGTGTTGCAGAGCGATTATTTTTGACACACCTAGCTGTTCATACTCGTTTGATCCCTTTGTGTAAAAGATTTTCTACGTCCACTTCGAGAGCGATTTTCAACTGATCCCGTGGCTTGATATTTCTTGCAGACACTAAAACTGTAGACCATGATAAATCCAATAACTGTGCAATATGGGCATTTTTTGTTTTATATTCCATAATTTTATAACATTTTTTAATTCTGCGGATTTGCGACCCATTTTACCGATAGGAATTTCGAAGGGGGAGAAAGCTAGCAGACGACAATATAAAGACGTGTCACACGACGCTCATGTGATAAGCTTGTTATTTATAGAAAACAAGTATTTGCTTCCGGTAGTTATTGCGTGCAGCGCGATGCTTTTAGTACGCGAAAACTCGGCATTGACGTCGCCATTATCAAAATCACGAATACTTTTTGCCAATGACTATGTTGAAAACAAATATGTTCTAAGTTTGTTATATCATTCAGTATGAACGCGTAATAATGGGCAAACTGAATGAAAGCTATGAAATTCATAAACTGAGAGCTTTTGACTGTTTATCGTTTATATAAACATAAATGGCAGATGCATTCAACACTTTTCCAATGTAACGTCAAGATTTTGGATGTAGGGACTTGCAAGTGTTATTTATACCGATGTCAGTTTCTGCTTGGGAATTAAGATGGTGTGTCAAAATGTGACAAATAGATCTACCAAATGATGTTTGTACGTGTTCTGCTCTATACGCCTTCAACATCAATCTATCAAAACTGTATCTTCGCGTTTTAGCAGAGGTATCGTGAATTCTGTTGTAGTTGACCGGGGAAGCAAGCAGTGTAATTATACATGTAGCTACATAAATTACAAGTAGATGCGTTCCATGGCTAATGAAAAACTTAGTTTGTGATATCATTATTGTATGACCTCACAGTGAGACGACATGGTACAAATGACTGACCCCTCCAATACTCGGGGTTTGCCAAGATAGACCACGGTTGGTGGCCAGGTTGTTGAGTGACAGGTGTAGGCGAAGGTTTGAACTCAAAGGGAAACATGACCTTAGACTCACTCTCACTTTCTCACTCTATCTCCTGAAAAAATAGTCATTAATTCATGTATATGCATACATTTAATCTAAATTTAAAGATTATTAGGAGAGTTAATATGACTCCCTTGCAATAAAACTGACAACTGGTCAATATTAGTTCTCACCCACACCTAAGTAGTGAAGAGTGAGCTGGGGTTTAACACCGCTTTCAACAGTATTGTGGTCATATCATGGCGGCCAGTGTTGGGCAGGAGGAAAACCTGCAATACCATGGTGGTTATGTGTTGAAGTGAAACCCGCGAGCATCGGCTGGTACTGGCGAACCAGGGGTGATGCTGCACTGCGTCGCATTACAGCATTGCATACTATCGCCACTGTGTGTAGAACTGTTCTTCCTTGCAGAGAAGATACCGACCCCCATATCACTCCCCAAGTAGCGAAGAATGAGTGCAGGAGGTATATGCAACGTTTAATTATGGATAATTTTTCAGCGCAGAATTGTAATGAGTGAGTGAGTATGGTTTTACGCCGCTTTTAGCAATATTCCAGCAATGTCACGGCGGGGGACACCAGAAATGGGTTTCACACATTGTACCCATGTCGGGAATCGAACCCGGGTTTTCGGCGTGACTAGCGAACGCTTTAACCACTGGGCTTCCCGACCGCCCCCGCGCAGAATTGTAAGATGACTACATGTTAGTGTTGAAGTTTGATGGCCGTCATGATGAGAGATCACAGTTTTTATTTTAGATTATTATTCAACGTTGAATTAAGACCTTAAAGGCACCATAAGCGTTGGAAAATATGCTGTTTCACTTTTCAACTATAAGGGTCATTATTCAACTGTTTGGGTTCATTTCTCAACGCTGAAAACAGAATCATTTCTTTTCTCAATGTCAGGTAGAATTCAACGTTACACCAGAACAAATGTCAGTGTGATAGGAACCAAAACTTGATGCAATATGCACCTCCAAAGGAACATATGTTGGTAGTAAAAGTTCCGATTCCGACCATTCCTTCTTTTAGCCCCTTAGGGTTCAGTCACACATTCAGGATTTTTACTGCCGTCCTGGATAGGACCATTTCTGATTAAAATTTGTCAAAAGTTTGATCAAGATCCTGTTATTTGTGGCGGGATAATCACAAATTTGTAAAAACATTTATTTAACCACGACAACAATCAGATATTGTTCAGGAAGGGTCCCGATTCAGCCGTTTCCAGCCAAATCGACCCAATTCTCCCGTTCTCAATCCAAATCTGATCTTATTTGTGTCTTCGGCATGGTAAAAATGACCGAATCTGTCTCGACAGCGTCCCGATTCTCCCGAATGCGATCAGACAGAGATCAGACAGTGAACCGACAAAGACGGTTCGCATTCGGCAAGATCTGGATGCAATCTGGACTCAATTGACAAGAAACGGCAATGAACAATTTCTCCAAACCATGCCAGTTCATCACAACAGTGTCCTGATCCACAGGACACCATCCAGAGAGAGAGACCATAAACCGGTATATGGTCTCTGGTCCAGACAACACAGGATATTGTTACGATTTTGATCCGATTCAAAGGAACCTGTCATGACATAGTCACGATTGTAATCCGACTAGACAAAATCGGCTGAATTTCCCGAATGTTACGGGACGCACCATACTGTCGGGGGTGCTAGGCCGACCTCTCTGGACCTTCCCGATCCGTAGGACTCTGTTACGAACGTATACGACTGCGTTTAGACAATGATAGGACATTCCAGATCATTGAGGATAGTAATCCAACTTTTTTGTCGTAGCGCGGTCTGATCTCAAACAGGAGCCACAATCGGTACCGTGTGAACGCAGCCTAATGCCGAGCGACAGGCAAGTTTACATGAAGTACAATTTTTTAATGTTTTTTGGTATGACGCATCCTGAGATCGAACCGTGGCCCTTTCGCTGTCCACGTGGACGCTCTACCACTAGACCACGTCCTTACACATGGGCAAATGGGCCATCTATCTTTGAAGTGTACCAAACAAGGGTCATAGTTGGTGACAAACACATACAAATTATTACTAAAGTTCAAGATTAATCACTTATATTCTTGACTAGTTAAAAATAATGTTTATGTTTTAAAAGAGGAATTCCTGAATAACCGTTCAAAGATATACTATATGTAATTATATCACAACCTATTGCATATTTGCAGTGCTTTGACTCAGCTTAGTCGTTTCTTAGAAATCAACATGAGTGAGTGAGTGAATGAGTTGGGTTTAACGCCGCTTTTAACATTATTCCAGTTATATCACAGTGTGTCAGCTTAATGTGGGAGGAAAGTCCGAAGTGATGCAGGTCTCAGACGTTTACCACTTCGGTGAAACCAGCGAGCACGGGTATGGTGCTGACAAACCTAGAAAGATAATCGGGGCGAACTGGGATTCGAAACACACAATCATAGGTTTCTGGCGTGCCCAAGGGACGCAACTCTGCACAGCGAACCGCGGCGCTGGGCCACCCAAGCCCCCTAGAAATCAACATGACATCTCCATAGTAAGTGACAGGATATAGAAAGTAACCAAAAACGCTTAACGAATTCAGTTATCAAAGTAACTTTTTAAACCATAGTAATTGAGTTATTTTGGAGTACTTCTGTACCAGTTGGTTTGAAATAGCATGCCAGCAACAGTAATACCCTTTCATAATGACTATATATGTCTCCACCACAGACTTCAACATGGCTGAACATGACCTGCTTCCATTACTTTTCACTGTCCATGGCTGCCAAAATAATTAATGGTGACAGTGCATTGAACCCAGACTTCAACTAAACCCAGATCTGTAATAATATTCACCATTAAGATGACTTACTGGTGGAAACGAGCCTGCTGGCACAACATCATTGCCAACAAAACCACCATGCAGTATGGCTGAATACCACTGTTTTTAGCTGAAGAGAGGTCGGCATCGTATGACAAGAGACTGAGTGACAGCTCATTTATTTCCGATGATTGTGTCGCCCTTACACTTTCTTATCTCAGTGCCTGGTGATTAAACCCTGGTCACGTGACTGGCTATATATGCCTTGGTCCAAATGGAGTTACAAGACATGAGACAGACTTACCAGTCTAGATTATCTGCCGAAACAGATTCCTTTCGGTGCAAAGGGCAAAATAGCTATGGTATCAATGCAAAACTCTGATCCATCCTTCTGTATCGCTGTTGTCTCTTCAACCGTTTAAGCATGTTATCTATTTCCTATGCATAATAATATTAATTATGTTATGCATATGCATCATGTATCAGGATACTTAGGTTGAATATTGGTAGATTGGATTTATTTTAAGAAAAAGGAACACTGAACTAAACTGAACATCTAGAATCTTTAATCAGCAATTAAAAGGTTTTGTTAAAAAAGCACACAGAAATAGCTATTACAAGAATAACAAAATGCAATAATCACTAAAATTAAATAATAAGGAAACATTTAGAAAGCTATCAAGAACATCATTACAGGATTACACATCTATGATAATAGTGAGTGAGTGAGTTGGGTTTAACACCGCTTCTAACAGTATTCCAGTTATATCACTGCGTGTCAGCTTAATGTGGGAGGAAAGCCCGAAGTGATGCAGGTCTCAGATGATTACCACTTCGGTGAAACCCACGAGCACGGGTTTGGCGCTGAGAAACCTAGAAACACAATCGGGGCAAACCAGTATTCGAACCCACAATCATAGGTTTCCTGCGTGCCAAAGGGACGCAGTTCTGCACAGCGAATCGCAGCGCCTTAGACGACTGGGCCATCCGTGGCCCCTATGATAATAAGCTATTTGTGAAGAAAAAATACCATATAATGTCAAGTAACTACATATTCACATTTGTGAAAGTAAACTCAATGTAAAGACTAAACTGTGATGGATAATATTTCACAAATACAACATAAATAGACTTGAAAAGATATGAATTAATAGAATACATTCTCACAGTGAGCCTAAAACTTACCTTCATTTAATACAAAGTAAGTACTGTAAATCTTGAAATTGATGCGAGCATAAAATAAAATGCGAAAAATGCATTTTTAAACATTGCATTTATATCAACAATAAGACATTTTGGATAGCAAAAATACCAACTTAGACATATGCAAGTCCAGACAGACGCCACCCTTTGTTCTTTGCGACTGCGTCAAAGGCCAACATGAGCCAGCGCGCATGTATTGTTTTTTTTCGGAAGTACTTTACTCAGCGCTAATAAGCGGTGCTATTTGGTGTGTGATTGGATTAGCACAACCAACTAAAATCACCCAATCCTACCGACTCACTCCCAAACAACCAATCCATATTCACAGCCGAACTAATGGGCATGGCCTCAGCCCTACACAATCAGCAATCTAAAAAAAATCCAAAAAAATCCTTATTCTAACCGACTCCCTCAGTGGAATGCAAGCCCTCAAAAATAAAAACACAAAAAACACCCCAAACCAATAAACCAAATACTCAAAAGCTCAAACAACTTAACTATGGCAGGCAAACAAATAGAATTCATTTGGATCCCCGCCCACGTAGGAATCTTTGGCAATGAAAACACCGATAAAGCAGCCAAATTATCCCTTAAATTCCCAGAAATAAGCTTAAACCTACCTATCTCAAAATCAGAAATTAAAAGTGTCACTAAACAAAAAATCACCAAAAAATTGGCAAAATATATACCTAAACTCAAATACCCCGGTAGCCAAATCAGAAAAGTTCTTAAAAAAAACCTAACTAAACCAAAAATACTACACCCATCCAAAAAATTCGATAGAATAATCACTAAACTACAAACAGGCCACACCAAACTAAATAACCACCTTAAAATAGCTAAACTACACGCAACAGGAACCTGCCCACACTGCAAACAACAAGAAACACCAAAACAGGTACTCATTCACTGCACACACTACCAAACACACCGAACCACACTACAAACCACCCTAAATCTTAAAACTGCATTTACTCTAGAATCAATCCTAAATCCACAAAATAAATTAGAAAAATTCAAAGCCTAAGGCATATACTTAATTAAAACAGGACTAATTAGTCGTATTTAAACCCCAAATAAACTAATAAAACCAAAATCACATAAACTATCGGTAACAAACCACCCACCACACACAGCTCCCTTAGTTCGCCCCCTACCCCCTCTTGGCATTCATTCCAAATCTCAAAATTACAATATAAGCAACCCTTAAACCCACCACTTCCTTTTCCCCCTTTCGGAAACACATGAAATGGCCTGGCGGGCCCGTGTGCGACATACGCTTGCAGTCAGAAAGCGCACGTAAAATCTCCAATATAAGTAAGTAATATAGCTCTGATACATCTCTTTTTTTTATTTCAAATGTGATTGTAAATATCATGTTATTGGTCCTAGCATCATTTCAACTTCAGTATCATGTCACAAAAAAACCCAAAAAACTTTCATCATTTTATGAACCCTAATTTTTTCATGAAAACAATCAATGTATATATTTCATGCTCGGACATGTGGAATATCTTTCTGAAGTCACTTGCATGCATTCCTATATATTGAGACATGTTTAGAGAGAAACCCTAACATCCTAATGATATAAAAATATGTTTGTGTTATCTTTTCATTATAAACTCCTGGAAATCTATATGCATGAACAAAGAGCTAACTTGACAATGTCTACAATCAAGCAGAAACAGGATTCTAACTGATCAACCAGGAAATGATGAATTAACTAAACATCTTGAATATTTCCATATATAAAACACAATACAGAGTATAAGAATCTATGATATGTACATGAATTAGTCAGTATTAAAATGTTTATCCAGTGATGTATGCCATGACAGGTACAACCATAGTCATCTGCATGATCAAATTGTAAAGTGTGTAAATTGTAAACATGTTCTTTAAATGAATATATCATTTCAAATGTTCTCTAAGTGTTCTATGTACATCATTTTATAATAGATAACATGTGAAACTAGACCTTTATTATTCTGACTGATATACATCAAAAATTAAGTCAATAATCAAAGTCTCATTCATCTTTTAGGGATGACATGATCAAACACAAGTAATCACTTTTATTGTTACACAAAACACAAGTAAAGCAATGCTTAAATACACAAACACAGCCTATAACTATTAACAAGCTAGGCATACATGTAAGTATAAAGTTTGGTCAAATTAATATTATAAGTGCTTAAGATATTGTATTTGGTCTGGCTATTCTCATTTATGCTCAACCTGAACAATGTAAATTAACACTATTTCTACTTTTAGTTGTACTGTTCACTACTGCATAATCATATACAGGAGATGCTACATTGAACAAATGCAGATCTTCATATTTACAGGAGATTTATTTAACACAAATTATTCTATGTTAATTCACACAGGAGGCAAACTAAACCAGTGCATTATTGTCAAAAACTCTTTTCAAACTCTTTTACATGAATGTGTGATAAATCTAATATTTGTAGGATTGTTGATGGGGTATGAACATTATGATCTGTAAACAAACCAAAAGTCATAGTTTTGCCAGATAGATAACGTTAATCCCTAGTCACAGCATGTTTAGTCAGGATGAATGATCTATTCTATGGAAATAGTCTTGGTCATCTATACTTATGTACAAAGATCTGCTTGAAATACTACTATATACACAATAGTCATTAAGAGTTACAAGTATTTCACAGAAGAACTGGTCCATGTATAATTAATTATATACAAAAGCAGATGTGATGTCTTTTAGCAACAAGTATTGATAACATACAAAAGATATAATATAACCAAAAAGAAAACATTGAGTTATGAAGAAATATTTACAAAGAGTGCTTGGGGAGGGTTCCTTGGCAACATTTCAGCAATATCAAAGCAAGGGACACTTCAAACATTTGCCCATGGAATTAAGCCTGGCGCATGGGCATGATGAGCCAATGTATAACCACAAGACTATCCCACTCCCCCTTCCTTTTAACAACAAAGTCAGGTAAACAGTAAAACCTCACTACAGCAAATGTCAGCTGATACATTGATATGAAGTGATATTCAAGATCAACAGCAATTATCATCCTTTCATACTCTGCATTTATCTGCATCTAAAATGCCACTACCCAGATAATGATGATCATCAGAAATAGTGTGATGCCATTGAGCTTACATGGATATGTAGTTTAAAAAAAAAAGACAGCCACTGAACAAAGGTTGCTGCCACCATTGATATTCAAATATTTTCTGCATAGATACAAATACGTAATACTAAAATACCAAGAATTGAACAAAATATGATGTCTACATATGGAGAAACATACATGCCTAAGCTACAAAAAGAAAATGAAACTGAAAAGGATGTTCAAGTGATCATTTCATATCGGACCATGTCAACTATTCTATAGGTTTTTTACAATCATAATAATTCCATTATCATTCCATCATTTACGATGACATTTAATTGAAAGTAGGTATGAATTCTTACAATCTTACATTTAAGAAGCATGATTTTTAAATAATTATTCTGGAAGTTTTACAAAATGTCTATTATCATGTTATCAAGCCTTATTATGAATAAATACATGTGACTGAAGCACACTAATACATGCAATTGATAGGACATTACATGAAGTAGAAGTGCATATCTATCAATGGAGTTGTTAAAAATACATGCTATTCTTGAATGTTTTTTGTCAATTTAGTTTGCATGGCATGCATAAGCATGTGATGCTTGTATAGATAAATGTCTAATAACAAAGCAAGGCCTATTGATAACAACATGGATAGATGTAAGAATTTAAATTACATGAAACATGACAAAGGATATAGTCAAGTCCTGATAAAAATAAAGAAACATTGGATGAGGTTATTATGCCTGAAATGTGTTATTCACATCAAGAAAAAAACATAACTAACCATTGCTAGGTAAATACAAGTCATTACAGTTGCTCTGCAGTCTTCATAAACTGTAAATAGATCCAGTGCAAGATTGCATGATAATAAATTTGAATTTGATCTTGATAAGAAATATATCATTGTGTGACTATGTACAAACCAGAAATGAATGAGGCAAGTCTCAGTCTAATAATTGTGTGATAGGAATGCAAGCAAGTTACTGGTACTTAGTCGTGATTATAGATGCTTTTATGGGACAATTTTGTACACGATATGTACAGCTGTATATCTGATACTAATCATGACATTCATTATCAATTCAGTCCTTTACCAGTTTAAATTTGCATTCACTTTACGAATGGAATATCCTGTCATATGTAAGACACATTCAAAACACTGCTACACCATAGGAAAATAATTAAAACAACATGTTTTTTTCTTCATATCCCATCATTGTGTGTGTGAATTCTTGGGTAATATGTCATATATTGTAGTGGACATATTAAAGAATGTGATTATTTCCACTGTCCACATTTAATGATAATTTTGTCACTACAACAAAACAGTACCTTTTTCAAGGAGTACACACATATATATATACACAGTAAACTACGTATATAACAAACACGCTTGTACCGAACTGACGGATATAGCAAACTGTTTTGAGGAGAGAGAGCATACATCATAAACATAAACAAACCATTATCTATAACAAAGACAGTATTATCGTGAATTAGAAATACATGTATATTATGCATTTTACTAACAAAATTATTTTAAAGTGATCCTCCTCATCTTTAGACTATTATACAAGGGTTATATATAACTCCATCTCAAGCAAGAAACAATCAAAGGAAACTGGAGGAAGTATCAAATGAGAGTGAGTGAGTTTGGTTTTACGCCACTTTTAGCAATATTCCAGCAATATCACGGCGGTATCAAGTGAGAAAAATACAAACAAAACACTCAATGGAAATAAAGAGGAACATGTTTCTCTAAATCCTTTTTGTTCTTAACATACTTCCTTGCTATTTCAGTAAGTACAAACTACATGTGTGTGAATAATAATACAAGGAAACTACATAAAAATAACCAAATCATACATACAGATTTGATGCTTATTTTTTTCAATCTTAGGAAATCTCAAGGGACGTTAATGTTAAATATAATCTACAAAATTTGACTATAACCCATCAACAATATTTACAAATCATCAAGAAGGAAAAGCTACAACCTAAAAAATAACAACCATGAAGAAACTGAAAAAAGCAGACCTATTATGAACCACAGGAAGTGGCCAACAAGTATTTTTAGTCCATTATGTTATGGATATAGCTGTCTGTAGATTACCTAAATTAATTCTGTAAGATTCAACATAAGCAAGTATGATAATCAACTATTGGCTGACGTTGAGTTGAAGCTCCTTCTGCGTTGAATGAGTTCCAAGAGGACTGCCACCTTCATTAATTCTGTTAGATTGTACATTTACACAACATAAGTATGACAAACGACTATTGACCGAAGTTGAGGCACTATTGAAACTCCTTTCTGCATTGTGTGAGTTACCAGAGGACTGCCACAATTCATAAGTTCTGTTAGATTCAACATTTACACAACATAAGTATGACAATCCACTATTGACAGAAGTTGAGGCACTATTGAAACTCCTTTCTGCGTTGTGTGAGTTACCAGAGGACTGCCACAATTCATAATTTCTATTAGATTCAACATTTACACAACATAAGTATGACAATCCACTATTGACAGAAGTTGAGGCACTATTGAAACTCCTTTCTGCGTTGTGTGAGTTCCCGGAGGACAGACAGCCAGGTATCGGGAATGTGCTTCCCCAAGATGTCTGCTGGGAATGTGAGGATGTCTTCCTCGGTCAGTGTCTCATCAGGTTCCTTACAGTACAGCGGAACATCTCGGTCACCTATCAGGATGCCTTGCAGGCTGAGGAAATTTGCAGATAAATGTACTGTTACATAAATTAAGACCTAACTTTCATTTCATATCAATCCTTTTTGATATAGTTCAAAGTAATTATGGCAAAATTACCCTAAAATTCTTAAATAAAAAGTTCAAAGGAATAGGTTTTTCCCTCTTTAGTATTTGGTCAATTCCAATTTGTACATTAAAATTGTAAAGCATATTCTTGTCTTACACCTTGCTTACCTCATGGTTTTCGGGTCGACGGCATCTTCATCATATGGGTCGATTGGTTGAGCTACCCTGAGCAAAAGGCAGTCAAACATTGTCTGCAACAGGCATTCCATCTTTTCTGGGCTCTTTTTCTGACAAAAACGCTTCAGTTCAGCCCTAGCTTCTTCAGGAAGGTCTGTCTTTAGTTCACTGTCTAAGTAATCAAACGCATCCTGAAAGCAAAAAAGAGACAAATTGAACAAGTGCAAAGGTGAGCGTGGCTCACTAATACCCCCGACCCGCCTAGTGTGTCAGTAGTTACAAATTAAATAGCTAGGATAGGGTTAGGGTTTGAAAAATTCATAAAAAAATGGAAAATTAATAAAAACATTTTTTTTCTTTTGACTGCACCCCTCCATATGACACAGATTATATGTACTAAGTTTGAGATGAATCCACTAAATAGTTTAAGAGAAATCGCGTGGACAACAAAGTTTTTGGACGGACGTTAGGGTTTGAAAAATTCATAAGAAAATGGAAAATTATTAAAAACAATTTTTTTCTTTTGACTGCACCCCTCCATATGACACAGATTATATGTACTATGTTTGAGATGAATCCATTGAAGAGTTTAAGAGAAATCGCGTGGACAAAGTTTTTGGATGGACGTTAGGGTTTGAAAAATTCATAAAAAAATGGAAAATTATTAAAAACAATTTTTTTCTTTTGACTGCACCCCTCCATATGACACAGATAATATGTACTAAGTTTGAGATGAATCCATTGAAGAGTTTAAGAGAAATCGAGGGGACAAAGTTTTCGGATGGGCTGACGGACGGACGGACGGAATCTTGGTATAACTATATACCCCCGACATTTTGTCGGGTGTATAAAAAGAATAATCATAGCACAAACTGATTTGACATTAAATGAAGTCATTCACACCTGTTTCTATGTTTGAAATGATTACTGGCTGTTAACTTTAACCATGAAAATATAGAGTGTTCCTATTATAAATTCACATATTCAGAAAATCAATTTCAGCACCAAATTCAGAAAAGTCAGTTTAAACCGGCATCTGAGTTCTGTAGTACTCTCTATTAACTGGCATCCATTTCTGGTCCAGGCCAAACTTATTTAATATAAAACATCAACGTCAGGGAATAACCAATCTCGATAATCTGCCGAAGCCAATTCCAACAAGCATTAAAGACAAAATAGTGGTAACATTTACATGTATGGATCACTGAAAATCTGTATGTAAAATAATTCTGTGTATAATTACCTCTGCATTTTGGGCTAGAACAAGTGACTTCTCGAAACTTAGCAGCAACCACAACGATTGTACATGCTTAAATCTACAGAACTGCCTGGCCTGAAAGGAAGAAAAGATATATTGCTTCCTGTAGAAAATATTCATTTTCTAGACATTTCACTTCAAATGGATACCATGAATGGCATACATACATACATACATACACACACACACACACACACACACACACACACACACACACACACACACACACACACACACACACACACACACACACACACATATATATATATATAAAAAACAATAAACAGTATCACTGATTTCCTAATTGAATCATAAACACTAACACCATAATAACACCATAAGAATATCATTTACAATTAATCAATGGTGGCACAGGGCAATTGTATTGTGAGCTTGAGACATATTATATATACATGTACCTTCTGACTAGTTATTGTCTGTTTCATCTTGAGCACATCTGTCATGAAAGTTTGCAGTGACTTGTCTGGATCTCCTCCCAGAGACTTGAGGAAGCTGGTGGTGATGTCCAGGTTGTTGATAGAGTCACAGATGTCTGGCAGGCTAGATTTCAGTGCGGAACCAATTTGTAGCTTCACTGCTGGAGAGAGCGACTCCTGAAAAAAACCAAGATATATGTCCACTAGATCTACCGAATTCCACATGACAAACTTTAGGAAGAACTTCATTTCTTGATCATAGGAGTTCCTTCGAATAATACAGTGGACATACAAGATTGCATAAATTAAAGCCCTACATCAAATGGCAACATTGAAAGTACAGGACCAATCATTATTAGCTTCATTGCTGGCAAATACACAAGAGGTTAATGTGTGTATGCAGTAATATTGTGCGGTTTTTATTACAAGATAGATGTCAAGTCATTTTGGAGATTAGAAAGAGTGCAAACAGTCAGCTGAGATACCATATCCTTCTACAGTTGATATACCACCCCCTCCACTCTCTCTAAGGTATTTTGGATATGTATCTGGTATGAAGTTTGTATGAATAGTTATACAGAGAAAACCAGAAGAGGTTTTAACTTGCTTGATATGATATTGAAAGCTACAAAATTGTATGTTAAAGTTTTCTAAAAAATAGTATTTGCCACTTCATTGAAAACAAACCCCAGTGTGAATATAATAAGCATAAAATAAAAGAAGAAAAATCACAAGTGGGTCCATAGATTTACAAACCGATGATGATAATAATGATGTTGATCAAATATTGCCAGGAACCATTTTTATGTAAGAAGCCAATCATTGAAACAAGTTATCATGACAGGAGATAAACACATTAAAGAGTGACAGCATGAACAGAGCTATGCACCATGGATGGTATTAAGCATAAAAATGTATGGTAACAAATATGTTGTTGACTGAATATTTCAAAATAATAATAAGCATAAAACAAAAGAAAAGTGGGTAAATGAAAAAATAATGCAAATTTTGAACAATTGGATCACAGATACTGTATATGGCTAAAATAGTTAGCATTCACTTAAACGGGTTTTATCATTTTTACAAAGACTTATCAAATTTGTTCAAAATAATCAACATTAGTGGTGCTGCAAATAATTATCATTGTCATTTCTTTATTTTGTAATAACAGCTTTGTTCTATGTTGTATGATGTGTCTGTTTCTAAATGGTTCTCGAAGAAACGTACCATATACTAAAGTGAGCCAACCAGATCAAGCTACCAGTTTTTAAAGTACCGGATCAGATCAGATATCAGATATGAGTTAAAGGTACAAGTACTGATAAATATGAATAGACACGAGTGAACACCTATATATTGAAACACCCAAATATCTATATCTACCTGTGGTATTTTTTCTCTCAGTGTCTTGAACACAATAGCATTGGTTGTGTCAGCTCTGTACACCATTGTGTCAATCTGGAACACAAACATATGGTCACAAAAACAGCTAACTGAAGTCATAATCTTATGATGCTTCAAACTTACTAATATCTATGCATAAAGAATCAAATTTAATTCTGCAACATCATTTAGGACAACGATGTTGAGTGCAAATAGTGATGACTCGTGCAAACTAATGGTCATTACATTCCAACAACTTCAAAGCCCTGTGGCAGAGGTTCTCAAAAACAAGATCTAAAACCTTGTTGGAGCAAGATATGATGTTTCATAAGAAGGAACCTGCATGCCAAATTTCAGCTTCATCACTCAAGCAGTATCAGGGGAAAACTTAAAAGCATGGTAAAGGTGCAAAGGTCAGTGTCGGGTTACTGGGGGTCACATGTTGAGTAACTTTTAAGTAGTACATCACAAGAAAGAGACCCCTCTTTGAAGACCAAAACCAATGTCTGGTTTTGCTTTGACCAGCCAAGGCATTACTAAGACACTTTACACTTCCTGAAAATATCTTTACTGTAAGTTCAGTTGGAATTCTACTCACAGGTATGACATGTGACGTCTTCTCCACTCTTGACTTGGCTTGAAGAATGACTTCTTTGAGCTGATACTCAAATCCTTCAAAGTCATACTCAATGGTGGTGCCTTTCCCCAGCTCAAAGGAGTAGTTACAGTTGGCCAGGACAAGGGGCAGCAGGTCACGGTCAGGGTGGTAGCTGACCAGGTGGTTACTGTGAAGTTTCCTCATGCTGACCTCAGGCAGGCGCTCATAGCTGCAATAATACAACATCCGAATTAAATTATACATTAAGGGTGGTAGCATACTAATGTAGAATTCCAGTGAGCATTTCCAAACCAGAAATCATAAGCTACCTGGAGTTGATCTTTTCACAGTATTTTTCCATGAATTCATTGTGCTTCCTGAAAAGGAACTCCAGCATCATGTAGGAGCAGATACCGGGTCCCTGAGTGGACGGCAGAAGGACAGCTAGAGGGGAGTTCTCCTCTATCCTCATGTTCTTGTAGGCATCAGGCAGGTGTATTAGACCATCATGGACTGTCCAACATCCTGAAATGAAGGTTGATATTGTTAATAATTCAGAAGCCCCAGAAGTGTTTTATATGTTGTTGTCATTGAAACCATAACAATATTTGGATGGAAGAGACACTAGAAATTATTGAAACCATTCAATCACGGTCAAGTTTCATTGTACGTAAGGATTTACTTCAGAGAATTAATAAAAGTGAAAACTTTAAAAGAAGGTAAAACATAGAGCCACATGGCTCTGTAGCTCACCTGCATTTTTGTGGAATATTACATTTGATCAGGTAAGGTCCCACAAGGGTAAAGAAAAACATACTAAAACAAGTGTCAACAATTGCAAGTGTTGATGACAAATCTCCTCCGGCCCCGACACATTCGAAAGAACAAATTATAGCAAGATAGTTACAGCAAGTTGTACAAGGGTGACATGTCCAAATGGATGGTAGTATTCCTATCTCATCTGTCTGTCTGTATACAAGAGTAGTTACTGAGCTATCAGAACAATGCCCTGAAATTCGGATTCAGAACTTTGTATTTGTATGTCCGGTCAATTTTCACAAATATATGAGTTAGCAGACGTCACACAATTGGTACATGGCTTACGCTGTAATCTTTTGCATTACCAACTGTACTTAGGTAAGTCTGTTGAATATTCCAAAACATGGCAAGAAGTAGCATGTGTTATTTGCTTAATGCATGATTGATCGATCAGTTTCAGAGGACAGCCTGTTTATGGTTTAGGTTGTATTATCAGAGAATTATCAACTGTCATAAAAGGACAAGTTCAATAAATGTCAACCATGCTAATTACATCTCACCATGACTGTGCAATCCTTCCTTCACACAATCCCAAGCAGCAATGAAATCTGGAAGAATCTTCAGGACATCAACTGAATTGTTTCCTGAAAGGATTCACAAACAAATACCAATGGATATTTTCAGAACAATATAATACATAATCTTCAAAGGGTAGAACATGACAGACAGAACATAATGTAAAACTCAAATACCTCATTGGGATTGCAGGTAAGAATAAGTCCTCAGAAACCTAGTTAAACTTGTCGTACGAACCAAATACATGGAATGGATGGCCAGACATTGAAAAATAAGAATGTCTATTAGCCAAGGTACATATGCTTGAAGGATATATCAGCATTCATATGAAATAGAAGAACATTTTATTTAAAAAGACATGGCTGGAAATAAATTCTCTTTTTATCAATATTGCACTGATAAGCAATGAACAAATGGCCATTTGCACTTATTTGTGACAAAGACTATTTGGAGTGTAGGACAGAAAGCAAGATTAAGTCTTGAAAATGTTCACGATATCACATTAAATAAAGGGGGATATTTTTCAAGTTATCTTTTAAGAAATGATTGAGATTTATCTACGAACATAACAAAATTCCTATTCGGGGTGATTCGGGATATTTGTGGTCTAGTGAAATGGGGGCATTACAAACAGATTATATGGATTATTGGTGGCTGTTTGTTGGCAACTACCATGATGACATCACAATTATGATGAGAATTTTAATAACTGGAAATCAGACACAGAAGAGCTGATATATTTTAATTACAAATTCAAGCGTACTTACCAACTACACCTATTTACCTTATATTTTTATTTTTCTAGCCATACTAATTTTCAATCTCCATTATGAAGATGGAATTAACAGTGGTGAAAAGCTCAAATAATTTACATTTCTCTGACCTACAGTGACAATATCCAGTGTGTTTTGACAATGATCATATGATTGCAAATGATAAAGAACTTATTTTATATCAAATTTTCTAAATCATCAATAGACTGCATAGTAGTTGTCTTGAAGTATTGTTATGTTGGAGGGAAAGTCGTGATAGACGGATACTGAATGGGTTGTAAGGGAGCTAACTCGTCAACTTGGTACCAAAACAAGAATGAAATGTTGGCAATGGATTGGTTGAGAGTCATGAAACAGTTAAATTAATAATGATTAATAAACACAACATCAGTCATAACTATTAATTACCATCTGTTGCTATTTCAGCTATTGTGATTTTCTGGGCTTTAATTCGATCCAAACGGCGTCTATACTTGGCCATCAGGAATTTTTGAAGTTGAAGGATATTTGGGATGTGACGTAATGCCTGCAAGTATGGATGCTGAAACAAAAATATGTAAACTTTATTGAAAAACACAAGTAGGTATCTGTTATTAACACAGGGATGTGATGTATAAGTACATAAATGGAGACAACATATACCTTCAGTTAGGTGATAGAAACATGTGATGCCAGTACTGACAACCATGTCCAGGTGAGATTAAGTGAAACATAATTCCCACAGATTCACACTGATGTTAGGTCAACATAAAATGGATTGCTAGAGTACCCGGTAACTAACTGTCAGTTAAAAAAGTACATAGAGGCATAACATGCAGAATTCCTGCAACTAAAAATGGTATAGGCAACTGAGTACTACATACATAATTACCAACAGTAAGACAAATTACAAACGTTTTTGCATTACATGCAGAAACAGAAGCAGACACATATCCACCTTTTCCAAACTTTCTCATCAGAAACACAGCATGATTCATTTTAAATTTACCACTTCATGCGACATTTGACTTCCTTGCCTCTAGCTACCTTAATAACAGACTTATAACCATATCCAGTTTGATAACATGTTTTCCGGTTTTGGAAAATACATGTCCAATGTAGTACAACTTTCAAATAAAGGGAGCTTGTTACTACCAACAAAGTTCAATGCCATCAAATGACCATGTGGAAAACTTGCTCTATGCAGTAAAACATTGAAGAAGAAAATCCTATAACTTCCAAAAGCACTTTCTGTCCAATGACCTTGACCTTTTTGGGGTTTTGGTTTGGTTTAGTTTGTTGTTTTACGCTGCTCTCAGCAATATTCAAGAGCTGCAAGAATTGTTTTTATTAAAACCAAATGATGTTACAAATATAAAGTTAATTTTCTGTAAATATAGTTTGAATAATACTGTTTGTAAGTCTTTCATTGTGTGAATGACCTTGACATTTTACATGACCAAGACACATGGCAGGTATAGTAGAAAGTGCTTATGTATTATCAATCATTGATATTCTGATAATACTTAATGTTTCTGGTGATGTTAACGATTCGAGGTAATAAAAATAAGACCCCCCCCAAGAGATGTCAAGTAAGTTTTGTCAAGTAAGTTCCAACAATAAATGCCCGTGGTACTGTGTACACATGCTTTTCAGGACATCATCTTCACACTTAGTGACGTTTGACCTTCAGTGTCATCTAATCATATACGACTGGAAGTGTTTTCATATTTCAGGAATTAACCCAAAATTTTGCAGAAATTTCGCTACATGTGACCTTGGCCTTATATTGAGGTAACACAAACATTGATGCAACCAAGACCTCATTCTAGCATTTATGTATACCAATAACATATACTCCAGGTGTCATGTACACTAACATTTTTTAAATACTTCCTGGGATACAGAAGGAATGTCGGGTTCGAAGTCTCTGATATCATATGGTTGAGAAAAACAATTGCAGCAGAGCTCAAATTTGAGCAAACACCTTAAGAATCCCCCCTTACTGGGGGCTGCTTAATTACTATAATAGTGCCATTGACCTTTTACAGAGATCACTTTGGAAAACTTTTCATTCACCTTCAGAAAAGGCTTCTGAGGTTGTCTGATAGTAAAACATTTTTTTCATTGCAACCTTCACATAAACGATTAATGTCTCAAAAACCTTCCCAGGGAAATAAAGGAGATACAATTGATATCATCACCTTGAGATGTAAAGACATTTTCATCTTTTATTTCTTTTTGATGATTTACATATACATAATTACCAAATTTAAAAAAACCTAATTTATGACATTTTGGATGACAATCAGTCCAAGAAAATGAACTGATCATAAACCCTGTCTTGTGTTTTCAAAAACGAAGTATGGTGGTGATGGCATTTAAATTCTGACAAAATTCTGACCATTAAACATTCCCATTAATATTCATTGAGTTATTAGATAGGACAACAAAGTCCTCACATCATACCTCTTGACTGAAAAGGCTGAGAACCTCCATCTTGGATTTCTTGCCCTTGTTGTTCTCTACTTTTAGATGGAACTCTCGCAGGAAATGTTCCAGGGTGATTCGTGACCGGTACCTCCAGACAGCTGGGAACTCGTGGAGACAGTCAACGTCTTGTGGAATGGATTTGTCTACCTCATAAAGGAGAGACATCAACTTGTCCTGACCTAGGAAAGTATCAGAACTGAAACTTTCAACATTTCTAGATACCATCAATTTGGTCATACAAAACAAAATTAAACCTTGTTCATTGAAATAACTTCACAATGAGAACAAGAGCAAGAGATTTAAAAAATAATGATGCTATTTTGAATGGTGTAGTTTAGATGGCATCATAAAGAGCAATGGTGGCTTTGTACTGGTATGTTAAATGTTGGTGCACATTTAAAAAAATTAATTAATAAAAGATTCGAATGTTTGCAATTTGACTTGTCATAATGAATTTCTAATTACCCCCGGGTAGAACAAAACATAAAATATGCCAGAGCTCAGGTTTCAAGTTTGAAAGATATTTTTTATGCAGGAAAGATGAGCAATGGACCATAATTTCAGTATTGCTGTCATGGTGGCCATATCTAAAATGGACAATGGATGGGCATGGGATATATATAATAAAATCCTTCTTTATATTGGGGTGAGTGAGTGAGTATGGTTTTACGCCACTTTTAGCAATATTCCAGCAATATCACGGTGGGGGACATCAGAAATGGGCTTCACACATTGTACCCATGTCGGGAATCGAACCCGGGTCTTCAGCGTGACGAGCGAACGCTTTAACCACTAGGCTACCCGACCGCCCCTCTTTATATTGGGGTTTAAATATGACTGCTGTGGTAGCCATATTGAAAATCTGATCTACTGGGTATATCCTCTTAAACATATTTAGGTGTCATCCATGTTGGGAGCAGGCATGCCAAATCTCTGCATAATAACATGAACCAGAGGATAAATCCATGTTTAAAAAGAAATATATCACACAAATACCTATTCTCTTGTCCTTCAAAATCCTCTCATTGCATGGTATGAGACAGTTGTCAAGATTCTGTAAAAGAAATTAAAAGACAGCTATTACTTGATTATTCATAAAATTTGGTAATCAATATAAATTGAAGCCAAGTTTTTTACCTCAAATCCTTTCAGATTGGTGGTTAACTGTGGCCTTGTCTCATGGCCATCATTGTGATTTTATTAATATCATGCTACATAGCATTTGCCCAAAAAAGTAATGAATGGTGTCCAAACAAAATGACCTTGGGGATTTGGGGTTAGAATAGATCCCCAGCAACCTGTCCTAGTCGTAAGAGGCAACTAAATGGATAAAGTGGTATGGTCTGGTGACTTGGTTCATTGCATGTCATCATATCCCAATTGCATGGATCAATGCTCATGATGTTAGTCACTGGTGTCTGGTGTACAGATCACTGTTATACAGCTGGAATATTGCTGAGTGCATGAGCATTACCCTCCTATTGCAAAATCCTGGCTATGCCTCTGCAAGAGGTCCAAGACCAGTAACAGTTCTCATATATGTAATAATATAAGTCCCTATTCTAAAATATCCAAAAGGCATCAATGCCAATGACTGAGATTATGTAATGATATCAAAAAGTTATTTACATGGATGTGAGCTCTTGTTTTTTAGAAATCTATTAAATGAATCACCTTCTCTACACACAACACCATAAACACATTTTTAAGTAGTTACATAATGTCCAGTAATAACTGCAATTTATTGATTAAATGTTCAAACTTGGAAAACATTTAAAAATTCTTGACAAACCCAAACAGCCCCTTTACCACCATTTTCAGAATATACATGTCAGCTATCATGTCAGGTTCCAGATTAAAATAACTTCTCTAGTTCTAGGAATGTACAGGCCTATCATTTCTGGACGATGACATTACCCTTTGTAGAAAAACATTTTTTTTGTTTATAGATTTGCATGTTTACAACATCTGGCATTACCACAAATCATTAGCTTGATTTGATCTAGTTGGAAACATGGGTGCTTCCTCTAGCTTATAAACATGTCATACCAACACAAAAGGTTGATTCAGTGTTTTCAGTCATCAATATTCCCTGCCATCCTTGCTTGCTTACAATTATGAATAAATAGTTTTGATTTCTGTGACAGCAATAAGCACCAGTCATAACTAGCCTAATATATTTACAAAGTTTCATGGAGAAATAATGAAAGGTTTGGCACAAGAAAATAATCCAACCCTAATTTAAACTTGTTGCCTTGGAAAAGCAAATGATAATTCTTATTCTTAAATTCCAGAACATTAAAGGCACCAGTTCATCACTTGCCTGATCTGTATAAAAATTTCATGAAAGATATATGAAACAGTTTATAAGTCATGCTCTTGAAATGAATGGGTAAACACAAAAACACAGTAAAAATAGTTTCCCATGATGGTTTCAAAGACAATCAGGCACTCGTGAAGAGCAACCTCCTCCTGGTGAGTGCTGGGTAACGCTAATAGCTCTTCCCCCGTGTGGAACCGGGGCAGAATATTTCCACAGCCTCCCATTGCTGGTCGTATGAGGCGACTAAAATGGGCAACCTGTTTGCCGTGGGTTGCGTCCCTGTGTCGGCGGAGGACGGGAGTCTGGTAGTTGAGGGCACTGGTTCCTGGAACTGTGTTCCTTTGCCCAACACACTACTTCGACCCTTACTTCGCCTAGACGGGTGGTAAGATGGGCCCGGTCTTATCAATCGGCTGGTCATGCCAGGCCCTGTGCGTAATATTGTATATGCACACCTGTGTTGTATTTTAATGTCTATTTTGGTCTTGGCCATGCATAACTTGTGTATATTCTCAATTTTCGATTGAATAAATTGCCTAGAGTCTTACCCCAGAAGGCGGTGGCTCATGGGCCAATCTGGTACTTTCGACCTCTGAGTTCTGTATGTCTTCAATTTCTTGCCATGGGCCGAACCAGCCTGACATTTTATTTGTTAGACAAATACAGCTATTCATGTTGTTCTTACTGGAGTATAACACCTCTGTATCCCTGATGTTTGCATGTTGGAGATCCGGTGCAGGAAAACATCGCTCTTTGTAGCACTCCATGGTGGGTGGGGAGCAGGGGTGCTGAATAATTTACTTTCACCATGGCAACCAATCACTCTGGTTCAAACCGCAACGAAAAGAAAAGACGTTTTGAAGCTGAGACTTTCTCATCTGACGCTGCTTCTGTTCAACAAAATTCAAATTGGTCACGATTTCTTGTAGTTGAATCTGGAACTGAACATCCTTTAAAAATTAATCCATTTGCAATTTGCAAAGCCATTGAAGGTATTTGCGGAGAGGTAAAAAATGTTTCACGGCTCCGGGGCGGTTTTCTTTTGGTGGAGTGTGCACGGAGACAGCAAGCTATCAATCTTTTGAATTGTACAATGTTTGCAAACACTGCAGTAGCTGTCTCTGAGCACAGAACGTTAAATTCAAGTCGAGGTATCATCCGCGACACAGCCCGTTGTCTGGCTGAGATGTCAGAGGACGAAATACTTGAAGAATTAAAGGTACAACATGTCACGTCAGTGAAACGTTTCTCAAGAAAAGATGGTGAGACCTTCGTTCCTACGAACACATATTTGTTCACCTTCTCCCTTTCAACCATACCCCAATCAATAAAGGCAGGCTATTTCAACATCGGAGTGGAGGTGTATGTCCCCAATCCACTCCGATGTTATAAGTGTCAGAAGTTTGGACATGGGTCCAAGACATGCAATCGATCGTCTGTTTGTTGCCGCTGTGGTAGCAATCATGACGGTTCTGATTGTACAGCTGAACTCAAATGTGTTAATTGTAATGACCGACATGTTGCATCTTCCAAATCCTGTCCACTGTGGAAACTTGAAAAGGATATTTTGACTGTCAAATGTCAAAATAATTTGTCTTATCTGGATGCTAAAAAACTTGTTGCCAGCCGGTCTCCTCCATCAACACAAACCTATGCTGCAGCTCTCTCTCACCCTTCCACAACTAGATCCATAGAATGTCAAACAGATTTGACATGGGCAAATTCAGAACATCCAATGCCTCTTAGGACAACTTCTGAAAGCCAGACACCTCAATCAGATACTACAACATGTGACATTTCTCCACCATCTAAGATCATGAGTGAAACTTTGACACAATCTTCAGCAGCTCCAGAAATGCCACCTACTGTACAAACATCAACTGACACGTCTAGAAAACAAAAGAAAAAACAAAACAGGAAAATTACAACAAAGATCCCGACTCCTACTGAAACATCTGTAGATGTTCACAACTTCTTTGATCCTTTAGAGATGGATGTTACTCCATCCTCACATCACAACAACAGTTGTGATTCCTCTTCACATTCACGTGAGCGATCTCCTGTGGAACCGCCATGAATCATTCAAATGTACTTCAATGGAATTGCAGAGGGCTTAGGCACAATTTTAACGAACTACAGTTATTAACAACTGATTTTATTCCATCAGCAATTTGTTTACAAGAGACGTACTTAAAAAATACTGATAAATTTGATTTAAGGCAGTATAGTTCCTATCATTCTTTTTCTCCTCCGGGAGATAAAGCTACTGGAGGTGCTTCTATGTTGGTGCGGCGGGGTGTTGTTCACAGTCCTGTTCCGCTTGACACGAATTTGCAAGCAGTTGCAGTTAGACTTACACTGCATATTGCCTTCACACTTTGCTCCTTATACATTCCTCCATCTTCAAATCTTCAGCGTAATGATCTACAAAAACTATACGACCAGCTCCCAAAGCCCTGTGTCATCATGGGTGATCTAAATGGGGAAGTTCAACCATTAATCAAAAGGGAAAAGTGATCGAGGATTTTGTTTCCGATAATGATCTATGCATCTTTAATGATGACTCCGACACTTACTTACACCCTGCTACTGGCACATATTCATCTTTAGATCTGTCTCTGACGGACTCAGTTTTGTTAAACGAATTCTCATGGTCCGTTCACGATGACCTATGTGGGAATGACCATTTCCCCACCGTGCTTAAACCCATTAATCCCACTGATGATCCTCCTTCACCGCGATGGAATTTTTTGAAGGCTGATTGGCCTTTATTTCAATCTTTATGCAAAGTTAAATTACAACCTACGTCTTTTCAAAATGTTACTGACCCGATTCAGTTGTTCTCAGATCAACTGAATGAAATTGCTGATGAATCAATTCCTAAGTCCTCTATCAACCCACGTGTTCGTAAACCATGGTTTGATGACACTTGCAAACATGCTAGGAAATGTCGTAAGAAGGCGGAGAAATACTTCCGTAAACATCCTACTGTCCATAACTTGAACACCGTCAAAATTTCAAATGCTAAGGCGAGACGTCTATTCAAACAAAATAAACGTCAATCCTGGCAGAATTATGTCTCCAAAATCAACTCTCGTACCCCTATGTCCAAGGTATGGAACATGATCAAAAAGATCAAAGGCAAGGGATCAAATTCTACAGTAAACCATTTAAAGGATGGCGACACTTTGCTAACGGATAAATCTGCTATTGCCAATAGACTTGGGAAAACTTTATCTCAACATTCGTCTTCATCTAATTACGTTCCTGAATTTCAAAAATATCAGCTCCAACAGGAAAAGAAAAAAGTAAATTTTACATCTGATAATGGTGAAGATTACAATGATGTATTTTCACTACATGAGCTACATACTGCCTTAGGGCAAGCTCATGATACAGCAGCAGGCGCTGATAATATTCATTATCAGCTACTTAAACACTTGCCAGAATCATGTCTTGAAACTATGTTGAATATATTCGATGATATTTGGACAGCAGGGACATTTCCACCTTCATGGCATAAAGCCATTGTTATCCCCATACCCAAACCTGGGCGGGATCATTCTGATCCATCAAATTACCGACCTATATCTCTCACTAGCTGTGTTTGTAAAACTATGGAACGCATGGTAAATAATCGATTAGTGTGGTACTTGGAAACAAATAATCTTCTTACCAATATACAATGCGGTTTCCGTAAAAACAGAAGTAAAGTATCGATCACTTAGTGCGTTTAGAATCGTTCATTAAAAATTCCATTGTAAATAGACAACATGCTGTATCGATCTTTTTCGACTTAGAAAAAGCTTACGATACAACATGGAAACATGGTATTTCAAAAGATCTTCATGATTTTGGATTGAGAGGCTGTCTGCCTCATTTTATATCACAGTTTTTAACAGACAGGAAATTTCAAGTCCGCGTGGGTTCTACCCTGTCTGATCATTATAATCAGGATCAGGGTGTCCCACAAGGCAGTATTTTGTCTGTCACTTTATTCAGTTTAAAAATTAACAGTTTGTCAAAAGTTTTAAATGATTCAGTTGATGGATCACTTTTTGTGGATGATTTTAATCTATCTTGTCGTGGTAAAAATATGCACACAATAGAAAGGCAATTACAATTATGTCTCAATAAAATTCACAAGTGGTGTCTAGAAAACGGGTTTAAATTTTCTAAATCAAAAACTAATTGTATACATTTCTGCAGAAAATATAAGCCACATAAGGACCCTGAACTATTTCTGAATGGCACTCCTATCAAAGTTGTTAAGGAGGCCAAGTTCTTGGGACTTATTTTTGATAACCACTTAACTTTCCTTCCACATATTAAATACCTAAAAGCTAAATGCCTGAAGGCACTCGATCTCTTGAAAGTTGTTTCTAATTCAAAGTGGGGAGGGGATCAGACAACTCTCTTACACTTATACAGGTCACTAATCCGTTCAAAACTTGATTATGGCTCCATTGTCTATGGTGGAGCCTGCAAAAGTAATTTACAAAAACTCGATACCATCCATCATCAAGGCCTGAGGCTTTGCCTTGGAGCTTTTAGAACGTCTCCCATTCACAGTCTCTATATAGAAGCAGATGAGCCTTCTCTTAAACAACGCCGTTTAAAATTATCTTTACAATACATCACTAAATTATATTCTAATCAGTCCAATCCAGCTTTTGATTGCATATTCAATCCTCTCTACGAAGATCTTTACAATAAGAAATCAACACTTACTCCACCACTCGGAATCAGAATAAAATCTGCAATATCAGCTTCTAATATTAAACTCCAAGATATAGCTCCTACTAAACTTTTCTCATCTCCTCCTTGGCAAATGGTGAAGCCAGAAGTAGACCTGACATTAACAAAACTAAAGAAATCAGATACTAACCAATTAATTTACCAACAAGAATACCTTCAACTAAGAAACACTTACGACACTTATAAATCTATATTTACAGATGGATCCAAGGATGGTGGCGCAGTTGCTAGTGCCACTGTCATTGGATCCAGAACAATCTCTTCACGTTTACCTGATAACAGTTCAATATTCACTGCAGAAGCAAACACCATTTTTACAGCACTTAAATATATCTGTAATCAATCTAAACATAACCAATTCATACTGTTTTCAGATTCTCTTTCATGCCTTCAGGCAATTAAAAATATGTCTTCAAAACATCCACTTTTAATCCAAATTCTTGAGTTATTTACTGATCTTGCTACTGCCCAATATGACATCGTCTTTTGTTGGTTACCAAGCCATGTTGGTATCAAAGGTAACACAATGGCCGATGCTGCTGCTAAAGCAGCACTCAACAAATCTGTGACACCACTTCTGATCCCATACACTGATTTTAAACCCATGATTCGATCCTACATCCGAGATCTTATGCAACAGAAGTGGGACGCCCAAGTAGGTATCAATAAATTACATGAAATTAAACCAAATATCGGATATACCTTCTTGGGGTGTCAGTCCAGATTTGAAGAGGTCATTATGCGACGATGTCGTATTGGCCACAGCAGATATACTCATGAATATTTACTAAAAGGTGAGGATCCTCCGTTTTGTATCCCTTGTGATGAAAGAATCACAGTCAAGCATGTCCTGCTTGACTGTGTTGATTTTTCCATCACAAGGGATAAATATTTCAATGTAAAAACAATTAAGGACCTTTTTAATGATGTTAATTCTCGTTTAATATTATGTTTTTTAAAAGAAATAGAACTTGTCCATAAATTTTGATGTGCTTAATGTATTATTTTATAAATTGGTAGTGCTAATTAATAACTTAGATTGTGAGTGGCTGTACCCTCGAGGGGGGTTGAAGTAGCGTAAAATTATTGTCCCCCTAAGAGGGTATGTAAGTCCCCAACCATTCGTAGTATTTTTATGCATACCAGACTTTTAAATCGTAGTATATTTGTTAGTTTTATTCAATGGCTAAACTTGCATATAATCGCCAGCGACTGAAGGGATGGTGTAAATCCTACCGGGGTCCATGCAAGAAGCAAAGGCACTGTAAGTCCCCATGGTCCCCATAGCCCATTTTTATATTGTGTTTTTCCTTAATCATTAATGCTTTTAACTGTTCTGTAACTAGTTTTAAATCTTATCTGTGATATTCTAGTTCTCATACTGTCCTTTGATGACAGATTTTTATAAAGTTTAAATATTTGTATATTTCATGTCTAATTTCTCGTCACGATATGGCTGAAATATTGCCGATGTGACGTAAAGCAGTGCACTCAAAGACAATCAACATATTTATCGTTTAACAATATATGCAAAATGGCATCCTTGTATCCAAAGTGATTTTCCCCCCAAATAATTACTGTTAAATTCGGACCGTAAGAGTCCCAAACTATATCTCCCATCCCACATCATGGCAGGAAATAATGTACCAAATCTGAATACACAACTTCAGTTATCATGGACAAAACACATTTTTGAATGTATGACCTGGAGGTATCAGTGACAAATATTTCAAGAACATGCACAAAGGAAATACAGCACATAAACCTAAAATAATGACCCTAGGTGGAATTCAACTGAAATATGTGATACTCATTGAAAGTTGGATACAGTGCCCTACTACTGTTACCATCAGATTGTCATTGCTTGTCAAACACAAACCTTCAAATCCTATAAAAACTACATGCATAAGACTTCATTGTGACCTTGACAAGTTCACACTAGATTGTGTCCAATATGACCATTTCTGATCAACCTAATGATGACCTACACTACATGCCAGTAAACAAACTTTTAGCAAAATAAATTCAGGCTATGACATAGAGGATGACCTCAACCCTTGATGTGACTGTTTAATAAAGGAGATATACATGATGTGATATCCCTGAGATGTCCAGGAGCCCCATTGTTTAAAATTGAAACAGTGTCATGTTGGCGGTGGTCAAATTCTGACAAAAGTTTAAGGCATCCCTATTTTATGTGGCTGCATAATCGGTATCAACGCCAAAGTTTCATACTTGATTGTTTCCAATTTTAATGTTGTTATAGATTTCAATTAACATTTCAATTTCAAGCATCCTTGACATTTTTGACAACTTTCAGTACCAGTAGTACTCTTGGTTGCTGTTTCTTCATATGAGTAATTATACCAAAGAGGATATAAACAGTCTATACCTGTAAAAGTGGGAGAATGAAAACCTTTGCAAACTGTTCCTCCCAAACCTCCCTAGCTCTCTTGCTGCTTAATGCTTGTGGCTCTGTGGTTGTGTGTGTTACTGAAAATGACATAAAATGCAGATAAATCAGTAACAGAAAATAACACAAAGAGAAAATAAAGAGAAATAGAAGAGCAAGATGTTAAGGGCAGTGGGATAGTCTAGTGATTAAGCATTCACCTGTCAAGCTGAACACTCAGATTTGATTCCCCCCGCATGGAAAATGTGTGGAGCACATTTCTGGTGTTTCCCACTGTGACAGTTGGAATATTTCTAAAAGCAGTGTAAAATCTTACTTTATATACACCTTTAAAGATAAATATGGTGATCATGTGATGATACAGTCAATACAGTCCAGTACAAGTATAATTTGTTTTGTTTTATTACTATTACTTGTTTTTTTATTTTCAACATATTTTGGTGGTACAGGTATGGCATGTTACGTCACGTCAGAACAACCTTTCGCGAACTATGACCGACCAATGAAATGACTAATAGGAAGTCAACGTTAGCCACTTAGAAAGCAGCTTTATTAAGCTTTGCGGTACCAGTTTCAAACTTGCGACTTACATTCCAGACTATGCTTTTTTAAGTATTTTGAATAAATCATACAGTCCATAACAGTTGTTTTGTGTTGAGCTTTAGAGGTTGCATGATTAGAAAACATATTCCGCTTACAATGTAACATAACAATATGAATATTTCATTTTTCAATTTTTATTACATGTTTGTATCCTTATCTATCGTGTAGTTGTCCGATTTTCGATCATGAACGTTGATACTACTTAATTTCATTTAAACTCCTCGTACATACTCCTTAATCCGACATAATCATATGCAACCAACCATGTCGGATTAGCCGGTCTTGACTCTATGTTATTCAACAATAAATTACTTTGAATGAAAAAGTGCCACATATTATTTCCATGCTTGCCCCTTACCCAACTGTGTCATTTGATGACAGATGAAGTGTAGGAGGAGGAAGACATCATCCACACTCTTTCCTGTGGCCATGTGGATGATCTGAAGGTCCTTCTGGAGGTGCTCCCAGAAAAACTGACCACAATCTGGCTGTAGTTGTGGTGTAGTAAGATTTGCAACAGCCTGTGACAAGCATATGTATGCAAATATAGGTAGGGCACAAAACTATGGCAGATCTTCAGAATAGTGTCATATTTATAAATCCATTGTTATATGAGGTATCAATGGTGGCAGATCTAGAAATCCATGGTTATATGACCTCTTAATAGTGTAATATCAAGAAATCAATGGTTATCTTGCTGTGTTTCTGTATCTCATTGACTGAGCACTGAAACATTTACTACATCAAAGTGTGTGATATAGAGAATCTCACCCGAGTGTCTTTTGATATCAAATATATCAACACAAGTTGATAAAAGTGGGAAAACTCCAAGGCTTGCCAAGGATTTTTTCCACTTTTATCAACGAGTGCTGATATATTTGATATCAAAAGACACTCGGGTGAGATTTTATTTATCATCCAACATCATTCTTCCAACTTTTTCAGTTTGTAGACAGTAAGCAGTGTCTTAAGTGTAAAAAGTACTGCTAACAGCTTCAGTAGCAGAGCCTTTAGTGATGTCATTTGATTGTGACATCATGGTAACCAATTTCAATGCAGCGATATCTACAGTGTAGATCTCAACCAAGCGATATCTCTTGTGGGAGCCAGTTTTGGATGATAAATGTCCATCCAATCTCCACTTGCACAGAAAACAGCTGAGAGAGAAATAACCAATAACAGTTTGCTGTAATGGGACAAATGTGATTGTTGCACTACTATAGCCTTTGTTGCTAACAGTAATGTGCTTTAGTTCATAGAATACGATCTCCTACACAATTTCAGAAAACATCTCTTAAGAGTACTTACTGAGTGGATGGATGGATGGATGGATGGGTGGATGGATAGCACACTGCAGCAGGGCGTACAGTATACAAATGAAGCAGTGTATAAGGAAATGGAAACAGATCATAAATCACAATCTCACCTGTGGGTCAGTCCTTGTTCCCAACAGTAATGCAGCATGAGTGAAGAAACGCAGGACTGCACAAGCAGCTCCCTCAAGTTGTCGTTCACCAGCATAGGTATTGGTTCTGTCAGCAGCTCTACCTAAGACATGACCTGGCCGAGTCTGGTCCTCTCTGCTCAAAGTAAAAGATCATGACTTCCTCTTAAAGTAATTATGATATATGTTCAAATGAAAACAAATTGGTATTAGGGTAATGGGAAACATGTAAGCAGCTTTAATGTTAAATGTTGATGTTTTGTTAAAGCTAGAGAAGTGATATGCAGATGCTGTGGTGCTGTAATTTCATACAGACGCGATGTATAAATGTCTATAAAACATACATTAATACTCCGAGAAAAAGCCTACCAGTTACAGTTCTGAAGCATTTATATTTTCGGAAGCAAGGAGCTAATTAAACGCAAAACCAAGACTGATATATAATTGGCCGCTTTGAAAAGTCAGATGAAAATACTCTGAAAAGTAGTCAAATCCCAATCTGAAGACAAATTATTGAACTGAAAAAACAGATACTAGTACTGACATCACATTAATTTTGTATGTAAAAAACTAGAACTGTGCCAAAATAAACGAAATTTCAAGTTTTCTTCAAATTAATAGAACAGCTTCTTCCCAAAGCTATCCACTACAAAATGGACAAACTGACTCTCTACATAAGTCTTTTCACATAGCAGAACAACTTGGTCCATTTCCATTACTAATAAATCCAGTGAGCAGAAATACTGTGAACATTATTATGTCCCTAGCTTTCACACAGAGGTGCTGCAGTAAAGTTGACTTTGCATTATGGTTCAGGTATTTTATATTTTTTGTTACGGGGTAAATACATCAAGGCTTATTCAGGGGTGATTGAATTATATACTATTGAAAATAGGTAGGAACTTGCCCTGCATGGCGCTTATTTCCTTCAAACGCCTCATGTCGTCTTCCTCCAATCTTCTTACCACATTGGTTGCATTTGCCTTCTGTATAAGGTCGACCACACTGATGATAGATAATGATTGCATTATAATTATTTGTGTTAGTCAACAGTTCATTGTATTCTTGTTAGAGGAGATTCATGTCCACAATTACAAAGTATGAGACACAGGATCACATATACTAGTGACAAAAAATAAGGGAACTAATGAATTGATGTGTGTAACTTAATTTTAGGTGTGTATGTCCACAATTTTGGGCGATACATGGCCTACCATTCCACCTGAAGAGATACCTCAAGCTGGGCCACTTTGACATGTGCTTGGTCTCTGGTGTACACTGTCCTCCTGTGAACATCCCACAGATGCTCTTTTGGGGACATGTCAGCGGGCCAGTCAACATCAACTTATCGCATGCCTGTTCACCTGTCATTTGTGATACTGCCACATACCATGACACTATTGCCCCCATACTGATGATGGTAAGAATTGTTGCCCTGGCATACTGGTTACTGCCATATTGCCAACAGTGTTATCCAGCCATCAGTGAATTGGGAGACAAAACCTTGATTAGTCTGTAAAGATGGTGTAACACCATTGGCACACAACCATCCCTGGTGTTGCCAACTACACCCCAATCTTTGCCACCTATGGTAAGCTGTTAGGGTCACAACCTTAAGAGGACATCTTGCTTTCGGGCGGGCGGGTAGCATAGAGCAAGTTTGTAATGGTAGTTATTCGCCTTCCTGTTATTTTACGGAATTCTCTAGGTATCGTTCTTTAGGCCTGCCATGCCAAGGCCTCATTGCAACGTCACCTGTTAGACATTACTTGTCCCACAGTCAAGAAATTACACTTTTTGATTCACCAAACATTTGGGCATCCCACAATTTGCCATTTTGTCTGTTCATTGAGATACTGTCTTGGAGTCATTTTTGAGAGTGTGCTTAGCTCAGTTGCATCAGTGAGAGTGACTTCCCCTATAGGTGCACACACTTTGCCTTCTGTGTACATGGGCATCACATGGGTATTTCGTGATAGCAAAGAACATGATATTAAAAAATCTTAAATGGTACACATATGCACTAAATAACACATCATATGATTATCCTTACAAAATATTTTCAAGGTCATTTGGAAACAAGGCCAATGGCGGAAACATTCATGCAAGCCTTAATTTAATTCCATTACTTAATTCTACTGGCTAGTGCAAGGATACTTCAGCTATGCCTGATCAGACCAGTCTTAATGACACTTGTCATAAGTGATGACTTAATGAGGGTTGGGTGGTCACATTGTGTGACCTGGTTAATGATGTAGCATTGTACCCCAACAGCTTGGACCATTGCTTATGATATCAAGCAGTCAACCATACTTGATCATATGAAGGCTGGTAAGATATAGCTGGCCATGGAATATTGACTGATTGCATCTCCCCAAATAACTTTGTGACCTTTGATCTACTGTACTGATACTAAAAAAATCTATAAATAGTCTTATTGTGTGTTATTGTGTGTTAACTAGTGATTGACATGCTGTGAGACAATGTAGTTTTATGACCATAATTGTAGAACATAAATCATCAGTAAATAATGGAAGTATGTAATTGTAAATATGGTGCATTTATTACCTCAGTGATGGCGTATGGATGGCCATCAGGACAATCTGAAAGAAACCAAAGAACAAAAAGTATACAGATACTTGCCAAATTGACAAAACCTCTACAACATTTTGTTGTTGTTCACAACAAGCAATGTTCCAGTTTTATCATGGACGTCTATAAATGATGAAACTAGTGACTGATAATATTATAAGCAGCACCTCACAACACAATAACATGCAACTGAGTCCCGGAGGCTGACAATCTGGATATATCTGATGTAGATAGAAATTGTGAATGCATTGTGGGACCTCCACTGACAGCTAGCGGCAACTTCTTCTCTTTAAACGACCTCCCACAACACTAAGGATGTTGATAAGTCGTGAAACTCATGAGCTTTGCAGTCACTACAACCTGGTGGGGAGAGCTCTGCATGCCTGTAGCTTTCCAAGATGGTGGTTTTCAACCAGCCTGCAACTTTAGCCTTGACGATGTCTTTATCAATAGTAGGCTTGCATGAGACGAAAAGTCATTTTTTGTGTCGTCGATGTTCCTGTGCAGCTGTGAGATAATATTTCAGTGCTGAACTGGTCTGGATGGTCCACATGGCAGAGATGGAGTATTGACTCAATCCACTGTGTATTTGAGGAAGGAGAAGTCTAGTCTTCTCCACCACTGTCCAAACTTGCATTGGAGGCAGAATTAGAGAAACAACAAACCTGCATCTTTGCCAAAGGGAAAATGTGTATGCAAACATATCTCCCCAATTAAGTGGCAGGGTATCTAGATGTAGAGTCTGCGGGTCTGGTACTGGACAGACATAGATTGGAAGCTTGCTGTTAAGACATGTCGCAACAAGTCGAGATGTGACCGTCCCAAGTCATTGTTATTCACTTGAAAACTTGGGAAAGTATAGAGACACTCCATTGACATGATGTTGCACTTTGGGGACAAACAATTTGCCAATATGTTGTGTGTGCCTGGTATGTGGCATGCATCCAATCTGCAATTGATTAGGTCTGCTAATCCAAATAAACGTAAAGTCTCCTTCAAGAAACGTTCTTATTCCGTTCCCCCTTCTTGTTGATGGTATGGTACTGCCGTGGTGTTGTTAGTAGCAACCGGTACTGATGACTAACAACTTGTCTGTCCATGTATTGAGAGCGTGGTAAATCACCAACATTTCCAGAGAAGATACATGTCTTGTGCTCTGCACATGGGCAGAGGCATTTGGCACAATATGAGGCATTCCTAACAACTGGTTAGGTAGGATGGCTGACAATGAAGAGGAGGTCTGTTGACATCTAAAGCTATTTTTAGTGTTAACCAAATTGCAAGAATATTGGATATGATGTAAAAGAGGTTAGGTATTCAAAGGAATTATGTACTTCCTGTAAAGCTCATATCTTATTTGTGACATCCAGTTGTTACCCACTCATTGAACTTATTGGGGATTCCAGATCAGAATATACCAGTCCCCTATTCCCAAATCTTGTTATAACTAAATTGGGTGCTTGACAAAATATTGTACAAAAGCGTTGCTTATATATGTTTAATATTTCTCACTGTGGTTTAAACAACATGGACTCACCCACCATTACATTACTATGCAGACAGTAACAGTAGGTAAATTGAATCCATCTCATATGTATCATAAAGTGTATCAGATCTATAGCCTGAGTCATTAATAATGATATATCAATTGTAAAAATATAACATAAAAGTGTTGATTGATATGTACTGACCCTTATATAGAAAAATTCTACGTACAGACATTAAAATGATTTATGTTTCAATATGATCTCCTTTTACGTTGATACACTTTTGCCAAGATGTTGGAAGAATTTTATCCCAGTTTCATAGAAGACCTTCTCCTGGCTGTCCAAAAAGTCCTCCACAGATGCTATGACGTCATCATTCGAGTTCAAATAGGTTCCAGGTAGAGTCTTCTTCATGATTGAAAACAGATGGAAGTCTGATGGAGAAGGATCAGAATAATATGGTGGGTGCTTAAGGAGTTCAAAGCTATACTTGTGGATTGTAGCCAAGGCAAGGACTGATTTGTGTGATGGTGCCTTGTCCTGATGAAAAGCACACCTATTCTCAGCTTCCCATGTCACCTAGTCCTAATTTAAGCCATAATTGCATTATAAGCTCTTGTCAGTTCTTTTGGAAGGTAGTCCAATATCATGACACAGAAGTCATAACCTTTCTGTTATAACTGTTTTGATTGGTGCTTGGACTGGTTCCCAGGTTTTATTCATAGTCGCAAAATATTGCAAGAACCTTTCTGGATCAGCTTCAAACAGAGCTTTATTCTCACAGACACAATATGTCTGGTGCATATTTTATCAGGTGTCAGAAGCTTTGGAACCCCAGCAAGCTGATACCTTCATTGACAAAGTTTCTGTGATAATGTAGTGTACTCTCTCCTGGGAAATGCCCACTTAACCAGCAATATGACGCTCAAGTCATAAGCATGTCAGTCATCATCATATCCTGTATTCTCTGGATATTTTCTGGTGTGACAGGCCTTCCAGGACAGAGTATTTTTTCTTCCCGTCATGCTTCATCTGTCACCTCTTAATGGTGGAATTGGAAGGGGCGTCCTTCCCTAGTGTAGTACTCATATCTTCAAGAATGGATTTTGGGGTTAGATCCTCTTTCTGCAAATAATTCCTGCACTTTCAAGTTTGTCCATTTTTTTTAAAGATTCCATACCCTTGTTTATTTTACAGACCTGTGACAGCAAAACAATTTGCTCAATTTACTCATGTTTTTGTGGATATACCTCCATGACATCATGTAATGTCCATAATGATGTTGTTTTTAAACTATTATGTGATTCCTTCGAAGTGAGGCTCAGAACTTATCAGTCACCCCTCGTAAAAATACTTACAAAAAAAGACGACTTCACTGGCATCTCCTTTCGCTTTCATGGAATTCAGCATTGACTGCCTAATGGAATCTACATCATCCTGAGGCATTGTTGGGAGTAGCATGTCCTACAAGAGAGACTAGAGATAGATTCCAGTATCTACAAGATTAAATTGTATACTATCATTTTATTAATTTAAAAAAGATTTCTACTCACACTTTTATCAAAAGAGTATATTAATTTGTATTGATATTTTTCTAGTCATTTGACACGTATGAGATACATTTTTTCCTTCAAATGTACTCTTATTTTGTTATCTATACTCCCAAAAATTAATGATTATCTGATAACTACCGGTAAATATTCCTTTTGAATGTTAAAATCATGATGTTAATGGTCAGATTTTAAGTATTTTTAATGGTCATCTTAATGAGGAGGGGAAAGTTATACCGGTAATACAGTATTATGAACTAACTGGCAGCCATGGAGCCAAGCAACAGATTGGGATGGTGGCAGGGGTTTATATATACAATTCCTGGTATAACAAGAAATGTGCTTGTAAAAGTAAAAGCAGCACTGCTATGTCTAAAAGGCCTGATAAATCATTACAGACCATAACACTACATATTTCCTATCTGAAATCATTTCCAGGCTTTAATGATTATCATTTCCTTTGATTTGGGGAAATAAATGCTACCACAAGATTAAAGTACTTCATGAATTACTTTCACTGCACCCTTGACCTTATACATAGCTCACTCACCCGCCTTTCCACAAGGATGACATATCAAGTTTCATTGAAGTTCACTAAATGCATCATAAGTCCTTTGTATAAACAAAACTTTCTTCAGACAATGGCCTTAAGGGTGACCTTGACATGACTTATCTCTGTGTCAAAAATATTTCTGTATTATTAAAGGGTATATTTTAACATAATCACCAGTAGATTAGGAGAAATGTGTGTACAGCTGATTGCTATTTCCGGCCTAGTTTTCGTGGCAAAAACACATGGTAATCGTAATCCTTGCATATAAAACAATGCCTAACATAATCAGAAATACAATTGAAATGGTAAATCAACTTGTCTAGTGATGTTTACTAGCAAATTTCACATTTTCAGTGACAAAGTTTGTTATATATTGTTTGTTCACCTGAATCGATACGATATATGATTTTACTGGGCACAATACACAAAATAGCAATTATACCCAAGTGTGCAATATGAACTGAAAAATTGATTCATGAAAATGTAACCTTTACATAGGCCCACCTCCTTCTTCAGAATCTTTTTCTGGTCCGCAAAATCCAGTTAATTTACAGTCTTACACAGTAATACTCAAGCATAAAAAAGTTTACTCATTTTGCAAACATTATCTATGATGATTACCATTTATATTTGTGGTGACCCTATTACAAACTTAACCAGATATATACAAAATGTCAACACCAGAGAACAAACATTCTTGATTATGAAAAGAAATTAAACAGATTCCATTGAGTGATGCCCTATTATGATAACTGCCATGGTTGCTACTTTGATTTTTCTAAATGAAAACCTTACTTTACTGAACAGATGGAGCTTATGAACATCAAACACTTGAATCAATATTTCAAACTGCTTCTGAGTTGAAGATGTAGGCCTAATATAGGGTCTTAAATGTGCTGCTGCGTATATGCATAAGCCATTTTAAATTTTCGCTGACTGATAATTCTACGAACAAAAGATATGTACAACATTTGTCAGTATTGTGTTGATATAGAACAGTGCAACAGACAAAGCTCACCAATTTTAAGGTGAGCTAAATATACCAAGATAGGCATTTCAATAACTATTTAAAATGATTGATATTTTTACATACTAATCATATATTTATCGATAACTCTTTTCTGAAAAATCCTCGGCTTGTTTTTAACACTGCATGCTTCAAGTGCCAACATATACATTTTGACTAACCCTCATGTCCTCTGGATGCAGTATGAGGTCAGCGAGAGGTTTAAGGAAGCCTGGCATGTTGTTGAAGTGTGTTAGGACGAGGTATGTGTGCAGCAGCAGACACGCCAGACTCTGGTCTCGGACACTCTGTCCTTCTGTGATGTTCAGGGGAGAGCCAGGCCTACCGAACTCATTCTGCAGCAGACTCTGGGCAAGCTCCTAAGAGGTATGGGAAAAAATCACACTATAGACTTAAAAATTGGAATGGTGACAATGACAAGATATTGAACAGATATCAAGAAAATTACAGCTGTTCTGTAGCTCTCCAATCTCATTAAAATCAGATCTAAGTTCTCGCTGCCGCTAAACTAAGATCTGAGGACATCCCATCAGGGTCACGTCAGGACGACCTTTCGTGAACTTTGACCGACCACTGAAATGACTGACAAGAAGTCGACATCAGCCAATTAGAAAGCGGCTTTCTCGAGCTTTACGGCACTCGTTTCAACCTGGGAACTTCCATTTCAGACTACACTTGAAAAATATGTTGACATGGTTCTCGTTTAAAATTTTGAAACCTGAACGAACGAACATTCCGGAATGTCTAATATATGGTTGCGATTGTATGGCAGTGCTTCCCATGTACTGTGCAACGTACACCTCCTCAGTTCAAATGTTTATCCCACGGAAGCGAGAGATAGATGATACTTTTGACGGAATCAGTCGTACGGGCCATAACTGTCGTTCGGAATACCCCGTGTAAACCTTTTCGAGGTTGCATGATTAGAAAACGCATTCTGACTGTCACTTTCATGATCTGGTAAGCGACACTTTGATTGGTCTGATGAAAGGTCGTTCTGACGTGACCCATAATGGGATGTCCTCAGACTTTTGTTAAGCGATTGCGAGAACTAAGATCTGATTTTAATGAGATTGGTAGCTCTCATGTGTGTTTCATGCTGGCACCATAATTTGGAACACTGAATTGTCAGTACTAGTATAAACTCAGTCAGTCAGTTCCAGTTAAATCGGTGCACAGTGAGCTACATGTTAGTAAGTTAATAGTTTATGTCGCAACAGCAATTTTTCCTTTGTACAAAATTTAAAGAGTGAGCATACAGCATGGCTGGAGATGGTTTACATAAATACTTACAATGATCTAATTCCATAATTGTAGTGGATAATTTAGATAAAATGAGTGTGCAGTCTCCATATGTAGAAGTCAGAAGCACATATTGAACTAAAGAATATCTTATAGGCTATATCAATAATGTACTTGTTCAAAGCAGGAAAACACCAGCAAGAAATAAAATTCATTTGCCACATCTACTCCTGCATGTTAATATAAGCGACAAAAGCCTTTTCATAATCATAAGAAATCTCTGCTAGGCACAGAGTCCATTTTAGGATTGCTACTGCCATATCATAAGCATGTGTTTATGAATTACTATAAAATAGTGATGATGCGAGGTGATTGCAAAAAGGAATTTTCTAACAGTAACAAAACATAACATAAGATATTGTTGTTGAGAAGAGATGAAATACCCAAATATTTAAAAATATGTATAATGAAAAAAGGGCTAATGGGTCGTAGGTAGGATGAGATGGTAATATTACTGTTAATCTTCTAGTGCCTCACAGGCAGCTAAGCTTGTCAGCGGAGAATGAAAATTGAGTGCACATCAATCCATTGTCTAGAGTAATAATTATACATATGTATAATTAATGCCGTCTAATCACATTTAAGCAGGTATATATTGGAAAGTGCACTATACAAAGTCATAATATAATTTACTTAATAGCTTGATGCAAATCGGCAAACAATAAAGTAACAGTCACATAGTTACTGGTCTCATTCCATGTATGATGTATGACATTATGTGACATATATCCCACTGATAACAGCTAAGATACATATATTATAGTTGGTATGTGTCATAATAAAAATAATTTGTGACATAAACATGTACAATCCATACATGTGAGGTTGGGTATGAACTTACTTTTTGCTTAACTTTCTTTGTTTTCTCAACAAATTGTGTGACCATTAGAAGAGATGTTTTCTGAAAAGGAAAACAAGGATAAATGTCAATGTATCACTAGTGAACAAAACTCTTTGAACAGTCCTAAGAATAAGTGATATACATGTTCAAGCATCAATGGCATCATTTATCTAAACCCAATTTTTTTCAGTTTTCAAAAGAAATATATAGTCATGAATGAAACTTATGTTCACTACAAATATTGAAAAATGTATACCTGTTTAAGTGCTTTCGAAATGCCTCTCAAAGAAGTTAACTGTTCAAAGTACAATAGTTACAAATCTGTGACGTACCAAGATCTGTCGATCCCTTTCAGTTTGTGGTTTGATATTGGACATGGTCACTTCTCTGTGTACAGCTAGGAGAAACAGCATCTCATTTTTCTGAAATTAATTAACAATAATTATCATAAATATATGCAAATACACATATTACATCAACCATTGTGGGGAGTAGGGGTAAAACATGTTTAAAAATAAAGTGTGTACCACTAATCAATGTATCCTGGCAGTGGCCATGTATCACTGATTGTAATGCTGATCCAAACATATCAATCTGGAATTACACTTTTCACTAAATATATTCACATTTCATTGACAAATTTATCTTGATATTGATTATTTATGTTTTACATTTCTAGCTTGAGCTAACACATTCATCACTGGATGCTCTTACCTTGACCAATGGTTTCAGGTGCTTGATGTCTTCACCCAGGAGAGTCTTAGCCAAAGTTTCTCTTACTTCCTGGTACTCAAAGCAGACAACATATCGATCTGGGCACTCATTGACCTAATGAAAAGAATTCTGAGATTAGAATACAAGCACTTTGTGCCAAAAAGTTTTAAGTCTGCTGCCTCGAACATGTCACTTCATATCATTTCAGTACATGTTAATTGGTGGACTCTCATTTTGCAAAGCTTACGGGAACAAAAGAAAATTGACTTATGTTTCAAGTATGTAATTATAAGACTCTAAAAATAAGTAGTCTTAATATTTTGCAAAAATGATGATTGCCTGTCGGAAAAACAAGCAAATGATCATTGGTGGGTACACGTTTCAGATTCATCTGCATGTCCATTGGTTTCATCAGTCCCTATTTTGACTAGTACCATATGTCCCTGTGTTTTATCAGGTGAACAACTGACTAGCCTTTGCATGTGTTTGTGACAGGTGCCACTGGTGGGGCAGGATACGCCATCTTTTCACAAACGCCAGGTGTCATCACTATTTGATAGTGATTCATAAACATATTCTTATGATATACATGTAGTCGGAACCTAACATCTGACTTTTAGCAGAGATTTCTCAGGTTGCTATATTTTCAGAAGGAAAGCCAAAGGCTAGCAGTCTGCTATTCTAGCTACTCTTCCAAAGCCTCAGTCAAACAACATTTCTTCTACTAATAATAAATATACAGAAAATAATGCACAAATACAAGTTGGGACAGACAACGTAAGTAGTCACCTGATTTGTAACATCCAGTGCCAGCCATGGCACCTTGCCAGTTTCACAGATAGCATGGTAGCTGTCAGTCCCAAACTCCCGACATATCTGCTTCACCAAGAACTTCCTGAAGAAAATACAATCATTTGAACTATTACATCACCGTACCTCACCTGGATATGTTGACAACATTTCAACATGTGTAAAATATATTTTGCTGCATTCATATTGAAGGATTCTTGAAAGATGTGAAAAAAGTATATATTAAACAGTATTATAGTGTGTACTGTACCATACCATATGCACAAGTATAATGCACACTTTTGTCCTTGTGATACAGCTGTGAAAAGGTTAAGAAATATTGCCACATGTGTATATAATGTTTTACACTCTCACAATCTTGCAGCTTCACTTCTTGTCTTCAGAAACATCTGCAACTGTATGTGTTAAGATACTAATAAAATTACCAAATATTGGTATGACAATATCCAAATCATATGGATCCTGAATGCAAAAGACCTACATAAACAATTTAATTACTCTGACCTAGTGACATTGACTATGACCTTCACCTTACTTATTAGAAAGTACAAAGTATAAGGATCATTCACATCATTTAAAAAAGTAACTGACCATCAATGATACAATTATTTGACAGGCATTCTATCGATATCTGATTTTGTAGGACTTGTAATAACACAGTTTCACATCTGCCTGATTAACTGACTGAATGGTGTAATCATTGACCAATCTGGACCAAAACCTTTACATAACAGTTTCAGTCAAGTTTGGTTCAAAATGTTTTTAGAGGAAGTGTAAATTAGAGGAGTTGTTCACAGATCCCAGACACTGTGAGGGCATCGGTGATCAAAGAGCAAAGGTCAAATCAAGGTCAATATTCACAATATAACATCATATGTTGATATTTTGGTCAACTGTACAAACTACACATAAACCAAATTTCAAAATATTTTGAAACAAAAAATGACTGTGTATTTACCAGAGATGGATTTTTCATCATGGCTGCCATAATCGCCATATTGAAAATCAGATTCGAACCTTTCAGACTATTGTCTAGATTGATGACTGAAATTGTTTAATCTACTTAATTTATTTTATTCAAATTTTCCTTCAATTTTGTGTACATCTTGGCAAAATTGTGTGTGAGCTTATTGGGATACATTGGGATAATTACACTTATTTACACAAACCAATTCAAACTACCACTATTGTCACCTTGAAGCAAACCTTAGTTGCCTGAGAATGAATACATACGAGCATATATCATAACTTACATAATTTGAAGTATAATCTGTCCTAGTTATATGATTTTGATGTTATCCAATGACATGTAAAAAAACATTCATAGGGGTATATGAGAAGCATTTCAACCATGAAATACTTCTTTTCTATAAACCCCAAAAGTTATGAGCATAGTTGAGCATTAAAAAACAACAATATGGATGCCATATGAAGTTGAAAAATATAAGTTCTCATCCATACTATTGATTGTTATTACCGGTATATTTCATATCTCTCAGTTGAAAATTTGATTCAGTTCTATAGGTAATTTATTGTCATTACATTATATTATTCCAAAGCACAAAAAATTTCTTACTTTGGCCATTCAGCATTTTTAACTGTTACGATGCCTTCAGTGTGATTCAAGAGTTCTCTGAAATAGTCAGTTGACATTTTCTCGGTCCCAGCAATAAACACAGCGTGCAGGTATTTGGCTGTTACTGAAAGACCATATCTACACATGGCAATGGTGTACATCTTTCTCAAGTCCAAATCCATATATAAGATATATCGTCGCCCATCTAACAGTTTGTGGCCTGTAGCTTGCATTTCTTCTGATGAGGTCCTTGACTGAGATCCATGCTCATGATATAAGTCCTGTAACGAATCAAAAGACAGACATACATTCCTTCTTTACAAAATCACATCTTGATTTCATTACAACATGATTACTTTCTTATTCTCTGACTATAATAATCAACCAAAGGACAGATCATATATTACTTATTTATCACTTAATTCATTTCAATGATTTTCTCTCCCAAAAATGCATTTGAGCCAATTTAAGAGCATAACAGTACATTTTGAGCAGAAATTTCTTAACAGTGGCCACACATAACTTTTTCAAAATAGCTGCCGGTTCATTATATTTTGAAAAAAGGAAAGGTTTGTGTCAGTAGGAAGAGGCATAAAAAGCTTTAGCTCCATTAGACAAGTGGTTCTTGAAAAGAGGATGTTTACAGTGTGAGGAAATGCATTTGGAGAGAAATTAGTAGCATTATCAAAGTGTAGAGGTCAAATTAAGGTCCACACTTAATATGCATCATGAAAAACAGAACATATGTCTTGAGTACGCATTACTATAAATATATGAAATTTCATTATGTTTTGAATCAAAATGGCTGAGTAAAAGCCATAAGCAGTATCAGCTTTCAAGTTGTGCTCCAGAAATGGCACCTAACCCACCCTTTTGAGACTAAGTCCAATTTCTTTCCATGGAAATCAAGAAAAAGAAAAATGCCAAAAATGCCAAAAATCCCTAAATAGCAAAATGTACCACTTCAGGATCTGTTTGATATACCTTCCAAGTTTTGTTGAAAGATATTGAACGGTTTTTGAGTTGTGCTCCAGAAATGAAATCCACACCACCTTCAAAGACTAAGTCCAAGGAAATTTAGAAAAATAAAAATGCCAAACATCAATAAATAGCAAAAGACACCACTTCAAGACCTGCCAATTTTGGTTGAAAAATATTAAACGGTTTTCAAGTTATACTCCAGAAACAAAAAAATTATGGACGGAAGGACGAGTGGACGGACAAGGTGTTGACTATATCCCCACGTATTTATATGCCTGGCGGATAAAATTAGTATTCTGTAACCATTCCATTAACAAATATTTCCACCAAGAAACTAACATGTTAACATGCAATTCCTTTGTTAACAAGAAAAGAATGTTTGTGTCACTTGTGAAAATAGAAATACATATAGTACATCCCATCACATGTTGTCTTCAATTTTTAGCTTATACTCCATGTACTATATTTGAGGCCAATATATAATGTAGAGTAAGTTTGTTATTATTTACATGACCTCACATAGCTAATCATACATCCCTAGTCACCAACATGTCCGTGATGAAAGAATGCTTAACTGTATCAAATGTGCTAGTCATACATTAACATATTTGGTTTGATCATGACCTTACTCGTCAGCTCTCAACATTATGGGAGGCCAGACTGGAATAGAACAGACAACAATAGGAGAAAAGACACCACCATGTCATATGCTGATTTGTACCATCCAGGCCCCCTTAAACCAAAATTTGAGCATTCTGTCAAAGATTACCTCAAAGCAGTGTATAACAAGAAGGCTGAACTGTACAATCTCCTCCAATGTCTCAATGGACATCTCTTCTTTTCCTTGTTGACATATGGCTTTGGCATCATGAAAGAAGTTCTGGAGATAGTTGTGTACCATCACCTCACTGAAGACAAAGACAATAAGCATTGCTTTAAATCTGCTCCTGGATGACAAAGGCTGGTAACTGTTTCATCCTTGTTAAATTCCAAACATCAATACCAGAGAACAATCATTCTCATCTATCTGCCAAAACTGATTCCATAGGCATAAAAGTCAAACAGTGATAAAAGTTACATGAATGATCCACTGAAATCAGTAATGATAAAAGGAGTTTGTGAAAAGGGTAAGCAAGTCCTGCTTTATAGGTAGCACCCACCACTCACAAAACTTTCATAAATATGAAAGAGTTTGTTTGTTGCCTAATGCCGGGCCAAGCAATACGATGCCAGCCTGTAAACAATTGAGTCTGGCCCAGACAATCCAGTGATCAGTATTATAAGCAATGATCCTGTCATTTGGGTACGACGCCACATTGTCAACCAAGTCACGAAGCATGACCACCAAAACAAATAAAGTAAGTGCCAGTGAGTGTGAAAACTCCCTGCAAGGGTCATACTGTGGGATAGCATCATGCATCATGTTGACAAGCAATGTGTCATATTTAGTTAAGTCTACCATAAATTTCTTGAATTACTTTACCAGGCATTTGATGATGAAACCTTAATTGAAAACCTTAGCAATGTAAGCAAAATGTGTCTTTAGCATGAAATTTGAATATTATGTACATGCTCCTAAATACCCAAGCGACTGGGAAATGTAGATGCCACAAGATGGCCCTTGTAGTACAGTGTTCAACATGAAGGGGAATTTCACAATGGGAAAATCAAAATCATCCCTCTTATCATACAGCTTGGAGAAGATGGTTGCCATCATCATTATTTTCTATGCCTAGATCAAGATAGGACATTCTCAGTTGTTTCTATGATTTCCAACTCTGTTGAATAGATGAGATGAAGATACTCATTTGAACAAATGGCAATTTATTTAGGTGATCTGATAACCCTACCTTTTGTGTATCAGAAGTTTTAGAAGAAAGGATCTGACCACAGGTGTGGGATCAATCATATCTTCAAATACAGACATCTCTTTAGTGTGCAACCTTCCAGTCTGACCATATCTGCGAGTGATGTAGCTGAAGATCCTCTCTATGACAGCACTCTCTGGAGGCTCTGTTCCACCAAAACACAGCTTGGACACCACAGACATGAGGAAGCTGTTGCAGCACTTCAGATACTCTTGGTATTCTTTGAACATTTCTCTGCAAAATAGCAATGTAGTGATACAATTTATACATTACCTTGAAGTTGATGCTATACTTTTTTCTCTCATAAAGTTTGAGTATATTGAGGACATTAAATAGTCAACCTTGCTAGTGCAACACAATACAGAAAATTGTGAAATGACCTATTTTCAAATATTTGGATAATCCTTAAAAGCTTAGAAAATAATATGTATAAATGTTTTTACATTATATTACCTATAACAATGTTCATTTTAATGTAATTAGATAACCCTTTGATGAGAAAAACTATAAAAAGAGAAACATATATATCCTTGTTCAGTACTGTATATTTTCTATTACCCTCATCAGCATGTACCAGAAATGTACACGCTAGTTTAAGGACTTTATTAAATACATGTTGTAAAGGGCATTGTACAATGCATTGTAAAGTTCAACACACGACAGAGCTTGTCACACATACATCATGATCATCCTTGCATTTCACAGGCATCATGCAACTGCAGCTCACACTGTATAAATACAGACTACAAAGATTACTGGTTTATTTTATTTTTCCACAAAAGAATGTCTTGTATAAGTCTAAAGGAGGGATGTGTTTTAAGATAGATAACATACATGCAATTTAGCAATTTTCATTCACAAACCGACAGTTTCTTGTATGGTCTCCTTAACATAATATGTCATTACAACTTTGGCATTTGAATTATCAGGAAAAGACACTTACACCTGTTGTGAAGGTCCACTGCCTGGCGTGAAGGTTTCCGGGAAAGCATTATGACATTTAGGACACCTCAGATCTCTTGTAAGTTGGGTTTCATTGTAGCATCGGAGGCAGATGTTGTCCTTGCAGGGAAGCTCTACTGGTGGTGCTTCAAACTCTGTTTCACAATGACTGCAAGAACCTATTTTTCTGAAAACATTAATTAACTGAATGTGTAAACACTTTCTGAAAATTGTGTAACACTTTATTACCTTAAAGGAATAAAGATGTTAAATTTCTCTACCTGACTTGAAAAATGTTTTAACAAGACATTCTTTCAGATTTGAATTGATCTCAATTTTTCAATCATGTCTGATTTTGTGGTCAAAGTTGTTTAAGAACCTACACGTTTTATGACAAGGATTGCTAAAGCTGGGCCTAATGAAAGCATCAGTAGAATGTAGACAAAATAACGTAGCTAGAAAATATAATAAAATATTAATTTTATTTTAAAAAGTTCTTCTTGAAAATGCAATAAAAGCATTGATGACTTTAAAGTACTTACCCAGATAGTTTTTTGACAACATTTTTGTTAACACTTCTCAGGAACAGCTCAATCTTTTTTAGTGATTCAATTTTCTTGAAGTCAGTATTTTCAGTGAGCATCTGAAATGAACAATGTTATTACAGTTTAGTCTGAAAACAGGTAGACTAATTACCTGGGAGACAATCTTCAATTTTGTTAATTGCATCCTTTTTGTTTACTGTTTCAAAGACTGTTTTCAAGACACAGAGCTGCGTAAATTTGTTAACAGTTGGTAGATGGTCCCCCTGATAGGAGGAAGGATCATTGTTTGTTTTGTAAAAAACTTTCTATAACTGTAACTGAAATGCTTAATGAGAGAATTTAAATAAATCTCATGCTCATATGAAGTGAGGGACACGTCTTACTGTCCAGAGGGGCATGCATCGTGTTTCCAGTTGAACTTTCTTGTTGCTTGAGAAACTCTCCAAAAACAGTTTGATGGCCATTACCCGCATCCATCCACATCTGAAACAACACAATGTATCACTAAGGAATAAACATGTCTTGATCTTTCATAGAGTGAGAATTGTTTTCCATGTAGGTAAATGTAGCATTGGGCGATCTAAAAGCAATATGGCAGAAGACCTTCAGACATGCTGATACAAGATTTTTTCATATTAAATGGCTGTGTATTAATCCCTGAGTAGTAGAAAATAAAAATTGTACATAATTTGTTTGTTTTTTCTCTTCCAAAAAAGGCAAACAAAAAGTATATTTTAATGTTATGATCACATCTTAGTCGTATTATGGTGCTAGATATCCCCCCTAAAGGAAACAAACACATTTTTGAGTTATAGGTAAAATAAATATAACTCAAATTTATGTTATTGCTTTTTATAGTATAAAGAAGATAGGGTACAGGTGTGAACATTGTGCAGATCACATTTTACAGATGACACACCTTTAACTAAAAAGGCTGTCTCATAAAACTATCTGACTTCCAAACCAAACAGCATTACAAAGTTAAATAATTTTTAAACACATCCAAAATAAGGACCAATGATGAAACCTAAACATAGCTATGGCATTAGAAGTGAACATAGTGCTATTGCAGTAATGTAAAAGAAATATATCCATTTTGGCAATAATACCTGACTTGATCCATTGCCCTGAGACACACATTGCCATGTGCAAGCTCTGTGTTAGTAGTGTTGAGGATTCTCGCTATCACAGGCAGATATGTTTTGACACAATCCATCCAGGCAGCTCGACCTGCATCAGTGTTTAGTTCCTCCTTCTTTGGTTCTAGCTGCTCCATGAGAAGGACAATACTCAGAACATCCAAAGTCTGAAGAACAGAAAAAATGACATTACCAATAACAATGTCTACAAGCAGCATGAGACAAGGGAGCCTTAAATGACCAAACTGACAATGTAGCTGCCAATATTGTTCAGTGAATAGGACAACAATGACAATACCCGGGTCCAAAGATCATGCTTTGGGACTGGTGCATGTGTATGTGGTGTTGGGGGATTGGGGGTAGGAGTGGGGCTGAGACTGTATTATATTTTGCTGACGCCCCCCATTTTATGTAACAACTTTTCACACCCCTCCACCTGTACAATTTTATGTGACAGCAATCAAATTCTCACAAAACCTTACAGTATCATCATTTACATGGTGACATCAACCATCAGGAAATTTAAAGACTTGAAATACATGAATTGTGATGTCATCTCAGATTCACCAAGGTGTCACACATCTCCTTAGCCTTGTTGGACATCTATTTGGAGATGCATAGTGCATCATTCCCTTTGCCAACAATGTGTACGAAACAAAATATCTTTTCCCATATGCACTTAACTTCTTACATTATGTACAACTTCATGGACAAGGCTGGATAAAGGAACCACTCTGAACACTCTGAATTTTGTCCAAAATATGAGAAAAGACAAGCATATATATAGGTCCTGAGCAACCTGTGGTGGTCATAAGAAGACCAAATGGACTGATTGGTCAAGCTCAGTGACTGGTCGGTTGCATGTCATCATGACCCAACAGTGTTGGTTGTTGCTCACAATATTAATCACTGGATCGTCTAGCCCAAACTCTATTATTTATATGCCACTGCCATATTATAGCTGTAATATTGCTTAATGTGATGATAAAAGAACCACTTTTGAATTAACAACATGATTGATTCAGGAAGCAGGTCAAAATTTATTTATATCCCTTGTAACTGTAACCTTTTGTGTGATTAATCTCATTGGTGTGATCAAAATTGACAAACCAACCTTATCAAATAATGTCCTAAAGACATCTACTGACTCTAGCTTGAAGAACATCATCCCAGTATTCTTGTTGGCCTACATCTACAGCCAAGAACCAGACTAAAAGACCACTGTTGCCCATGGATTAATATCACCTGCAGACTAAATACGCAGTTTTAAACCAAGGGCTAAGGAAAGGAGGGAACAACAACAGAGATGCCAAACTGGTTTGGGCTACACATTGATCACACTTGAATCTTCAAAGATCAGGAATACCAGCTGAATACCAAGATTCAGTTAAATTCAACCAGCAGAACTTGGAAACATCACAGAAATACATGTGTACAGTATGAGTGGTAAATTTAAGTGAAGAGAAACCTTTTCAGACCATGAATGCTTATAAATAAGATCCTTATTAAGCTATGTGCATGTTATTGTCTTGATCTTTTCAATTTTCTCTGCAAGGAATGTATTTATTATGACATTTGCCCCTCATTAACTTTATACATGATAGATAGTTATACATACTAACTTGATTTTACAAAAACCCTTGGTGTTATTATTATAATGTTGCAATGTTTCAAAGGTAGGTTTTCATGAATTTATTTCCTTCCATTTGTGTTGAGATGCACATGCAAAAATGAATAACTCAACAGAACTGACATTTTGACTCAGGTTAAGCTCTTCAAAATGAATAACTCTATTGTACTGGCATTTGAAGTAAGTACTGTCATAAAAATTGAAAATGATGTATGTCTATGAGTTATAAACCTTTTAAGTTTTTCACACAAAACGCAAATACAAGTTGACTATCTGTTTTAGCATTTACAGCTCTTAAACATTCTGGTGTAGAATTAGTGTCCAGCAATCTATGCCTGTCGAAAGAAGTGACCAACTGGATTGGCTAGTCAGTGACTTGATTGATTGTATGTTAATGCATGTATCCAAACAGCATGGTACATTGCTCATAATATCAATATAACTTGTGTATATGGTCCAGACATATTTATTTACAGCCCACCATGATATATAGCAGGAATAATAAAGCATTAAACAATCAACAAATAAACTCCTACCATCTCGTTGTCTGTGAGCAGTGGGTTGTCTGTGAGCAGTGGGTTTCCTCCTACTCTCTCCTTCAAGTCAGTGACAGCTGTCACAACTTCCGGCCAGATCTGGACCACCTCCAGGAAGAGCTGAAGCCTCTCTTTGGCAGCCGAGTGGATAACGTGGATGTAGATAATAGCCTGTATCACACCTAGGTTGCACAAGTCTCTGTCTGTCTGCCTTGCTGCATTCTCTAGGGCACTACAGAATATCTAGGAATAATAAATATGCTTGAATAATAAATGCATAGACCAACACCCATGAAACTGTAGCTCACCTGGTAATATAATTTTACATTCAATGCCAACAATTTTAAAAGCTTCAAAACTGTTATTAGCTTCATTTTTACATGTGTAAATGTTGATTTGGGTTCTCTGCAATACATTTTGAAGTTATTGGATTCTCACAAAAGGGAAAAGCACCAGACACGATAACGTGATGATTACAGATTTTGTCCTAATATGAACCAAATTTGGGGTTTGATGATATAGCATTCTACAATGAATTTAGAAAATTTTAGATTCTGATCGGTCAATTAGAGGTTTCAAATCACATTTACCATCTCTAGTTGAAACAGCTGATTTGATGTCTGTATCACTTCAATAGCTAATAGACATGTGTTTATAGAAAAAAACTTCTTTCTCAATCATTGTCAGTTTGAAATAATTGGATAGACAGTTGCGGTTACCAGAATATTCAAATTATATTCTGGCAATGGATGTTGGGCAGAATATACGATAGAATTTGACTGAAAGTTTTTTTCAAGTTTGGGGAACAAAAAAGATCTTGGAATTGGGCGCTTTACTATATCCAACTGTGATCTGATATATTTCATGTCACAATAAGCTGTGTGTACAATTTCAATTTTGTGCAGTTATATCTACAGGTTAAATAGCTTTTACATTGCAAACACAGAATATTTATCTCATAATTAATAGAGGCCAGTTTATCAGGAAACAGGTATGGCAGAAAATAAACAATGATGCTAATGAACACAATGAACATCCCTACCTCCCACACATCTATTCTCCCAGAGTAGATTGTATGTACAAAATCTCCGAGATAAGCTTTGAACACAGAAGTTTTGTCCTCTTCTCCAATAACTGATGACAGCACTTCCCCAAAAGCAGTTTTGCTTATGATGTCATCTACGCAGATCAATATCTCAGTTGAATCTAAAATAACAAGAGAAATTAGAATTCTTTCAACTTACATGTTTCTGCAAAATTTGTCATACATGTGGAAAAGGGTCATGTACGACACATATGTTTAAGCTATCTCTTTGAAGCATATCCATTAGTCTAGGCAAACATTTCACTAAAGGACATGTCTGTCACCTACTTTGAGTTAAGTGCAAATCAGGTTACCATGAAAAATGTAAATTAAGTCACGTAAAAATATGACCAATATTACTTTCCCGAAACGAAAGATTGATCTACCTTCATCCATTGATCTCCCTGTATCCTCTGTCTCTGCAATGGCATTTCTTATGTCTTGAAAGAGAAGCCAGAAAAATGGCATCTGCACAGTGAAAACCTGTTTGCTGACTCCCAAATGATGGGGCACAACCTCACCCTGGTGGTGTTGGTTCTCTGGGGCAATGATGTCTTTACACTGGTAATGACATACTTTTGTATTGTCAAGCAAAGCAAGCCAAAGTCTTTTCTTCCATGGAGCTACCTCTGATACACACAAGTCAAGGTTTCTATTGGTGTCCAGGAATGCCACAACTCCCGCCAAAATTGGTATGATCTGATTTTCCAGGTACTGCATTGCAGCACGTCTGATAACAGAAAAAGTCAAAGCACTCACTTAGAATTGTTTAAATTAACAAAACAGAACAAGAGGACAGTCATCAATATCCCCCGCATTAGCATATACTTGTAAATACTTCATCTAGTCATATAATGTATATATACTTATACATATAATCATATATATATATTGTCTCCATTGAAACTCAAAAATTATTTTTTTCAAAAGTCCCAAACTATCAAAAGGCACCAGTTAACCGCTAGACCTATGTGTATGCCAAGTTTGGTGAAGAAATATTGTAAAGTTTTCAAGATCTGCTCTGGAAACAACATCTTGTTAGGATGAACAGACAGACTGATGGTGTCAAATTTAAAAATGTGTTGTGTCTCTTACCAAATTTCAGTACATTTTGAAGTAATGGGCACTGTACCCCCCTGGATATGTAACATTGTAAAATTTAAGAGATGACATATTCCCCCGGTCTGGTTTAATTCGGAAATGGAGTTTAGCTAATTATATCCCACTTTTGGTTCATTGCCATGGGATACCTTCAGTTCCCTGAAGGAAAAATTTGTGCTGTTTCAGTATTTTTCAAAATCCTCAATCATCAAATGGCACCAGTTCACCAACAGACTGATCTGTATAGTAAGTTTCATCCAGAAATACTCAACGGTTTGGAGTTCTGCACCGGAAATGAGCACCTCATTTTCAGTAAAGTCAACTTATCATCATGAAAACATAAACAAATATAACAAATTAAAATCCCAAATCATCAAGAGGCACCAGTTTCTGAGGAGGTCATGTTTACAGTGCAAGAAAATGCATTAAGAGAATTCAGGAGCATGGTCAAAATGCAAAGGTCACAACAAAGCAAAAATATTAAATAGTGCTGAAAATGGAGCATTTGTATTGAGCCCCACTACTAACCACAACTATACCAAGTGTTGTTATATTTTGAAAGACAATAACTGGATAATTGGTCTTTTATTACAGCGCTGCCGTGTTGAGGTGCCATTTTTGAAAACATACCTGAAAGTACCTGCTTGTCTGACATGTTCTTGTTTCGCTGCTCCTTTAGAAAGCCAGTTGGAGGGTAAAAACCTGCTGTGCAATGTTTCTTTTTCCTTCAAAAGGCTGATGATAAGTTTCGACAACCCAGTCATGAACAATCTGGCATCTGAAAACAGGAGCATAATGTCTGCAGGAAATATTTCTCTATTATTTATCAACTGTCCATGAAATATGCCAAGATTGACCTGCACCATGCCGTAGGCTAGAAAGCCTATACAGGATTGGTGGGCCACTATGGCATTTGAGCAAGTTTACATTCTTTCTCATCATAACAGTGTGACAGATCACTGTTATATATTACTTGATTGTTAAAAAGAATATCGAACTCCAACTTCTTCAGGGTAGGGTTGTTGATTAATAAAAAAATTATTGTATGGTTGTTTCTTATTGGCCTTGGTCCATTATACTGGTGTCGTGCAGGTTGTATTAGTCTGAGGCAACATGACAAACTTTAGACCCTTACCAAGGCCAAAATAAAAACAAAAACATAACAAAATTGAAAATACAAAAAACTGTGTCATGGATTCCAGAGTATTTTAAGTATGTGTAACCATACATTTCATAAGGAAAACCTGGAACAACAAATGAGTATGTAACCAGGGTCATTAACATCCCAGTTTTTAAATTTGTATCATGCATATGTTAGGTATTATGTGGAACATTATGGTTGAAGTACATAAAAGCAAACATAATCAGAAAAAAAATCATGATTGATCCTTGAATTTGACCATTCTACCCATTGAAGATATCAGATTCAAGCAAAGTCACATCATTCATCATTCCCGCTTATGATAGATCACTTTGGTATGGAGATAGATGTACTATGTATTGAAATCAGAGGTTTTAAATGAAGATTTGAAACCTGTAAAAAAATATTTTGTATTTCAAATGAAATTTTCATGTATCGAACCTATGTTCTAACCTTCTAAATTGAAAATACTGTAACTTATCTCCTCAGTGAATAATGCCTGAAAATCAAACATGTATGTTTATTTCATACATCTCTGGACTAATTATTCCTGATTTCCATCTATCAACATCACTTTTAAGACACGATAAATAAGACATATCTTAATTTGCAGGACTGTAAATAGGAGAACATTTCAATAACGGGCTGAGTGCGGCATTAAACAACAAACAAAAAATTCAATAACGGAAAAAGAAAAGTGAATGTCATTATCTAACACTGACTCTAATTATGAAAAGCTGACCTTCATCATCTGTGTTGTCCAATAGCTTCAGGAGTATCTCTATCCTCTTGGTGGAGCGTTTGGTGTCCAGTTCTTCATCCCTGATGAGAGCAGCAGCAGACTGGATGCAGGGCAAGAGCAGTTTTTGGAAGTAGGGAGCAACGGCATGTTTCCTTTCATCTATTTCCAGTGCAATGTCTTCAATTCCAACTGTATCATGTCTCTGGTTTTCACCTACTTCCAGCTGATCTACATCTGACATTTCAAGTCTCTGATCCCTGACATTCTGTAATGAATCAAATCCTAACAAGTCTCCATGAGTTCCCTCAGCCTCTTGTCCTTGGTACAGACTATTTTTATGCTCCAATGACATTGACTTCACTTCTTGATGTTCCTGGTTGACCGCCTGAATATTCAAATTTTCTGCATCTGGTTGAGGTTCATCCCATAGCAGGTCCATGGGCGGAATTCTCTGCTCCAATGGCTGAACACTCGTGGGTGGCATATTGCTACTCAGTCCCTCAAAAATGGATGCTGGTGAGAATTGATGTAATTCATTTATTGAAGGCATGTCTTGTGTTGATTGTCGTAGTTCATCTAGATGTAATGAGTGCCACTTCCCAGCCTGTAATTAATCAAGTTTATTCAAGTATTCAAGTTTATTCAGATATATGTGTAACTGACAATACTGTTCTGGAGCACCTAAAGTACAGTTTAATCACAATATGAATACTTAAGTAATACACAGAAATCTTGCATGCTTTAATAGCCTGTAACAGAGAAGTAAAATAATACTTTGGCACTGTAGCTAAAACTTTTCCATTTCCAAATTTCTGTAGTGTAACAAATATGAAGTCTCCTTACCATACTGCAAATACTTTCAAATTGAAATTGTTAACAAATAGTGTCATGAGTGTAGGATCTTTTTTTCACAGTGAATTTCACACCTGACGCAGCCATGACATGACAGGAGTCAATTGATCTTCATTGATTGAAAAATGCTCTGTTTTTGTCATCCATGGTGTCATATTTAGATGTGTGATACCTAGTTTATACTGAGTGATCTTCAATGTCACCCCCAGTCATGTCAGAAAAATTCCCAAGGGGCATAAATGAGGTTTGTTTGTTGCATTCAGCAAAAATTTTTTATGAAGTGATATAATTGGTCTATATGCCTCTCAAAGAAGTTAAAATATAATTGGAACATACCATAAAAGAATATTTACAATAAAATATGAATGATCATTTGCTTGATTTGAAACTAAACCAAAACATGCATCAATGAAACAGACTAACTGGAACAATAGTTGTATGATGTCCAACATTAGATGTAAGTCAATGTAAGAATATAAAATGTAAATAAATCCTAGAATATCCTGTTTAGCATGTTAAGAAACAAACAAGAAAACAGTGATATCATTATCCCCCACCATGGGGAACATCAGAATTTTGTTTGTTCACATAGTAGTGAATATAATGGAGAAAGGGAGGGTAGCTCCAGAACAACATGACATGACAGGAGTCAGTCTTGACAAGTTCACCAGAACCTTTTGTGAATGGTCTAATTGCAAGCACTAAAAAAATTATTAAACCCACTGCAAGGCTGGTTTGGGTGCAACTTGTAAATCGTGGTTTGTGGGTTTTTTTCACAATTCACCACATATCTTATATAAGTTCCTTTGTCAAGTGTTATACATCTCGATTAGGTAATTATGGTAACAGTTCTCAGACTACCCTGCATAGATCTTTTTGTAGAAAATCAAAAATAGCATTTAAGTACTGTTAATATGGTTATAAAGTTTCATGGATAATATGTGAAAAAGATTATGGATATATGATCCAGAAATGAACACTACAATCCAAAAAAGAAAAAGCCAAAAATGTTTTTTTAGAAATACCAAAACATCAAAAGGCACCAGTTCAGCATGTGATTGATACACATGCAAAGTCTGATATAACATATCAAACAGTTTCTGAGTTATGCTCCGGAAACAAACGAATAATAGAAGGGCATTATTACAATACATGTTAAGTAGGAATGTCCGAGCAGTGGCCATAATAATGTTTTTCAAAATAACTGCTGTGGCAACTATATTAAATATTAAACTAAAATTCAGTTGTCATCATTGGTTGGAAAAGGCATGTGAAGGTTCAGCTTCATTGGTCCAGTGGTTTCTAAAGAGATGATGTTTACACTGTTGAAAATGCATCTTGAGTGAATTTAAGAGTAGGGTCAAAATGTAAAGGTCAAAACATATATAATTTTGCTAGAAATGGAACATATGTATTGAGCCAAACTACCCAAAAGAAATGGCCATAAGAAGTTATTGCTTTCATTATTGTTAAGTGCAAAAGTCAAATCAAAATTTTAAATATTGTAATAAATGGAACATCTATGTGGAGCCCCACTACTAAATACACATGTACAAAATTTCATTCCATTTTGAACAGAAATGTCTGAGTCATTGGCAAAAAGGAGTATGGCTGCCATACTGAAAAATTGGACTGAAACCTCTACAACAAACTTGGGTGTCATCATTGGTGGAAATGAGTATGCGAAGTGCCAGCTTCATAGGTCCAGTCGTTTCAGAGGGGAAAATGTTTGAGCTGGACTCACCATGATGGACGCAGGACAAACAGACCACAACAAAAGCTCACTTGACTTGTCAGGTGGGTTAAAACATGTTTTAATTACACATATGACAAATACATCTGGTGCATACCTGAAAGCCAGAGAAGCATCCTCCAGCAATATTAGGCAGTTGTATGATGAAGACTACAGCAAACTGTCTGGCATCATGCAGCTCATCCAGAACACAGTACTGGGCACTCCTGATGAGAGACTGGTTCCTGTCTCCAGATCCACACTGAACTAGCAGCAGTTTCTGACCCTCCACACTCCGCTGCACAAAGTTTCTGTGATTGGAAACAATGAGTATTCAAACAGCAATCCTTTTCAGAAAAACAACACAAACAAGCACAATCCTTGTCTTACATTGGTAATGCAGTCAACTCTTATAATTGCATATATTCATATAAATCTGGCTTGGAACAAACAGGAAATTCACACAATGCGAGTATGTGGATTGATCTTGAATGGTTTGGCCATGCATTCTATTTTGTGACAAACTTTGGTTGCTGGCAACAGATGAATGAAATGAGGTAGTCAAAGACATGAGACACCTACTTGATCTGCTGTGCAAACTGCTGCTCTGTGTCAAAGGACTGCAGTGTGAGCAGGATGATGTTGTTGGGAGGCAGACTCAGATGTATGCTCAGGTCCTCCTTCTCCTGGTCTGTCAGTAGCTTGGAGTGAGTTGTCACCTGTGTGGAAGAAGACAATCAAGATAAATTTGAGTAAATATGCAAAGCTATCAAAAGAACAGTCATCACACTGGTAATCATAAATACATAAAGTAAGGGGGCAGAAGCATTGTGGGTTATACAGGTCTTGAAAGTGCTGTTTTATCAGCCTTTCAAAGACACATAATCACTTCATCTAAAGTGTGTATGTGCTAGCTTTATATCGTAACAATTTGCACTAAACGGTACCAATATACTAATCCTATCTATTAATCTATCAGCATATCAGTAATTCAAACTGATTTGTATCAAGTAACTAAAACTTCATTAAAATGATTTAAACATCTGTTGTCATTACTATTTTATAGTGAATTATAAACACATGCTCATGATATAATCGGAATTGTGCAATCGACTTATTAAAGATATGGAAAGGGTTTTGTCGCTTTTATTTAAATACATAGAGGTTATCACACTAGTATGATTTTGGATGGTACCGGTAAATATCTTATATAAAGAATACACAGTGCTCTTTCCTAATATAGGGTGATAGTATCAGTATTCATCTCTCTTACAAATTATATTAAGATTCTGTCTGGCCCCTTATACTAGATGCATTATTGTCTCATAATAACCAGTAGATGCTGATAAATAGGTTTTACAAGATAATTATCGACGCACTACATAGAGAGACAGAGACTGAGAGAGACAGAGTGGGTGTGGGTGTGGGTGTGGGTGTGTGGGTGTGGGTGTGGGTGTGGGTGTGGGTGTGGGTGTGGGTGGTAAAAGTAAAAGCACTGGCAGGCCATATCAAAGACCTGAGTCCAAAGTGAATCCGATAATTGGCTGGAATATTGCCTAAAGCAGCCTAAACCAATAATCACTGCACTCCATATAAAGTACATACATGTTCTTTAATTTTCACAGAATTTTCCCTAAACACTTCTTTTATCTGTCCCTTTTGCTAAAACTTGAAGTAGCTTCTTTTATGATCATGAAATAACTCTTGAAAACACAGTATTCAGTGACATTATCAAATACATAAGACTTACTGTGTAAAGTAATAATAAAATGACTGGCTAACAAGGCCACAATTCTTTGCATTCGTAACTCACTGAACAGGAGAAGTGCACATCATTTTCATAAATGGCTTGTCACAGGAAATCTTTTTCTTACTTTCTTAATTCTCAATTATTCAAATGTTAACAGTAACACAAATGACATACAATTTTGGGATGGTTTTTTTTTTCTCAGCTATTTTCAAAACGTCACTTTGCACAATGTTATTGTTTGTGAGAGACAATCATTAGTTTCAATACTATCCTACCTGTGCTTGCAATGTGAGGCATTCCTCCTGCAAGATTTTCGACTTAAGATACTGGTAGATGTCATCATGTTGCTGGCACTGCCAGTAAGTTCTGTGGATATTGTCTGCTTCAAGGTGGAGTTTCTGATCCGCCAGCCTCTCTACTGAGGCAGGAGTAGCACACCACAACAATGTCTGTTGACATTCCTTGAAAATCTGTGCCAAGAAAATACATAACATAAAGATGGTCTATTACTACATGTGTTTGAATAAAAAACACAAAAATCACAGTAGGCTAAATGTTAACATTGGCTTCATGGATGTAGAATATGCATATAGATAAGGGAGGATGACATACACCCTGTTCTGTAACAGTTTAAAGTAATTTACCTTGTTCATCATCTAATAATAATATCTAGAGCTCGTGATATAGTCCTAGGAAGAAGCAGTACCCAAAACTTGGATGAAACCTACTGATGGTTGTGCCACAGCAGTGTCAGTACTGTTCCATTGTGAGAGCGTGACTTTCTCCACTTCAAGCCTTTGATATTGTGCAAGAGGACATTCTGATAAAAAAAACACTATGGTCCTTTTTGGCCAACAAACATTTAGCTGAAGGTTTTGTATTGCTAGCTTTGTTAATGACAGTTAATTTAAAAAAAAACAATTGAAACAAGTATTTGTCACAGAGTGACGAAATATCCCCCGCCTGTACACCATAGTACCAAATATGAAGACAATCCAGCGATTAGTTCTTGAGATATTGTGGCAACACCGTTTTCCAACTCCAAAAACAGATTTGCCTGCTGTGACCTTGACAATGGGGTCAAGGTCACCAAAACCGACTGGTGTCTGCGGTGTCTGTATATACACCATAGTTCCAAATATGAAGACAATCCAGTGTTTAGTTCTTGAGATATCGCGGCAACACCGTTTTCCAACTACAAAAGCAGATTTGTCTGCTGTGACCTTGAAAATGGGATCAAGGTCACCAAAACCGACTGGTGTCTGCGGAGTCTGTATATACACCATAGTTCCAAATATGAAGACAATCCAGTGTTTAGTTCTTGAGATATCGCGGCAACACCGTTTTCCAACTCTAAAAGCAGATTTGTCTGCTGTGACCTTGAAAATGGGATCAAGGTCACCAAAACCGACTGGTGTCTGCGGAGTCTGTATATACACCATAGTTCCAAATATGAAGACAATCCAGTGTTTAGTTCTTGAGATATCGCGGCAACACCGTTTTCCAACTCTAAAAGCAGATTTGTCTGCTGTGACCTTGAAAATGGGATCAAGGTCACCAAAACCGACTGGTGTCTGCGGAGTCTGTATATACACCATAGTTCCAAATATGAAGACAATCCAGTGTTTAGTTCTTGAGATATCGCGGCAACACCGTTTTCCAACTCCAAAAGCAGATATGCCTGCTGTGACCTTGAAAATGGGATCAAGGTCACCAAAACCGACTGGTGTCTGCGGTGTCTGTATATACACCATAGTTCCAAATATGAAGACAATCCAGTGTTTAGTTCTTGAGATATCGCGGCAACAAACAGGTGGGACGTACGGACGGACGTACGTACGGACGGTCGTGAATACTATATCCCCCGCTTCGCGCTTTCGTGCGGCGGGGGATAATAAAAACACAATTGCTAAAAGGAACCAAAGACTGATGGCAGTGACTGTCTGGAAAAAACATGGCATTCAACTACAAAACAATGTTGCTTGAAAGTACCCAAACACTTATGATTGATTCACAGTGTTGCTGAAGGTTTGCACATGCGGTCTGGAAACTCTACCTGTGGCTAGATTGCTTATGATCTCTAAAACGCCATTCACCAAGACCTCCTGTATTAGTGTTCCAAAATAATGAACAGCAAGGCAGGATGGTAGGACAGTTAAACATCAGCATGAGAACACTTGTGGAACTGATTCTGATATTGCTTGAACAGGACCGAGAAGACTGCATTGAAAGCTTCAACAGCCAAAGCGAGAAGCTCCTTGAGGACTGACCAATAGCAATGTGATACCAAAACAAAATATCACAAAACAAAAAGTTATCAATATCACACACCCTTTCAAATATGTGCATAAAATGACAAAAAGTATGCCATATGCCTCAATTACCTTAGTTAATCCTATAGCTTGTGAGTACAACTGACATTATGATCGATGACTAAACCAAATGATTCCCTCTATTCATAAAATGTTTTCAATACCGTCCAAGGATGTGAATTAAAAATGTTATTTTGAAATAGAAAGAGCAATAGATAGCAATGTTACATGCATTTTTAAAACTCTAAATCTAAAATCAAAATAATTCCTGAATTCACACATGATTTCGCCGAAATTAATGTAAATAATATTGAATGAAATTTTCAATAAAATTAACAAAACATATGACAAACATAAGTCCATATATACAATGAACACTTTTTATAACCAGACAGTGGTATTCTAGGTACAAAAAACTCTCCTTATGCACAGTGATATACAGTAGGTTACTGGGGACCTATAGGATTGTATGATATATCTGATGTGCTTATAAAATTCATAAAGAAATATTTATTTGTCAATGAGTTATGCTCCACAAAATGAAACTCTCATTTGAACCTTAGTCCAACTTTTTATTCCCTTTAAAATAATATATAAAATTTGAATAGCATGAGTCAGCAGTTCCGCATTTGCTTGTATAAAAAGAGTTTCACAAAGAAATGAGAAACTGTTCATGCATTAAGCTCCGGAAATAATATCTACCCACATGTAATCCTTAGTCCAACTTTTTGCTTTGGAAAAGGAAAATCTACAACGTATCTTGGAGGTTTAGCTATTTTTGCAAGAGTTGAGATAAGTATAGTGGCATGAATATAAATATAAGAAAAATGAAATAATGACAGTGAACCACCTCTTATAACTAATGTCACTGTACACATGATGCATAAAAAATGTCCCACTCACATCATCATCCAAGTCCACAATACGATCCCTGCCCATAACTTGTATCACAATGGCTGCTGCTGTGTCTGCATGGTAGCCCATGAAGGCATCTTCAGGAAGGTTCTCTCTTTGTCTCCTAGGTAAGGTTAACAACAAAACCAGAGTACAAGAACAGAACTTTCTTACACTCAGGCCAAGGACCTTGGCATATGAGATACAAACATGTAAAACATAGTGATGCGGAAAGAGGATTCACTTGATTCACAGTTTTCATATCAGTATATATTAAAAAAAATCTTCTGGACAGTAGATTTTTGAAGAGTTAAACAATTCTATGTACTTTAGTATATTTGGTTGATTCCTATATTTACATTGGATATACAATTTATGAGCATTGTTCAAATGTTTACATTTAAAAAAATTATTGTATTCATCACCAACATCTTTCATTTCACAACAGTGAACAAGTTCAAGATAAGTTCCATTTAAACTTATATGTTTTCTTTTGTCAGAAGCATTACCTCCCCAAAAAATACTTTTGTTTTATCAGTAATTATGATAAATTTTCATCTTTTACAATATAAATCAAAACAATCAAGAGAATTTTGTAAATATTTTTTGAAAGACCTAGAAGGGCTGTGTCATCTGCAGTTAACAGTACAAACAAGATTGAGAAAGATCAATCATAACATCAAGAGAGGATAAGTCTAATTGTAAACCAATGCAATAATGTTCAATGAGATAAGTTTCAATATAATTAATGTACATAAAATCAAATTGAACAATTTCATGTTTACTGGCATCATTTCCAAGGTATTTTTTTATGTATTTATTTATGATTTTTTCAGTGCCACATGCTTCCCCATTTTAATTTTATTAATAGCAATTTGTATTTCTTGTGGGGTTAAGTCTTTGTTTAATGCATTGCAATAAGTTATATCAATAGGGAATTCAGAAATATCATCAGGGAACTCATCAACATGCTCGGTCTTTTTAAATATTTGAAAAAGTGATTCAAACATAGTAGTCATGAATCTTTACTATCTTTACATAATATTTTCCTAAATGGCTTGGTGTCATTTAACCGCAAGGATGATAACTTACTTTGTAAAGTACTTCTATGGAAGCTGTAGTATTTAAGTAAAGTTTTCTTATGTCCTCTACTAGAATTTAACAATCTGTGTTTTGATATTTCCCCTGATAATTGTACTAGAGGTACAGAAGTTCACCTTCAGTGATATAAACCTTGTGTGGTGTGGTTGTGCTAAACCAGCCAATTTATCTTAAAACCATAGTACTCTTTTACCTTTTGAAGTTTTATCAATCATGATAAAATATGTTTTCATGTGTTTCAAGACAATACTTGTTTGTAATTTAAATTATCAATACCTGTGGAATAAATCCAAATAAAGTATTAGAATAAAGCAATTGCACATAAGAATGGTATGTTCATACAAAGCACAAGTGATTCCTACTTTGAATTTTGACTCACTCCCTACATAAAAAACACAGTATGTTTGTCTCTGACACAAAATGACAAGATATTCAGGTCAAAAGCTGTTTTACACTTATTTCATTATTACAAACCTCCTGTGATGTCTTCCATTGTTTTGTGAGGTTTCTTATATTCATATAATGACCTGTAAGGATGCTTATTGGGTGTTGAACTATGCTCCTCACCTCTCAAGTATTTTTTTACAAACTTTAAAACAACCTGTACTACCACTTAAGTAAGTCTTTACAAACATTACAAAAATCGTTTTAAACTATTCAGAAAATAGTTTGCAATCATGAAATTTAAACTGCAGGGCATTTTGTTATTGAGTCCGACTTTGCAACCAATTTAGCCACTGAGGCCTTACATATAAAAGGAAACGCTTTTGAAATTTTAGAATTAATTATTTTGAGCATGAAATACAATGTTTTTATGTAACTGAAAACTGATAATAAATTAAAAGGTGAAAACGCTTCTGAAGGATTTCATAACCATACAAGGGGACAAACTACTAAAAGTGTTTGCTTTTGCTCAATATTTGACATATTATAAAAAATTATTCTGATATGTTTGTCCGTGATTTGTCGGTTAGTTTTACTTGTGATGTAAACCCTTGAGGAGAGAACCTCAGGTCTTACTTTCCCTCACCTCTCTTCCATTGGGTTTTAAAATAGCAAGCATAACCTGGGAGTTTTATCCTACGTAGTGACCTTGACTCTTAAAGTCAGTCAATGGATGTGCCAAATCCCCTTGAAATGTGATATCAGGGCTTAGGATGCAAACTCTTAGTAAAGTGAGCATGTAGGGAATAAAATTTGATATTCAAAAAGCTTTCCACATCCCCTATTTCTGACAACTGTGACCTATCTTTTTCTTCACCTTTATTTCTGCACTGAAGAGGCCACAGGCCTAGTGTACAAATATATTGTTTCAGAGTAGTAGTGTCTATAAAAGCATTGTTTTCCTGTACATCATAGCATGGTTAAAGCTGACAATTGGTTCAAAGTTACACTGTTAGAAGAATTGAACAGAGATTCAAATATGAAAACACTCATGACTGGGTTGACAAAGTGTTAGTATAGTAATTTCTTTATGAAGCATATGCTGGACAAACACAAAGAAGGCCAAAAAACAAGATACCTTTCAACTGTAAGTGAAAGAAAATCATTTCCCACATAACATCTCTATCGACGCATTATAATTATATACTGAACAGCATTGGAAACGCACCAGTAGAAAATGTGAAAATTTCAATGGCGTTTATCTGTAGATGGAAAATAACATGGAATATTATGCTGACAACATTGCAGATCATGCATACTGATGTTAAAGCGACCAAAAACAGATTGCCAGAACGCACCACTGGACACATCACCTAAACGCAACAAACTGCATGCATTGTATGAAAAGCTCAATTTGCATGCTCAAATCATGCTGACAGACAGTATAAGAGATGTTTTGAACGAAGCCACTTTCATTTAAGCTGAATACACAAAGAAGAACGTTAAAACGTTATGCCAAGGTTGACAGCTGAGGAACGTGAACGTGCCTTGGGCATGATTCAAGTCGGTATTTCCAGTAGAGTTATCGCGCAACAATTTGGATGCCACCATTCGACAATCGTTCGACTGCAGAGAAGTCATAAGCAAACAGGAATCACCAGGGATTGTCCACGTCCTGGCCAACGACGTGTCACGGTGCCACGTCAAGATCGCCATATTGTTCGCAGACATCTTCGTGACAGGACTCCAGCAACTGTCCACGGTCGACGAGGGGTCATCAGTGCAGACACTGTGCGACGTCGTCTTCGTGCTGCTGGGTTGTGTGCTCGACGTCCTTGCGTCTGACCCATCCTGACTGATAGACATCGAAATGAATGGCAGCGTTGGGCTGAACGTCATCGTCATTGGAGATTACAGCGATGGCATGGTGTCTTGTTCTCCGATGAGTCTCGTTTTCTCGTTTTCGTTTTTAATGCTGATGGTCGGTTGAGAGTATGGCGTAGACGTGGAGAACGTTATCATCCAGACTGTGTTGTACAGACTGATCGATGGGGTGGAGGCAGTGTCATGGTGTGGGGTGGCATCAGTTATCATCACAGGACCGATCTGCATATCTGCCGTGGAAGAGTTAATGCCCTTAATTACCGTGACAACATCTTGCAGAATCACGCCATGCCCGTCTTCCGTATGCATCAGGATCTGCACACGTTCCAGCAAGACAACGCCAGGGCTCACACAGCTTGTGCCTCAACGCAGTATCTTGCCAGCAACAACATACCACTACTTCCATGGCCAGCACTGTCCCCAGATTTGTCTCCCATCGAGCATCTGTGGGATTACCTCGGTCAACGCATTTCACGTCGCCCACAGATTAACAACCTGAGAGAACTGGAAAACGCTCTGCAACAGGAATGGAATGTGATCCCCCAGAACATTATTCAAAGGCTGATCGGGTCAATGCGAAGGCGTTGCATGGCTTGTGTTGCTGCAAATGGTGGTCATACACGTAACTGACTTTTCATTTCGACCCCATGTGTCTTTCATACACAGATAAATTAAACCTGTTCGAAGACTGTGGATTCCAGTTTGTTTATGGTCTTTGTTGTTTATCCTTCTATCGATATTTAAGAAACCTTCATTGCCTGCTGGCATATATTTTCAACAGAACCTACACCAAGTGCCTATACAGTTAATGATATGAAAAAGTAAAAAGTCCTGCCTCACCTTCCAGAAGTGAATGTTCTGGGAGTTACAAAGTCCACTGCCCACTGGCTCAGTTTCTCTGACTGTTTTTTCTGCTCTGGTGTCATCATGTTGTTAAGATCAAGGAAGTGTTTCTCCAGGCGGTTGATCAGCGGTATCGGAAACTCATCATACACCTTCTGTTTCTCTGCTACTACAATCAGCCTGAGAATGAAATGCAGTAATTTTCTGTAGCAGGTTATAATAGAAAATGATGTTCACTGTCAAGATTGTTCATTTATCTGCATTTGCCCATGAACCCATATCAGAACGTGATCATGCAATATTACATGAAGCACCAGTATTATCATTGATATTTCATGCTCACAAACCGAAAGAAGCACGTGTGATATATCACAACTCTGTACCATCTGCCTGCTTTGATTTACCTCACCTCCATCATTAATTACATTGGTAACAGTTGAAACAAATATGCTGTGCAATGGAATATCCCTTAGCCATATCAGGATCTGCTGGTCATGGGTTCAAATCCCACCCTGATAATGATCCTTGCAATTGGTCTGTCAGCACCATACTGGTGTTTATTAGTTTCACTGGAGTGGTAACCCAATATGATCTGTGTTGCTTTAGGCCTAACACAAGACCAAATAGCGTCCATTCCAATTTGGAATGAACGTTGGAATGCTTTGGAAAGATCGCTCATTCCAAACTTTCCAAAGCTTGGAAAGATCGATCTTTCCAAAAAATCCAAAATTGGAATGGCAACATTTCCAAACATATTTCCAACATTGGAAATGTTTGGAATGACTTGGAATGGTTTGGAATGGTTTGGAATTGTTTGGAAATATGGTTAGAAGGAACAAGTTAAACTATGTTTTATCAGTAATTTGAACAATAAAAAGCCTATGAATTAGGGGCTTTCGGGGTTGCTTATATAGTAATTTTGAAATTTTGAGATTTGGACAGAATGCCAAGAGTGGGTTGGGGACGAACTAAGGGAGCTGTGTGTGTTGGGTGGTTGTTAGATAAGGTAGTTTTGGTTTTATTATTTTATTTGGGGTTTAAATGCGACTAATTAGTCCTGTTTTAATTAGGTATAAACCTAAGGCTTTGAATTTTTCTAATTTATTTTATGGATTTAGGATTGATTCTAGTGTAAGTCCGGTTTTAAGATTTAGGGTGGTCTGTAGTGTTGTTCGGTGTGTTTGGTAGTGTGTGCAGTGAATGAGTACGTGTTCTGGTGTTTCTTGTTGTTTGCAATGTGGGCAGTTTCCTGTTGTGTGTAGATTAGCTATTTACGGTGATTATTTAGTTTGGTGCGGCCTGTTTGTAGTTTAGTAATCATTCTGTCGATTTTTTTGGATGGGTGTAGTATTTTTGGTTTATTTAGGTTTTTTGAGTACTTTCCTGATTTGGCTATTTAAGTTTTGGTATATATTTTGCCAATTTTGGTTGATTTTTTGTTTAGTGAGACTTTTGATTTCTGATTTTGAGCTGGGTAAGTTTAAGCTTATTTCTGGGAGTTAAAGGGATTATTTTGCTGCTTTATCTGCCTTTTCATTTCCAAAGATTCATACGTGGGCGGGGGTCCAAATGAACTCTATTTGTTTACCTGCCCTAGTTAAGTTGTTTGAGCTATTGAGTATTTGATTTATTAGTTTGGGGTGGTTTTTAGTGTTTTTATTTTTGAGGGCTTGTAGTCCACTGAGGGAGTCGGTTAGGATGAGGATTTTTTGGTTGTTTTTCAGATTGCTGATTGTGTAGTGCTGAGACAACTACTGACTGATATAGAAGTTTTAACGTGCGCTTTCCGACTGCAGCGTATTTCGCACACGGGCCTGGCCGGACCATTTAGTGTATTCCGAAAAGGGTGAAAGTGGTGTGTGCAACCCAAGAGGGGGCTTTTAGGGGTTGCTTATACTGAATTTTTGAGATTTTTAAATTTGGAATAAATGCCGAGGTGGGTTGAGGAGGGAACTAAGGGAGCCGGGTGAGGTGGGTGTTTGTATGTTTATTGGATTTTGGATTGGTAGATTAATAAGTTTTTAGATGCGCTTAATTAGGTCTGTTTTGATTAGGAATACGCCTAGGGCCTTGAAGTTTTCTAGTTTATTTTGAGTGTTTAGTATTTCATCTAGAGTAGGAACCTTATTTAGATTGAGGGTGGTTTGTAGAGTGGTTCTGTGTGTTTGGTAGTGGGTGCAGTGGATGAGTGCGTGTTCTGTGGTTTCGGGTTGTTTTCAGTGGGGGCAGTTGCCTGTGGTGTGTCTTTTAAGTTTTTTTAGGTTTGTGTGTCCTGTTTGGAGTTTTGTAATTAATCTGTCAATTCTTTCTAGAGGGGTGTAGGATTTTAGGTTTGGCTAGTGGTTTTCTGAGCACTTTTTTGATTTGGCTATTTGGGTTTTGATATTGATTATGCCATTTTTTGGTTATTTTTTGTTTGTTTACACTTTTAATTTCTGATTTTGAGATGGGTAGGTTTAGGCTTTTTTCTGGTATTTTAAGAGTTAATTTAGCTGCTTTATCGGCGCTTTCGTTGCCGTAAATTCCTACGTGGGCGGGGATCTACAAGAAGGTTATTTGTTTGCCTGCTTTTGTTAGGTCGTTGGAGCTTTTAAGTATTTGGTTTATTAATTTAGGTCGTTTTTTGGTATTTTGTTTTGGAGGGCTTGTAGTCCACTAAGGGAGTCGGTGAGAATTAGGATTTCATTGTTGTTTTTAGATTGTTGGTTATGCAGGGCTGAGGCCATGCCCATAAGTTCGGCCATGAATATAGATTGGTTGTTAGGGAGTCGGTAAGATTATGATGTCAGGACGTACTACAGTCAAAACCATATATTTTAAAATCAATTTTATGACAGACTATGATTTCAAAGTCCCGATTAGCAAATCAATGAGGTATCAGTTTCACCACATGTGCACAGACCGCCTATACTTCTATATATATTTTTCATAACTATTCTCCAGTTAAAGTCTTATCCTCTTATCAAAAAATCTGTGAGAGTGATCATCATTAACGAAACTCATTCTCGTCAAAGAATACAGAACAAATGAAGAATCAGATGCATACATTTATTGCCATGCTTCATTCATCACAAAGTAGATCTAGATTTACATACATTTGTGAATAGCACTTAAACTGTGATAATGAATTTTACCATTGTCCATATTATATTATAAATATTGACCATAATATGGATTTCCAAATATATAAACGACTCCAAACGTTGATATTTCAGACAAAAACAAAGTCAGCTGTCTTTTAACGTTCAGGGGAAAAGGGTTTGCTTTCACAATTGAACATTTGTTTTCACCAAAGGACAATCAAATCAAGCCAAAAACAGTAAAAATACACATATATGGTTAGCGACCGCCTTTATACAGCGAGGAAGAAAATTCGTCTGCTCTAACTGCCTTCACAAAAACATTCCAGCCCTTAATTACCGAGGCAGCTGTGGCGTAGTAGCATTACATTCGCTGCGTTTGCAGCATATAAGATGTGTAATCTGTGGAGTGACCAAAGTAATATTACGGCCGAAATCTTACTTGCATGGTTGTTTTAATAGGAAACTTACAGTTTAAAAATTGTTCTTATATAATGTTTTCAGGTTTGGTTTATAAATAGAAGAGAAGATTTTTTATACATATAAAACTGGTCGAAAATACAGCTGAACAATAGAAAAAGAAAAATAGGAGTTTTGAATAGTGACAAATTTTAATTACATCACCTTGTCAATAATTATTGATTGATTCCGTCAAACAACTGTCAAACCATTTATTGCCATGTACGTACATGTACACAGGAAGTCGGCGCTGTCGGAGGCTCCAGGTAAATAGACATCGTGGTTTTATGACGGGAGATCAGACTAAAGGTGGTAGAACCAGGGTATTGTCTCTTGGACTGGCTAATTGACCGTACGTATAATTGGCAAATATATTCGTTTTGACACCCGTGTTTAATGCCCATCCCGGCTCATAAGCAGAATACAGACAAATGAGGCCCCGTGATCAGCGGAGCGTGAACAACATGGATGCCGCCTTTCGGCCGTACCGAACAGTCAAGCTGCGATCTCGGAACTGAATCCAATTGCAAGCGGAGACAAGATTACTTCCCTTACCCAAACATGATCGTTACTCAGAAATGTTCAAATCTATCTTCAGTAAATCATGAAATTAATGCGAGCATGACATTTATGCAAAAAATGCGATCGTCAGTCTCTCTGATTATTTTAATATGTTTCATTTCATCATGATAAAAAAGTTAGTCACTTATAAGGTTACCACGTTGAAAATGGAAACGATCGTTAACAAAAACAACAAAATGTATTCTCTCATCACTCAGCCTAACAGTGATATAACTGCAAATTAAACAATCAAGTGCGCTAAAGTATTACACATGGTGGGTGGAGGACCAGGGGCACTTTGAGTTTGACAGTTGTCATCAACTGGTCAAGTAGCATCACGGTTTGTATATTCACGTTGATTGGACAGTCTAGACTGGCGCCAACTAATCATGACGGCGTCTTCAGAACAGAACAGAACTTTATTTCTCCCAGGTTTAGGCTTACGTGGATAACGGAAAATTTTGTTTAAGTGATAGCACATTTGTAATTCAATCTAATATACTTTCCTTGATTGATTATATGGCTGCGGTCGTGGATCCGGATGTATCTAAATATGCTCAGTATTTACACAGGGTTTATTGTTATGCTATTAGGATTAATAGATACAATTGAGTATTTATACCCTTGATCATAAAGTTAGTCACTACTTTCACACTTTGATTTGTATGATTTGGGTTATGATTAAATTGACAAAATAAGAAATCATTCCGTGTATATGTGTATTATATATTGTACCCCAATACGAAATTAAATTGTGTATAAATAAGGACACTAGGTTAATTACTGTAATTGATTATTTGATAAACATATTCACATTTAGTTGTGTGATATGTCACAGAGGTAAAGCTAATTCATAACAACTAATTGTCCCATTTATTTGGTTTCTATCTGTTATATGAAACAAATGCTATAACATGGGGTGATAAACTTCATTGGCAATAGACGTAGCATATAATTGTCCACATGAACAGTCTACTCTGTTCCAGATATGTTTATTCATTTCGTCAGCATTTAAATCGTTGCATTCCTGGCTAGATGATTCATTTGACGAAATCATGTTCCCTGTTTTGAATTACCGTCAGATAGTTCCAGAACAATTATAACATTTTCAGCCCTATGTGTTGCGCATAATTCCGAGATAATTCGAAGTTCATATTCTTGTACGAACACTTATCAAAATTCATTTATACCTCGTACTATTATGTATATATGTATATTAGTTCAAATTATAATAATGAGGCCCTCTATATTCTCGAAATGGTCTTTGTTCTAAGACAACCGTAAGGCGGTATGGGAAAACAAAATATTTGTTTAATTGTTCAAAGTTCAAAGTCAATGTCATATGATTATAGACAAGGAAGATAAGAAATTAAATATAAAGAGTAGCCACTTTAAATGACAGAATTTCTTTTAGTTCAGTTTGCTCATGATTTGGTCTTTTCGTGGTACATAGTGCCAAAATACTCTTGATTATTTACTTTCATGTCATTACTAATCTCACATAAGGTCAAAAGTTGTAAAACTTTTAACAGATATGATTATGACATGTTGTATCCAAACATTTCCAAACATTTCCAAACAAATCCAAACAAATCCAAGCTTGGAAATATGACCTTTCCAAATATTGGAATGGTCATATTTCCAATTGGAATGGTGGTATTTCCAAGTTTTGGATTTTTTGGAATGGATGATATTTTGTCCAGTGTAATTCCCCCCACATTAAGATGGATTATCTGAAATACTGTTCAAAACAGTGTTGACCACAATACCCTCAATCAGAAAACAAGGCTGCAAGAGATACTCCAAGTTACCGTCCTGCTTGTACTTATAGCAGAAGCACTTACTTGAATTTCTGATGAACTCTGCACTTTACTCTGTGTGTTCCAAGTCCGAGGTCAACAAAACGTTCACCTCCAAGTCTGGCATAGTACTGTAATCATAAAATTTAACAGGTGATATGTATGGATCCTCTTCCAACTTCAGGGCTTAAGGGATACGCACAGTTTCCATGTGTATTATGAAGCTTCACAGACACTATGAATAAATGTTAGTAACAGCTTCTGCCACTCTGATATAGTAGAGAGTATTGACAACTGACCTGGTTGAGTGCATCATAAAGACTCTCATACAGATTCTCCAGGTTCAACAGGATCACTGTGCTGCCAGTCTCCATGCACACCTTGATTCTGTTGATGTTTCGACACACCTTAAATACAATGCAATGTAAGTTAGGAGACATACTTTGGACAAAGAGCCTTAAGTAATACACACCAAGTTTGATGTATGTGTCAGTGAACCTTTTATGATCTAAACCATACAGATGACCAAACAGGAATATATATTAAAAACAAACAGAAACCGAACATACTGTTACTGACAACTTGTTATAAATGAGACAACTGTTCTGGTATGTGTTATCTGTACTCTCCATCAATATACCATGCCATACTTGTACCAACAACACATGATGAAAATAAAACAAATATTACTAAAAATAAAACAAACAAAAATAAACTTGTATTGGACTGTATTGACTGTATCATAACATGATCACCATATTTCTCTTTAAAAGTGTATATAAAGTAAAATTTTACACTGCTTTTAGAAATATTCCAACTGGGAAACACCAGAAATGAGCTCCACACATTTTCTATGCGGGGGAATCAAATCTGGGTGTTCAGCTTGACAGGTGATGCACTAGACTATCCCACTGTCCTGAACATCTTGCTCTTCTATTTCTCTTTCGTCTCTCTTTCTATCAAGTTTAATGACAGAGCAAACAGTATTCTCTGTAGTTGATGAATTATGTGTTTTGACCCATTTTCATGAAATTGAGTCTTGCCTTGACAATTGAAAATTTCCTTGTTACAAAATTTGATATCCACAGCAATGAAATTATGCCATTTCTCAAGTTGCAAAGACAATGAACCTGCAAACCCAAATATTTTGCCACATTCTACTCTCACGACAACTACAGGCCCTTCTATTTTCTGTTATCACTGCGAACTTGCCACAAATATATCCTGCCGTTCGTCACAGCTTGTATGAAAAACGTCTTTTTTGAAAACTTTTGTCATATTCATTTCTTTAATAAACCTGAATACCCTTTCGGTCAGAAATACTAACAACAAATCTCAATCTATCAGGTTGTTTTAAATAAGGAAAATGGAAATGAGTTGACTGACAGTGACAACAAGTTTCCACAACAAAGGTGAGAAGTCAACTCACCTGAGTATATTCCTGGTCTTTGGGAAAACTTGAGCCAAAGATTACAATGACTTTGTGTCTGGCTAAAATCTCTTGCTGTAGGATGCTCAGAGCTCCGTAGTTCTCAGTCAGCAACAGCAGGTAACGGCTCTCACTGGGAAATGGAAAACATTTTGATCAACAACAGAAAGTTCTCAAATATGATGAAAGTGTCTTGTATGTAGCCAAACATAAGTGTTATGATACTGTAGCTCACCTGGATATACAGCCAACAGCTTAACATGTCAACAAAGACATACACTTACTGTAAGTTGCTGTGATCATTAGGGCTGCAACGAATACACTATAAGGCGAATACATTTCGTATTACAAATATAGGTTAACGAATACAAATATTAATTCACGAATACAATAACAAGTCAGCAGCTGATGTATTTTTTGTGTATATTCAGTGAAGCAATAACAACATAAATTATTGGACATGGTTTGTTAATTATTAATATATTATACATTTATATACTGCACTTATCCAGGTACTAGTATCTGCTCAAATATGACAATGACCAGTGACCACGATGCTGTCAAATTAAGTAGTATAAGAGTGTTGTCTTTTGAAGAAATCTATGCATATAATTTGTTCTTATGGATATTTTTACGATGCTGTCAAATTAAGTAGTATAAGAGTGTTGTCTTTTGAAGAAATCTATGCATATAATTTGTTCTTATGGATATTTTTATGTAAATGCACATGCTTGCATATTCATTAATATTCGATTCTAGTGGCCACGTATAATGAATTCAATTCATGAATGGATACGGTTCGATTCACCGTGAATCGTGATCATCAATTTTCAAATATTTTTCACAAAAAATATTAGGGATTAACAAAAAAATATTAAACACATAACTACATCTCAACAGTGTTATCTACAACAATATTTCATTTACTATTTTCCAAATGTTTCACAACAGATAAACATTAAATATTGATGTGTTTTTCTAAGAGAATTTCATGTCAGATGACCTATAAAAATTAACCTACCTCATCGAAGTCAGTAGCATTAAATACACATTCTACACATTGAGTTGCATGTTACATAATGAGATATTTCAATGCTGACCTGCTTGCAACATCGGTCGAGAGACCAGCTTCTATCAGATGAATGGTGGTTGAGTCAGGATCATCCTTGTGTTTCTGTTTGAAAAACAGAAAGTTTCAAACTGTCAATCAACTTTACCAGAACCATTATGTATGAAAAAGTGCCAAGTTCAAATTAGGGTACCGTATTCGACCTAATAAGCGCCCAGGGCGCTCTCAAAATTAGAAATAGGGGGCTCTTATTTGAATATTATTTTGGTGAAAAAGACAGAGTTGAAAGATAAATTTCGTTGTTTATGCTGACAGCCTGAACTGTTTATATACGAGAGATACATTTTTCCAGAATTTAAATGCCCTTAATTAAGGGTGCTTATAACACACGTACGTATTATACGCGAATAAATAAGTGTTGTGTACATTGATCAATCGGAAGGGGTTCTAATTGGTATTGTTCACTAGCCAATATATTAGCCGATATGGCCGTGGGCGCTTATTAGAGCGGGGCGCTTATTACGTCGATTACGGTATTTAGATTGTCTCCATGAAACTTAGCATGCACATGAGGTATCACACATCCTTCATCATTCCAGGCATTTTCTTACAATAGTTTGTGGTAATATTGCTATCAACCACTTCTGAAGATAAAGTTTTGTCTATTGAAAAGTACCAATAATTTCAATATTTTACCTCTTCCTGCTTTGGAACTGTCGAAATGCTGTCCCTGAATACAACAACAGGGTCCAGGTTGTCAAGGCCACCAAAGTTTCTCCTAATAGCATGCTCCAACTGATGCCAGCAAATGTCTCGATCATGTTTATCAGCAAAGGCATAAACCATCTTCACAAGGCTGGAACAGACGAAACACTTCTGATAACCATGATGCTCGGTATCTGATGATAACATTTTTCTTACATTTGCCCCATACAAGATCAACCAGGTGACATTCATAACATTATTTCGCAACATTACTCATCATTTAGAGAAGTGAAAACAGAATAACACAGTATTGTAGCTCACCTGGATGAGTAGTCATTGTTAAAAATGTCAACAAAGACTGACACTTGATAAAATTTGCTGTCAGCTTCACATCCAAATATTTGGTACTCAAATACTGAAAATTCTAAATCTTAATGATTTTTAAAAATATTATGTCATCATAAGTAGAAATATACATACCACAGATTCAGAGGAGAAGATATTTACAGAGCCAAAAATATATTTATGGCCATTAATAAAAATCTTTAGAACGTGCTGAGGTGGTGGCAATATTGAAAATACAAACTAAACCTCTTATAGAAATTTGGGTGTTTTCATTGGTGGGAACAAGTATATGAAGTTTCAGCTTCATCGGGGTTTTTTCATTTTCCAATATTGCTGCAAATATCCAATTTTTGATAAAGATGCCTTGAACAAACTTGGAAGTACAGGAAGAGACCACCTCACTCACCAAGTTTCAGGCTTCTGGCTCCTTAAGGTTTGCAGAAGATTATAAAATTATTTCTTTTAAATCAAAGATGGCTATCTGATGGCCATATACACTTTAACCTCCTAATGGTAATGAACAATAGTTCACAGACGACAACACCGCCAAGGATAAATTACAACTTTCAAAGACAAAAGCTTGCTAACTTTGGATCAAAGATTGCATGTACTTGCTAAAATAGAAGCAGTCCCTTTACCACCATTACCTCAAAGTTCCCCAAATCTGACCATACCATGTACTTCCAGACCTTTACCTCAATCAAAACAACTTCTTAAACTCCAATAATTGCCAAGTATCAAGATTGTAAAAGTAAAACTGTAACGGTCTTGGCAATTAATCATACAACTATATTTCAGAACAAACTCAAAGATGACCTTGACTTTTGATAGACATAGCAATATGTCATTAGATGTGGAAGGATTTCGTAGAGATGCATGCCAATATGAATATTCATAGCTGAAGAGGTAGCCATGCTGAACATTTTACAAAATCTGACCTTTGACCTATTTGGAAAACTACGTTAAAGGGGACTTTGACCTTTCACATAAATACAATTGACAATTGAATACGATTGTAAATAAACCTGTAAATGTAAAGTTCCATGTAGGTAGATGCAAGCATACATAAGAAAATTACTATGATTAGCCATAAACCTGAATGCTGACCTTGACCTTTGAATCATCTTAACCTTTGTAAAAAGGGCCTCACACCTACATGCACCAATATTTGTTGACCTACACCTTTTCTGGGGAAGTCTGGGGAAGAATAATCTCTATTCAAAGCCATTAATCTTTGTGTTGTAGTCCTTAGAAAAATCACCGGTTGGAGGCGGCTGTAAAATTCTAACAAAACCTTGAAGCAGTCCCACTTCAAGGAAGTATGAAATTAAAATGAAAAATGTGTGTGTCCCTTTTGAATTAAAAAAGTCACACATCATTATTTGGACATATCTGAGTTTATTGTCACGCCAGGTTTCCTGCTGGAATCATTGACAAGTCCATCAAGCATTTACAACAGTCACCAACCATGCTTTGACAGCGTCTTTGTTCTAATTATTCTAATAGTCCAGAAATGATGTCATGGTGACTACATAACACTGCTCATTTCCGTGAAACAACACTTGGCATTAATCGGTACTTCACCAACTGCATTCCTAAAAAATGAATAGGTTTCTGTGCAGATACCCCAAATAAATCATACAATAGCATGTATCTTTACACTATTTTTTATATTACAGCATGATATACCGGTAATGATGTTAAAAATATGTCATACCACAAAAATAAAATCATTGATATGTTGTCAACAGGAAGCATTTAGCAATCACTTCCTGTATTATTGTTTCTCCATTTACAATTTCCTGCTAAATCCAGTACTCACTCTGGCTTTGTCATTAATGCACACTGACAGCTTCAAGTAGGTAATCATACTCAAAAGTCCCACTACTATTAGCTAGGGTTATGGTTATGATAGGGAGCTGTTTCTTCAGATAAAAGCAGTGCAATTTTACAATAAATAATATGACATTTTATTGGCATATGGCTACCCCAAGTGAGTTGTACATGTATGTTAAGTTAGTGCTTCACACAAATTCATTTATTGAAATCATAATGCATTTCTTTGTTTACATACTTTGCTTTTTTCAGTCTCCCACCATTACGTCATCATTCTTTACCTCTCTTCGTCACCATCATCCATTACTTATCGTTCACAATTTCTCTATCCATTTCGATCACTCATCATATCTGTACTTTTCTGCTTTCCACAGACCCTACCACAAGCCTGCACATTCATTTGCTGTGCCAGTGCTTTGTACAGGGCAAATGTTGCATTTATATAGAACGCCTTAGAGGTATATATAAAACCTCTTCCATTTTAAATATTTGTATAACTGACCATCTTTCTTGTGGGGTGCAAATGTAAATGCTTGTTTAGTCGTAAACCATCATCAAAGTTATCATGTCCCTGCTCTTCAGAGGGAATTAGTAATAATAGCCTATAACCTTGAACCCAACATACTCTTCTCTTACTTATGTTTGAATAACCATAAACTAATATAAGGCACAGTGAGGTTTGGTGCTGGTGGGGGCTTCAAACCAAATCTTATACTCTGAAAAAGTACACCCACTATAATGTTCAATACACACACCCTTGGTTCTACCAGAAGTTTGTATATACAATGCATTTGACAAATTTTCATTTACTTCTTGTTCAAATGTTGTATTTGCATCTTTTATTTTACTTTTCTAATCAATCAATATGTAAGAGAAATAAAAATAAACTATTCCCATTTTGTTTTTCTTTTTGGCTATGGTCAGTCCAATCCATAAATTGAAAAAGATAAAGTGTCACCTCATATCAGTTACACAATAAGAATCACATACCTGTAAAAGTCTCTTAGTCCAAAGAATTCTCTTTTTGTTTCCTGTGCTCTGTTGAATATTGTCTTGTAGGCATTAGCTAGCTCTGGCAGCAAAGGGTTGATTCTTCGGAGTACTTTCTCACTACTTGAACAAATGCCTCTGAAAAAGTACATATATTTCATTGATGTTCATTGAAGAAAAAAATCATAGAACTTACTTGTAGTGTATATACTAAAACGTAACTGTCATGACATGTGGAATATATATATATAGCACTGCAGATTTCTATTAGGATGCATTGAGCTTAAGTGCGTATAAAACACACATGCAAGTAAATACTTTAATGTTTCTATGTCTACTAACTGTGCACTCTTCACCAGCTCCCCATCATCCGGAACTTCTCTCTGCACCAGGATACCTCGGTTCATCTTGGCGGGGTCCAGGGCCCAGTTGGAGATACCAATGAAGGCAACCTAAAGAAAGAGGAACATTCTATGGATCCTTGTAACAAAAGTCTACCATTACATGTATCATCTTCAACAAGACAGGGGCGGTCGGGTAGCCTAGTGGTTAAAGCGTTCGCTCGTCACGCCAAAGACCCGGGTTTGATTCCCCACATGGGTACAATGTGTGAAGCCCATTTCTGGTGTCCCACGCCGTGATATTGCTGGAATATTGCTAAAAGCGGCGTAAAACCATACTCACTCACTCAAAGAGACAAGGGAACTGAACAGTATAAATTATTTACCAGGTATAAGATATGAAATCTTTGCCTTACCTTCTTGAATGGTTCTGGTTTTTCATCTCCCTGACAACCATCTTCTAGGAGTGGGTGAAGTGTCTGTAGAAAGAGATAAAGAGATTATTGATATTTTAAAAAAAATCTTCACAAATAAAAGGCTACACTAAAATTATTTGGACAATATTATATCTTATGATAAGGAGAAACATACATGCTAGAGTTTGGCTCTTCATTTTCAGAGAAGAGGTTTACAGAGAAAAAATATGAATTTTGATAGAATACAAGGCAAGAGAAAAATGGTACTTGATTAGTGCATGATCCTCAAGTTTGTCCATTTTCCTAAGGTAATAGTTCCCTGCATTTTTTGCTGACTTAAGTCACATAAGTTTTTGTGGATATACATCTATGACATCACGTAATGTCTGCAAATGATTTCACTATTACGCAACGCCTTCTTATGAGGCTCAGAACTTATTAATCAAGCCTTGTAGTTTATCTACATTTAGACTACCTCAAATTTCAAAACACAGTTCATTTCAAGACAAGAGCGTTTTCAAGGCGCACGTACACATGGGAAAAATGGCCAGCTATCTTAGAACATGGTGAAATGGGGTCACAGGTAGTGACAAACATGAACAATATATCACAAGTTCAAGATTAACTTCTTAATTCTTGACTAGTTCAAAATAATGTTTACAAAATACATATTTTTTTAAAAAGAATTGATGAAATACTGTGACATAGATATATATTTAATTTCATCGCAACCTGTTGCATATTTGCACTGCTTCGACTCAACAAAGTCATTGCTTGGAAATCAACATGACATCTTCCATTGTAAAATTGACATGCTATAGAAATAGTGACAAGAAACGTTGAACTAACTTATTTCTCAAATAATACATCATGGTATTTAGATATTTTGAAGTTGCCAAAATAGTTGTTCATAGTGACAGTGCTATTTACAAATTGCATGAACAACTGGATCCTGATCAGAAATTATGTTCACTATTAACATGATGATTTACTGGTGGAAATGAACCTGCTGGTACAACCTTATTCCCAACAGAACCACCCTGAAGTAAGGTTGAATACCATCCTTTTTAGCTGCAGTTAGTATTGCATGTGTGAGTCTGAGTCTCTGCTCCTTCTTGTGCCTGATGAATGTGTGGCCATGACACAGCAGTTAGTGTGTGTTTTACTTAATCGAATGTGTACTGAAATAGATTTCATCATGTTTGATATTGTATGTATACAATTTTTTGCAGCCATTGGTATATGCATGATGTTCAGGCTATTGATAGATCTTGGTTTTTGTGTGAAAACGCAGGTTAATTTTGAGGTATCAAATGAAACCAGTAACCTGATGTTTATCTTACTTTGACTAATCATAATCAAGCTTTCTCCAGCACCATGGTACAGTAAGTCTTTATTTACCTTAATTATGTGATTGAGAAAATACATTTCATGGAAGAAACTTGTGTAAATTGTTAATTCTGGTTTCCATAATCTGACCTTAACTGTGTTTAAATTCATATTTTCTCATTGACAAACCACAGAGTGATGTAAATTATGATCCATTTCAGGAAAATATTATTCTCAAATGCTGGATAGAATAAAATCTTTATTTTTAATGTCATCATGTCAATGGAAAGATTTATACTTGCGTGTCTTTGCAGGATTGATAAATATTCACCTATCCCAATTTCAAATGGTTTGGCTGAATGTTTTCACATAAATGATAATAAATACCAGCAGACAAAGTGAATATATACATGGCACACTTTGGGCAACTCAGGCATAAGATATTGCTTTTTTAATATTATTAAAGATGCATTGCTGTTCAGTTGTACACCTTGGCTCAAGTTGACAATCCTCATTACATGAGTGTCTGATTCGCACAGTCAAATAATTTGCTTAAGTATCCTTAACTAACTATACATTGCATACACCCGTGACCCTGAAACGGTGGTAGATTTGGCAACATGACACATGAAAGTTTCTCAGGATGAAGTCTCTGGAAAGAAATTACCTTGAGAGGCATCCTTGGTGAGTCTTCTGCCAGACCAACTTCATCCAGAACTACGATGGAGACAAACCTGTCCAGGTCCTTGTTCTGTTGGTAGCGAGCACACTGACGGAAGGTACCGACAATACCTTCAGCAGTGGCCAGAGGACTGCACTGGAATGACACCATCTGGGCCTGAAAGAGGAAAAAGAAATTATTACTGTGCAATGGTAGTGCAAATGCAATATGTATCAATAGAATGGTAAATTGAACTTAAACATGGAAATGAAATATGTTTATGAATTCAAATTTAGTATTAAACCAAATGTGCAGCCTTCGCTATTGCAGCCACTGGTGGAACAATTCACAAGAAGATAAAGCTTCATTGAGTGAGTGGTTTGATGACATGAATAATGTGTGTGAAAATCATGACAGAAAAGCTCACCCCTTAACATCAATCCTCAACATGATCCTCAATCATTGCTCAATACAGAACACATTTTCATTTCATTCATTTCAGGTTGCTTGCAAACAGCACATGAAGAACATTTTCATAATATCCTGCAACCTCGGGGTATCGCGGTACTTGTCATGTATGCTGAACGGAACAAAATGCACTCACTAACCGTTATGATTATTCATGTTCTCTATATCAGATGTCATTTATTTGATCTAACAATGCATATTTTACTGATAAAAGTTCATTATTTACATTAGTTGCTCCGAGTAAAAGCCGGGTCTCAGTTTGACAAGGGAGAGAACTCCATTGTATCGCGGTACAGAGAAAAGTTGTGTATGGAGGTCCGAATTGGACAAAAAGAGGACATAATTCTACCAACCACTTAGTATGATCATGCCAGATGTCATTGATTTGTCCAGACAAGTGCAAAGACAGCACAAGTAAAATTCTAAATGTGTTATCTGTAATAGGTATTTAATGCATGTTTACAGAAAAGTAAGAGAAAAATATTTTAAAAATCAAAAACAAAATATCAGAAATGATATTCTACGATCGTTTATAAAAAAGAAATTGGATGACAGTAATATGCCACATAATGGAAAAATGTTAAACGTTAACAATAAATATATAAAAAACACTCCTAGTATGCCCAAAGTATGTATTTATCGTTTGGCTACCAGTGAAGAACGTATTTCTAAGTTTGGCATTATGGCCCTTATGATCTCCCAATAGATTCTGGACACAGAGCGGAAAAAATGTACGGACTACGTAACTTCTGTTACCTTATTAGTCGCCATGAATATGGAGATGATATCGTTCAGGTCGATAGAGAAAGTTTACTTGGGGAACTGCGGGTTATATCGTTGGCCATTGATAGATGGGGGTAACGCAATATTACAAAAGATGCCAGAAATATGTATCAACGCATTAATAACTCCTTACTTACAGCAGACGGAACATTCCGAGGAAATTGAAATTGTTTACGAAGTGAGCACTTCCTGGTTACTGATTAGCATTAATAGACAGCTGCTAAGAGGCGTACGTCTCCTGCGTGAACTACCGGAAATCACAAATGCCGCGATACGATGAATGCCGCGGTACCATGGGGTCCAAGTATAAATTTGAACATGACAGCAAAATGGCATAAAATAAGAGACAGAAAACTATTTATTCAAGGACCAAAAGCAATTCATTATATTTGAGCAAAACATGAAAGCGTAAAAAGCTTTCTCAAAGTACTTACTCATTCATCATCAACTGACAATATTACATATAACAGACAAACCTGTTTCAGTTGTTTGAACAGGTCTGATCTTGCTGAGGTGCCCTGCATAGCATCTGCAACAATGGTCTTGGCCAGGGACTTGGAGCTGCCTGGTTTTCCCACCAGGAAAAGGGGGATCCTCAGTTCAATACAGACAACCATCATGAACAGGTTCTCCTTCAGGGCCTGGTTCTTCGCAATGTTATCTTCAAGCTGAACTTTGTCAACAAAGGCATCCTGGCAACTAAAATCAAGATTTGTAGAGATATTTGATATTCCTCGTCTGGATTATGTTTATCTTGACAATCACAACATCCATATCAGTGACCAATGTTTAGTGCAGATAACGGTGCCCAAAATCCTCAAATTGTTATCACTTACACAAAATTTCAGCTGAATGACATTTATAGTCTACTGTACCAGCAGTGTAGCTCATGAAGTCGATAGTTTTAAAAACAAAAGTTCTGTAACCATTCAATTAAATATTCACTTAAACACTGAAACCTAACCAACAGGATAAAATATATTGTTTTCATAAGAAGAACTACATGTCAAAGTTCAGTTCACTCAGTCAGGCAATTTCAGTGGAGAAGATGTGTTACATGGAGAGGATTTAAGAGCATGGTCAAACAAGGCCAAAACAACAAACAAACAAACAACAGAAGACTCCCTCCCGCATCCCCTGTCATCTGCATCTTGTCGGCAGAAATTGGAAAGAAGTAATATAAGTGTTGTAAGTTGCTTTGTGCCATTACAGGTACAACTACTCATGTATAGTTGACAGTGGAGAGGACTTCTGTTGAAAATCGGATGATTTAGTTATAGTATGATTATGATTAAAGCCCAAGTACAGGATTATGGCAAATATGTAATAGAAGTATGGTATTCGCAAGAATTATTATAAATTTTCCTTACCTGTTTATGACTTGAACCATTTGGTCAAATCCACCAGGAATCACACATGGATTCTGAAAATGCTGGCAGATATGACGATCATATTCCTCTCGACTGGTAAGCGATGCTCGGTAACACACGCTTAGTGCCAGGATCAGGGCTTTGGTCACATCATCAGGCTGTAAACATGACCTTATTACCTTATTACAGATGACTTTATGTTGACATATAAAACGCACCTTTGTCCTGATGACAGTTCTCAATCACAGGACATGTGCACAAGACGAACCTGGGACTGTAGGATGACTTTCAGTTTATACAAAAATCCAAATAAAGACTTTGCAAGAGAGGGAGGTGAAATGTACTTAACACCAGTCAAAACACTTTCGACACTTTAAGTAAGAAAACTGGCGTGTCAATCACTACAATAATAGATGGTTAAATAGAGATAGAAAAGCAAGAGGTTTTGTAGTACATATTGACAAAAAGAGAGCTCACCTGAACTATTCATGAATATTACAAAGGTTGTCAATAGGAAGTCGTGTCACATAAACCTGGACTGAACATTGCTGAATCAATTAATATGAAAAAGACTTTTTATTCAATCAGATATCAGACATATTTAGAGACACCATTGCTGAGATTATTCATTCATACACCTTAAGGTTTCAGTGGAGATGCTTAAAATGACAAAGTATATTACAGACTGACGGACAACTGACACATCACATTTTCAGTTCAGGTGAGCTAAACCTAAAAGCCTAACTTTTCAATTTATATAATAATACCGGTAGATTCACTCGATTGACAGGATGACTTTCTTCAACATCTTCCAAATGTTGCTGAGGAGACAACAGCTTATCTATAGTTCCGAACAGTGTTCCATTCTCCTGGGACTGCTGGTAGAACCAGGACATGACACTCAGGGTTCGATCAACGTCACGAAGACTCACAAAGCTGCACTCGTCCTGTAAATAATTCATCAACAACTTGTAATCAGTTCAAAGTATGTTATCAAACACATTGTATATGTAGGGTCAAAATTGCCTTGCGTGAGCGTGATATGTTTGACTAAAGTCATTTCAAAGGTGTCCATGTTCAATGTTTAAGATTGTATTATCATGCATGCATTGGCAAGAAGGGATTGTTGTTTGGATAATGCTTCTAGGAAGTTAAACAGAAAAATAGCAGCCAGCATTTTTCAAGTATCATTTACTAGTGTGTGTATTTTGTATGTGTCCTGTGCATGTCCTTCCCCATCGGTAACGCTCATAACTCGGTTAACTACAATGATTTAATGATCAGAATGATAACTACTTGGTACTTAATTTCAGTCACATAAAATTATTGCTGAATTAGAGTCAGGTCATCTTAACTGTGACATTGATTAAACATATCATGTAGTGATTGAAATTTAGGTGGTTCATGGGGTCCTTGAGGTCTTCTCCTATGGTATTTCAATTGAGGGACCATTAAATCTTTAACTTTTACAAGAAGGACTATGACAAGACCCCTTGACTTTCATGCTTTATTTTGACCACTGTCATACATAAAAAATAATCAACAAATACAAGAAGATCAAAGGGTTGTAGTGGGAGGATAAAGCCATTATTGATGCTGCTTGTTTCTAAACAAAGGCCATGCAAGTACTTATATGGTATTCATTGCTTTGGATGCAGTCACACATTTGTCATGGCCGAAAAAACAAGGGGTGGCTAAAAAGTTCTGAGCCTCACAATGATGGACTGCAGTGATGAACTTTCAACATAATCCCGTGATGTCCACATACTTCTGCCAATCATGTTGGAGCATAGCTGGTGGTGTGAAAAGTCCTCCACAGCAGAAATGACATCATCAATTTTGTCCATTTTCACCAACAGAGAATACCTAGTCACTTTGATGCCTGCAGAAATACACTGCATGGTTGTGCATTTGGTTCACATGCAGCCTTTATGCATGGAATTATTGCACTTAATGCAGGCAAACCGTTAAGTGTGTACCATACATCCTTCTTAGTTAGGCTCATAACTTTTCAGCCACCCCTCGTACATTTGAAAAGCCTTGCCCACCAATCAGAATGTGCAGCAGGATAAAAAAAATAATACATACATTGTATGTCATAGTAGAGCATTCATTCACACATTTTGAATTTCATAGAATCTTTAACATGGTTATACAGTTAAAGATTACACTGCTATATTGAATTGAAGCAAACATACCTGCTGACTCCTCATGAAAGACTGAGAGGCTATGAGGATCTTACTGACAACTGTCACAACACCATGAAGGGCAGGTATCTGACCCTCTCGAACCTGCAATTGATAAACATATATTATTATGGTAAAAAGCTGCATAGGAAGGCCATACATCAACATTTTTCACTTTATATCATCATATATGAAACAATACTTATCATTTTTAATAATTCAAAGAATACTACCTCTATTACATCGGTGTCCTTTACAACAGATTTAGTAGTAGTAAGGTAGAGAATCATAGAACAAAATGCCTATCATCAAATAAAGTGTTATATATTTTTATGTCAAACAAAAAGACGATAATTCCTAGATCTAGATCTAGAGTTGATTGCAGTACACATTTTTTGTCTATACAAGAGTAAAATCATCTCACATATCTGTTGACCATCTGTCTGATGTAGAGTTCTTCCACGTGTATGTTGAGTTGGCCAAAGTCCCAAACAAGAGGCAGCATGCTCTGTGGCAGAGGCTGCACCCGGTACACAAGTCTCCTCATAGGAACATGGCCTGGACAAAGAAAATAATCTAGCTGATTGAACACCCAAAACACAAAAATGTCAGAGCCTTTGCAACATACATGGTAAACCTAATTAATTGTACAAATGTGGCTAGTGTTTATGCTTTAATTCGGCAGGTTCAGTAACTGTTAAAAAAGATGTAAATCTGTATGGCCCAAACAAATTATTATTCTATGAAGAACTAGATACAATACATGTACTATAGTTAGACCTTTGAAGAGTAACATGTTGTGGTTTGTGATGACTGGAATGTCTTTCAGAATTTCAAAAATTATAAACATTTAAACAATCCAAAAGTGAGAGAAAGCATTTAAAGATAAACTTGATTTTATAGACCCATGGACACAATCTCAAAGCAATGACAGGAGGTAAACTACACCGACTATTTTCTTGTATCCCATAATATACCCACCTCAATGGTCAAGTCAAACAGTAACAGAACCAAGTTTTAAGTCAGACCATTCCCCTATATTGACGAAATTAAATCTAGATGACTTACATCATGGTAACGGATTCTTCACAGCTTACGTGAAAGATGTTATTTAAGAAACGGCCCCACCAACCATATCAAAATAATGAAAAATACAGACTTATGTGCATAGAAATACATTCCACCAAAACATATTCCTTTGTTCAAACTGTAAAATCTGAAAGTGCTGACTGCATTTCAGGGTTGATCATCAACACAATCATATCCATGGTTTGTTATCCATACTACTATATTCATCAGATATCATATCAATAGTATAATGCACAATTTATAAGAGATGAACAGCACAGTTTGACATCCCTTTGTCAAGGTATTATTCTACCAATTCCATAAACAATGTTGGACTAATAACATGTACACAGGTTTCAGTGTCACCCTTTTACTTAGAAGGTTCATACTACAGTGATCTCACTCAGAGTATTGTTGATGTAATCATGCACTCACCCAACTTATCTGTTGTCTTGTCAGCCTCAACATGATAGCCAAGTCCTGCTCTTTCAAGTCTCTGGATAAATTCATCTGAATGCCTGTTTACAAACATTAATTTGTAACAAAGCTCAGTGTTAACTGTAGTGATCAAATGGAAGGTAAACAAAGATCTTTGAATATTTTCCTTTGTGTGAAATTGCAATGCAAAATTGTCTGGATATAATGAACACCGTAATAGTACTGAGTACTGTTGCGATGTACCACACCTCTATCATGATTTAGGGAAAATACTTGGTCAATCATAGGTTTAAAATCACAGCTGACTTGATGACCACTTCACTGTTGAATTTAATATGAAAAGGAATTTCAAATAATGACAAGCATTATGTAGGTACAATACATTTTGAGTAGAAAATATTATGAAAGTGAACTCAGAGAGTATATCACAAAGTCTATGGACATGAGCAAGTTTTGAAATAACCAATTCCCTATCTTGGACTATGATAATTTATTGTATCACAAATTCTGTAGCATATTTTCATGTCATAATGGTAATATGCAGTCTAGAATTGAATTTTGCAAGGCTATGATTTACCTTTGATATATATAGGGGAGACCACATAATGTTTGCTTAGAAAAAAAGCCTGTCATGCATGTCAAGTATAATGATGCAAGATACCAATGTCTGACATATAGAGCGACAAACTTAAGTGATTCCTTAATAAAAAATGACAACCTACTCAAAAAATTAGACCAGTGCCACTTGATTCATTAATTATCTTTGCTTACACAATTTAATTTTGATGGTGCTAAATCTTAATTTTTAAAAACGTACTCCGAATATTCTGACTGACTTACGCTCCAAATTTCAGTTGAGAAAGTTCAGTTTTAGAGCAGTCAAGTGAAATTAAATACTGAATTTTACTGAAATCACACATGAACAAGTTATGACAAAGTCGTCATGTTATCCTAAATGCAAAGGTTAATATGATAATGAACACCTATTTATTAATTCAATAATTAAGATGCTGCAGAGGTATGAAAAACTGCAGTAATAACTATTTACAATTGTCAGGAACACATAACTATAAATATATGGTTAAATCGCTATGGCTCGATAGGAAGTATTTAGTCCATATAGAAGGTCAAATGCACATATCTTCCCTAAGATTACCTAAAACCAAAACACTTATGTACTTCAACATACTTTCTGTAAGGATTGCAGGCAGCCACAATCTTGAGGTTTTCCGACAGTTTCAGTGGCTGTCCATCCATACAGCCATCACACATTATTTCCTTGATGAGTCCAATGGCTTCTGTTGTGTTTGCTTCATCAAAGAACAGCACAGTGTACATGTGTGGGTTCTTAGCCTTGTTATCAATGGCCAGTTGTTCTGCATGCTTGACCTTCTTGATGATGTCGTCAGAGGTTGTGCCACCATGAACCTTTCAAGCATAAACACATGCATTTCTGGCCTGAGGAACACACATGATTTCAAAGCTGAAGTATCATTTCTCTCACTATATATATATATATGATGACCTTACCAATATCTATCTTTAGTCATCTTTCATCCCAAATGTTGTGTTAAGTCTTATGCCTACAACTATCCAAAACAAGTTACAGGCTCTTCCAGTTTAATTACATCACTTCAAATTTTGGGAAAATGTAATGCTAGAGAACTTTCAAACAGCCTTCATCTACATTGAGAGAAAGTTAATTGCACTTCCACTTTATTGACCTTGACCCTCAATTTCAGTAGGTTACATGATTGATTATTTCTTTTAGAAAATATGTGATACAAAAGGGGTTGGTTCAGTACACTAAGTAGCAGAATTATATGGTGACCTTGCCCTTCAATGAAGGTCACTAAAAACCTTACATCTTTAATTCCCAATCATAACGATAGTGATGGTTTCTTTTGTACTCCTGTTGTCACCTAAATACATCTATCTCTCATACATAACAATTCTTTTGACCATTATTAGGAACTTAATGGAATAACTGTCTTCAAAGAATAAAAACAAGTAGACATAGATAATTATGCAATTTACCTAACTGTATTCCTAAATTTCCAAGACAGTGAGGCATAAAATGTGTAAGGTGGCAAACTTATATAACACATTAGTGCCAAGGCACTGTAGCTCACCTGTATACACAGACAACAGTTACAAATGTCATCAAAGACAACCATTTAACAGTTGCCATCAGCATTGATATTTAAATATTTTCTGCATAAATACTAAGGACAGCACAAAAATCCTGGTGATTTGAAAAAATGTATGTCATCAAAAGAAGACACATACATGCCAAAGTTGATCTTTCTCCATCTGGCATATTCACACAAAAGAATGAATTTTGAGAAAAATGTAATTTATAAGCAAAACAATGTTAAAACAATGTCTGAAAATCAGATTCAAACATCATGAAGAAATTCAGATGTCATGATTGGTGGGAAGAACACCTTCAGTTTCAGATTTATTGGTGCAGTGGATCGCGAAGAGATGTTTTTGATAGACAACACACATTTCAACTTTGCCAACATGGTCGCTTGCAGTCATATTTGTTGAAACTTGGAATTACATGTAGTAATAATCTCACCAATCTTACAGCTTCTGTCACTTTAAGTTTTGGAGAAGAAGACTTTTTAAGTTGTTTTGTTCATATCAAAGATGACTGACTACCTGGCTGCCGTATTGAAAAGCAATATTGAAGCCTTAAACAAACTTGAATCCCCTTATTGTAACAAAGATCCACACAAAGTTTCCTCTGAAACCATCAAGTTATTTCAAAGGGGAATTTGAAAATGCAAAAAGTTCATGGATGTTGAAAACAACAGATGATGACAAAAATTAAGGTCACATGACCTTTGGGTAAGTGGATACAAATGGCACCGCAGACATGAAAGTTTAGGTGAGGTGAAATGGGGTTTAACGTCACATCCAAGATTATTGCACTTATATGGCGACATGCATGCACATGTGTGTGGCTGCTTGTACTAGTCTGAATTGAAGCTCATTTTATAGTGCTAGCAAACTGAGATACCATGCCGCAGTTTTAACATAAATACCCCACTCAGACACGGTATACTGACTCTGAGACCACTAGTCATTGTTTTATCCACCAGACAGGGTAGCAACAAGTACCATCTTTTAATTTTTTTGGGTATGACGAGGCTGGGGATCGAACCCTGGACCTTCTGCTCTCCAGGCGACACTCTACCATTAGACCACTGAGGCGGTGACAACGGACAAAGACTTATGACACAAGCTCACATTGACTCTGTCAAAGAGAGCTAAATTTCACAATCAGAAGAGAGACCAATGACCTTAATATTTAGTGACAGTGATCTAATGACTATGACATAACATAACATTACACTGTCACCTTCACAATGACCATGTTCTGTATATCAGATCCTGGCATGCACTGCAGATCACACATGAACTTGACCAGTCTTGTCTTCCCACATCCTGTCTCTCCCATGATTATCACTGGGATTCCACATCTGTAGAGTAAAACACATAGCAATATAAGCCTTTAAGGAATTTACCACTTCAGAAGAAAAATACATGTATGTAGATTTGTAATATATTTACATGAAGCACTAGCTACTAAATGAATTAATTACATGTATTCAATCCGTATGCTAATTGTGAGTGAGTGAATGAGTTGGGTTTAACGCTGCTTTTAACAGTATTCCAGTCATATCATGATGTGTCTGCTTAATCTGGGAGGAAAGCCTGAAGTGATGCAGGTCTTAGACATTTACCACTTCGGTGAAACCCACGAGCACAAGTATGGTGCAGACAAACCTGGCAACATAATCGGGGAGAACCGGGATTTGAACCCACAATCATAGGTTTCTGACTCTGCACAGCGAACCTGTGTGGTAGCCTGTGGCTTCCTTTTGGTGTATCGTGGGATAACTAACTGTAGACATTTGAGTTTGTCACTGAAACTTATTTGGCAAACGCTTACCTAAATCTCATGTAAATTGCAAGAATCTTCTTGACATTGTCCGTTGTCAGCTCATATGTGTCGTCAGGGTCATGTACAAAGTCCACACCTGGCATCACACTGCACAGCTTAGCCAATAGATCATTTCTGGAAATTAAGAAAATGCAATTTATAAGAACCACATAAGTTAAAAGGTTGTTTTGTGTTCAACTTGATGGTCTTATTGGTCTTCCAAAATACCGAAAACATATATAGTTTTGTGGGTGTATTTTATCATAAAGATTGACAAGATTTTACACAAAGTGAAATGATTTTGAGTGATATATGCTGAAAGAGTACAATATAATGAAATAATATCTATCTGTATAAACACTTGAAACAAGACGCTTCATCACAAGATGACACCAATCTATTTCTTCATTTTTATGGTCTGCAAGATTGTCAGATAAATTACTAATATGTTCATTTCATTTAAAATGCCAAATAAATATACTGACAAATACTCTTTATGAACAAATATCCACTGACACACATTTATGACAAAATACAATTCTAAAGTCGCCAATGTGAAAATAGAGCAACAAGATTATGTAACTCACCTGAAATTATTGTGTAATTTGAATCTTATGATGCTCACAATAAAATGGAATGTGCAAAACTATGGTTTCAGGATTTTGTTATCCAAGCTTGGGTTAATGAAAATACAAATATTTGTAAATTTGTGTATATCAATATGTTTTTTAGGTTTTATTTTGGGGGGTTGTCAGTTTTATGTGGAAAGACAAATCCTTGAACTGTTTAAAGTGCAGGATGTTTAGCATATAGACAGTAACATGTGTAGGTTATATTTATGACATTATTTTCTAGTGGCCTTCACGTTATACATGTACAATTATGGAGTATTCTCCCTTTGTTTTCCACATGCTATTACTTCCAGTTTCTTTTGATGTTCAAGTTTTGTTAGTATCCTTAGATTCCTTACATTCTATGTTGTGTATGTATATATATTCAATGAGATTGTGGTTAGTTTTGGGGTAACGGTTGCAAGAGAGAGGGCATGTTACACCGGGCTGATCCGATAATGTCAGTCTGTATCTTATTGTCAGTTGGATCTGTCAATGTAAATGAAATAAATGTACAGATTATTGCATCGTGTGTTCCCTGTATAATTTCAAGACATAACAGGTGTTTACCTCGGAGAAGGCCTTGCTTTCTTATAAGAAGATTGCTGTGGCAAGAGACACCATATATAATGCACTTGATCACTTAAGAATTTATAAATACAAGTTTGACATTTAAACATGTGATACAATTTCTAAGACATTCACTTTTTGTTCATACTTTCTAAATCTATTCTACCATGACATTTTAGAAACATTCATTAACAAATTCTCTGAAATCATTCAATAACCATCAAATAACCAATTCCCTTCCACTGATGTACCCATCTGAACTAGAAATAAAGGAGACCATTTTCACCACTTCGTTTGTTTCGTAATTAAATCTATGCATAAATGTTCACAGTGACAAAACACTCTCCACAAAACTATATTATAAGAGGGATGACTTGAACTTTCCAATAGTCAATTTTCTCTGTATGTCTAGCAATATTCCTACAGCTCCAGCATTTGGCGTTATGTTCCCGTGTTTTTCAGGTGAACAATTGACTTGCCTTTGTATGTGTTTTTGTGATGGGTGCCACTGGAAGGGCAGGATAAGCTCACCTTTAAACGAACACCTGGTATCATCACATGGTCATGATAGGGTCAGAATCGAACAACTGACTCTGCTTTTTGAATATGGAAAGGGTGGTATCACTTCTATTTAGATTTGAAACCAACTTATGAAATTTTCAAGTATCAAATCTACTTTCAAAAACATCTCTTTGACCTGACTAGCCTATGAGCAGTTGACTAAAGGTTAGTATATTGGATATGTTTAAATATTTATGTAATATTAACTACATAGAAATAGAATATTGTGTAACCTCTTCATCTGTTCAATGTTCTCATTGATGTTGACCCTGTTTCTGATTAGTGCATCCTGCAGTTTTCTTGGCACAAGACCTTTCTCTAGCACCTTCTGTGTCTGATGGTCCACCATGTTCCCAGTCTGGCGGTCGATGTTGAAGCCAAGGAAAGTCATGCTGTTCCCATCAGGGTTGAAGAAAATGTAGGGATGGGGGCTGAAGAAAAGGATCAATACTATACATCAATTGCACTCAAATATACCTACTTTCACGAATCTGATTAATTGTGTAGTTGTTTGTTTAGGTTTATGGTTCATTGTTTTGCAAGCTAACTGTACAGACATACACAATTTCTAATCTAGATATATGCCACAGGTGAATCCACACCTGCTTTCCCATCTCCTCTTCATCTGAAACTGCGCTAGATCTGAAGTTTCTTGGACATTCAGTTGGTCCAGCGGCGTCTGCTCACTCATTACCAAAGATCTAGTGGCAAAGTCCTGTGAATATGAAAGCCAATGAAATGAATTCTGAGTGCACCAAAGCATCATAGTACAAGGTTGATGTTTTTATGAAAGTACAGTATGTACAATACATAAGAATTATTTGTATTGAAACGTGTTACAATTTTTATTCAAAGATTTCTCTGGGATTTTCAACTTAGCATCTATGGCAGTCACATTCAATAAAAACAACCTTGTACTTTTTCCTAAATATGGAAGTCCATATTTTCTTATATTTAAGGGTATTTAGATATAAAGGCCTTTTTCTCCCTTGAAATGCAAGACTTTTTTTCCCTGACATATGCCTTAGACCTTCCTTTATAACTCTCTGGTGCCAAGATAAATCACTGATATTACAAGTAAGCTACATGTATGTTTTTCCCCAACCTATCTATAAAACAGACAGCACATACATTCTATTAAAATAGTTGATAAGAAAAAATACCCGACTATTACCCATGGATGTTCTCATTGACACATATGAATGCAGAGAGTAAAATTGAATACTGATCAATTGCTACTCATTTTATACTGATTCAATTGATCTTGTACCTGTCTCATATGTCTCAGTGAAGAAAAGAGGAGGACTCTACATGGTAGGAAATACAGTAGGGGTCATCTTCCCGAGGCAAGAGAGTTAACTGACTTTAAAAGTCCAGTTTCCACCCTTGCCGAACTAGGCTGGAATTACTGGGCTCGATCGTAGCGCCACCAGTGGCTATTACCAGTCATGTCCCTTCTAAGCCTCTCCTCTGGACCAATCAGATTCCATCTCTCGTATCACTTGCGTTTGCTTCACACAAAATGGTGGCGCCCGGTCAGTTAGATCTGATCGACAATCAAGATCTATATTCTGATAAAACGGGTCTTACATTGCAAAATGCTTCAAATCATGAGTGCACCTTGATTAAAAACATGAAAACATTTGGAAAATATCTGCTGACAACGAGTTGGCGGTGAACATGCTTTGCAAATCCTGCAATCAACAGAAATCTGTATGACGGTGTATGAACCGGATTTCGATTTCGGTGCACGATTTTGATTGGACTATGCATAGACTCGTTAGTCCAGCCAAAATGTAACTCCATAATACTAGCCTAGTTCGGCAAGGGTGGAAACTGGACTCTTATAGTCAGTAAACTCTCTTGCCTCGGGAAGATGAGTAGGGATATGTTTGTGAGTAGGTAATCTGTTTGACTCACCCTTGACATCTGGATAAGGAACTTCAGAACAAACACTGGGAAACCTGGCAAATCCTCAAGAACAGCATCGGAACAAAAATCAGATTTCTCAAAGTCAACCAGCTGGGTGTTGAGAAACCACACAAAGTTGTGGAGTTCGGACCACGATGGGTCCCTCACACCACAATGTCTGAAATAAACATGAACATCGAGCATGAAGCTATGTAGCTAACCTGCAATTTTCTGGATATTTTCAGCATTATATCATAAAGGTCATTAGACAAGAGTAAACAAGAAAACTCAGACATGTAAGTGAACGTCCCTATGATCAATGAAAAACCTATCTTTAGGCATACGACATACTATTTTCATATAAAATATGGCTGTCATTTCACAAACATAGTGCTTTCAGAGATATAGTGCCATGGCAATGTAGCTCACCTGGTGAATATATACCAGTAGACACCAGTTGAATATGTCAATAACACATTCTTAACAAAGTTGCTGTCAGCATTGACATTGCTTTCGCATGGAGTGATGTTTCTAGTGCATAGGAATGCATTTTGAGAGAAATTAAGCATGTTCCCAACTGAAGATTAAATCATGATCAACATCTAAAATACCTGAAAAAGACAGAACCAATGTGTTGAGCCCCACTACTAACTAAATATATACCAAATTCTTATGCATGTTTAACCAAAATGGCTTAGATATTGCCATAAATAGGTTTTGCAAAATGGCTGCATAGGTGGCTATGTTAAAAATTAGAATCGAGCCTCTAAAACAAATTACGGCATCATCATTTGTGGGAACCAGCATGTAAAAACTTACTTAAAACTAACACTTAATTCTAATAATATAAACAAAATACAATGTCATCAAAGAAGAAACATACATGCCAAAGTTCAGCTTCCTCAGCAAGGCAATTTCATGGGAGAAACATTTTAAGAGCATGGTCAAAACACTCAGTCAAAACAAGGTCAAACTTGGAAATATGGCAATATACGCTGTACTAAGTAAACAGATACTAAATTTCAATACATTTTTTAACAAAAATATCTCAGAAAAGCCCAAAATAAAACATTTAATATTTCAGCCGATCCAAAAATAGTTCACTTTTTTTGGATTTCATTTCTGACCAGAAAATGGTCAAATAAGCCACAACATAACTTCACTAAAAATACATTAACATAAAGTATGAAAGAATGACAACTCATTATCATATTAAGTTTGACAAATACTGGTATGACTTTACTAAAGTACTGACTGAAGAAGAACTGTCAGACATTCTTGATGTGTTCCTTCATGTGCTCTTGGGTTGATGTTAGTTAGACTGACTTTGTTGTTCAACCGCTTGAGGTATTGAAATGGTCGCTGGTAAATTTCACCTTGAAACTCAGAGTCATCAAAAAGCCTGTCATTATCACCATACTCTGCAAGGAAAGATGTTCGCTAAATTAACATTGAACTAGTGTGTAGTTTGAAATGATCTTGAACTGATAGATTTTAGTGTTTAAGCACTAAAACTTACTTTTGCTATATATGCATTGCTGGGTAATCTGATTACAATTTCAAATTTACAGTGGGAATATGTTACATAGAGTGTTTGTTTTCAGCACAGGTCTAGACGCTGTATCACTAGTGCCTTGCATGAAACTGAAAAATTGTGTTTGTGCAAATTGTCAGCTGGGTTGATAATTATTATAAAAAGTGAGTCAGCAGACAACAAAGGCAATGTCTTAAGATTTTTCTCAAACTTGCTAGGACTGGCAATTTGTCTAAGTCTGGTTCCCATTTAAGAAGTACCTTCTGGTTTTATGCCAGTGTTAAGCATCTGTAAACTGTCTTGAGGAGACCAGCAGTAGACATCAGGTAGAACCTCCAGCAAGGTGTGGATAAGACGCTGATTGACTCTCTGAATAGTATCAACATCACAAACATATATTGGTGTAGAGAAATGTTCTTTACTCTAACTAAATTATAACCCATCCGGTCTGTCCGTTTTGATAACAAACCAAATACTACATGAAACATAAATTTCTCCCTGTTCACTCTTGTCAATAACAATTTGTTACCAAGCAATATATATTTCCCTGCGCAGCAAATAAAGACTTAAAGAATGTGTCACACATTGTTATATGAGCTTGGTCTGTAATGTGAAATATGCTGATGTAAACATACCAAATAGTGCAGTGTACTGATTAATGTTATATCATAAGTGCTTATTTTATATATCTAAAAAGATTGTTTTATTAGTAAATAACATGAAGGTTATGAAGGAATGGCACATCTGAGATGGGGATATGTCTTTACTGGGTACACAGTATAACAAACTGCCTTTCACTCTCCAGATATTGACAGATACATACCCTGTCCTGTCTGACATCTGTGATGGTCTCCACCAGATACACAGTATTACATACAGCCTTTCACTCTCCAGACATTGACAGATACATACCCTGTCCTGTCTGACATCTGTGATAGGGATGGTCTCCACCAGATACACAGTATTACATACAGCCTTTCACTCTCCAGATATTGACAGATGCATACTCTGTCCTGTCTGACATCTGTGATAGGGATGGTCTCTACCAGATACACAGTATTACATACAGCCTTTCACTCTCCAGATATTGACAGATACATACCCTGTCCTGTCTGACATCTGTGATGGGGATGGTCTCCACCAGATACACAGTATTACATACAGCCTTTCACTCTCCAGATATTGACAGATACATACCCTGTCCTGTCTGACATCTGTGATAGGGATGGTCTCCATCAGATACACAGTATTACATACAGCCTTTCACTCTCCAGATATTGACAGATACATACCCTGTGCTGTCTGACATCTGTGTGAGGGATGGTCTCCATCAGATACACAGTATTACATACAGCCTTTCACTCTCCAGATATGGACAGATACATACCCTGTCCTATCTGACATCTGTGATAGGGATGGTCTCCATCAGATACAGAGTATTACATACAGCCTTTCACTCTCCAGATATGGACAGATACATACCCTGTCCTGTCTGACATCTGTGATAGGGATGGTCTCCACCAGATACACAGTATTACATACAGCCTTTCACTCTCCAGATATTGACAGATACATACCCTGTCCTGTCTGACATCTGTGATAGGGATGGTCTCCATCAGATACACAGTATTACATACAGCCTTTCACTCTCCAGATATTGACAGATACATACCCTGTGCTGTCTGACATCTGTGTGAGGGATGGTCTCCATCAGATACACAGTATTACATACAGCCTTTCACTCTCCAGATATGGACAGATACATACCCTGTCCTATCTGACATCTGTGATAGGGATGGTCTCCATCAGATACAGAGTATTACATACAGCCTTTCACTCTCCAGATATTGACAGATACATACCCTGTCCTGTCTGACATCTGTGATGGTCTCCACCAGATACACAGTATTACATACAGCCTTTCACTCTCCAGATATTGACAGATACATACCCTGTCCTATCTGACATCTGTGATAGGGATGGTCTCCATCAGATACACAGTATTACATACAGCCTTTCACTCTCCAGATATTGACAGATGCATACTCTGTCCTGTCTGACACCTGTGTGAGGGATAGTCTCCACCAGATACACAGTATTACATACAGCCTTTCACTCTCCAGATATGGACAGATACATACCCTGTCCTGTCTGACACCTGTGTGAGGGATGGTCTCCATCAGATACATAGTATTACATACAGCCTTTCACTCTCCAGATATGGACAGATACATACCCTGTCCTGTCTGACATCTGTGATAGGGATGGTCTCCATCAGATACACAGTATTACATACAGCCTTTCACTCTCCAGATATGGACAGATACATACCCTGTCCTGTCTGACATCTGTGATGGTCTCCACCAGATACACAGTATTACATACAGCCTTTCACTCTCCAGATATGGACAGATACATACCCTGTCCTGTCTGACATCTGTGTGAGGGATGGTCTCCATCAGATACACAGTATTACATACAGCCTTTCACTCTCCAGATATGGACAGATACATACCCTGTCCTGTCTGACATCTGTGATGGGGATGGTCTCCACCAGATACAAGTCCAGGGGAGACTTGAGCCAGACATGTCCCATGTTGTTGCTGATACAGCCCAGAACCAGCAGGTTGAAGAGGAGATAGTCAACACCTTCCTGAACCTGCAACAGTCAACGTGACATTGTTTAACTGGTGATGTTTACATGCTCATTTCATTCAATGCAGATATACTTAGAACCTATTCAAGGATACGAGACACTGCAAAGGTGAGTGTAGCTCACCTCATATGAGATGTCCAGGTGGAATATTCTTGGTAGGACTTGTCCAGGCTGCGGTGTATGATCCAGCAGTTTCTCTGCCACAGCCATTGTACACACACTTTTCTCATACAGATGTATGGACACTGATGTAGCAGGGACTCTAGGGTTCAGACGCTGCAGTGCCTCCACCTGGCGCTTCTTGTACAAGGTCTTCCCCACACCAGCTCTCTTGGACTTGATCACTCGCACTGTGGAACTTCAGACAAAAATTTATACTCTGATGACAGCACTCCACTAAAAAATTAAATTAAGTCATCTTTATCCATAATCCTTACAAACCTATTTCTCAGAAGCATATTACTAAGGACACACTTTTTTGGTTCATGAAGATTCGTGTAGATTTTGAAATAACACAACGTTCAACCACATTTCACCTCACCTTTACTTTTATGGAGCTATATATCCTCCTAGAGGATCGAGTAGGTGGACGTGGAGATACGGGTGCACAAAGTAGCGTTTAACCAAACACACTCACTCACTCACTCACTCATAGGCTGATCCCTCAGGCAGTTCAAAGAAGAAGATGCTAAATGGTCAGACAACTGACAAAGCACCATGACATATGGATCTTCAGGGAAACTTTGAAATTAAAACAGGGTTTCAAGTGCCTTAACATTCTCTGGAGCAGTGACATTGTTTTTTTACTGTCAGGCCACTGCATGATCTTTGTGTTTTGCTAGAAGAAATCTGAAAAATAAGTATCGATACTCTTACCTGCTGAAATCCAAATTTGAAGCGGTATTGTGGTCTTGCTGACATTCCAATTTCTGAGAAAATTTTAATAGCAGATATTTTTTCACTTCATGCAAGTTTTGCAGTGCAGGAGGTGGACATCTTTGTCTTTCTAGAGCTGCCACAATTCTTGCCTTGAATTCATTTTCCGTGGAACAAAGTACCACAAGTTGACAGTCAAAATCTGAAAATTCACATACTCGTATACAAATATGTGAATTCTGATAGAAATGACAATTAAACAAACATTTCAGTTGATTGTAGTATTGACATATAGATACTTATTATCTGAAATTACCAAAAGGGATGAAAGTAATTGTTCAAGACTCAACCTTAGGACTACTAGCTGAAGTTGCTGACTGTTATTGTTTTATGGAAAGTATATAAAGGAATACTAAGCAAAACATTGCTCTGAACATCCCCACAATTTCTCATTAGACACATCTACTATGTATATGTTAGTATACATGTATCTTTATTCAACATTGGTCCCTAATGTTCTCTAATTCAGTAAAAAAACATAAAAACAAGAAATTCTGATGCCTTTCACTTCTAAAAATTTTATATGCCCTTCTGAACGAGAGAGATCAATTCCAGGTTTGTGAATAAACGTGCCCAATAGAATATGCAATGTACTTCTGGGTTAATGCCATGTTATTTCCTGTTCAAGAGTTTGTCTAGGGCTATATGAAATCTGATGCCCCTTGTTTACTTGGGTAATAAGAAAGTTATATGTACTTAAGGTTTAATTATATACTTCACCTGCATACATGGAAGGTATTCAAAAAGTTTGTATAACATATTATGAACAATTGAAAATATGTTTTTGTTTTCTCATGAATTCAACCAGGTATTCACAAAAATCTAATCAACTCTCTCCCTTGTGACCACACATGAATGACAAGCATAGTCAAATACTTATTAAAAGACTCATAGATTCTGATGACCAATTACATGTGAGAACATTTCTAGTTGTGCTAATACATGTATGAAGTTCTCTATTCCATACTGTTGACAAGTCATTTCATGAGTGAAGTTTTGAGAGCTGTTTCATGTGACCTCTGGTGACCTTGACCTTCGACAAAGATTAAGAAATATCAATTGAGATCTAGAACACATATGACACATAATTAAGTTTCATCAAATTCCAATGATAAATACTCAAACGATAGTGTAAATAAATTTAAACCTTTCATGATGCCAACACAACAGGTAACCTTGACTTCCAATGTCACCTAGAACTCCCCAGCTGTATCTGTTTATATCAGCTAAAAAGTCTTGAACATTTTACAATGGAATCTGTGAAAAAAAAGACTGTGCCTTATCCAGATCTATCTCAATACAAGACCTTCATTCATGGTGAGAATTTACTACCTGGTTTATCGATACTGTGTTGAATTGTGTGACAAGGGACCAATTTATCATGCAAGTAATGCAATGTATAATCCAGATTTACATTGTGTTTACACCGAAGACACTTTCTCAAAATTAAGCTATATCTTACACAAAAAATGTGTTTAAAAAATGTATTTTCTTAAAGGGTTGTAGGGGATACTTCTTTCGATTACATCATAGATGCAGCAAACTTACTCTTGTATAATTTGTTCATGAATGTCTTGAGCGTTCATATTGTGACAGCAAGGGATGAAGCTACTACTAGAATCTCACTAATCCACCATCTAAACCTGACTGAACTTTTCCAAACAAATCCAGTTCAACAAGATTTCACTGTAAAATGTGTAGATGAGTAAATCAATTGCAGCAGTCCAATTTAAGCCAACATATTAAGCAGCTAAAATAGAAAGAGGTATTTCATGAGAATGGGAAGACTTTGTTGATACATGTATTTACATAACTATACTTCACACTTGTATACCTTTGTCCCTGCTTGAATACTCCTTTAGCTTCTTCTCTGCCCTCTCTTCTATCTCATACTGCAGCAGATCAGCATTGGCCATTGTATACAACTTGCCAGGGTTGCTGAAGAAGGCTCGTCGCAGGAAGATGTCAACCTAAAAACATTGCTCAAGATCTGGTATTTCTATTTATTAAGAACATATTATTTCAGATTTATCTATTTTACACATATATATGTCTTTACACAAAAGTAATGAGTTAAACTAACAGTTAATGTTTCACAAATGAAACCTAAAAAATGTAAACTTTTATGTAGTCTCGGAACTCTTAACATCTATTCATAAATGGATAAATACATACCTATTAAATATTCTGACCTGACAATTATTGTCAGTGATAAGGACTTAATTCAAGAAACACAGAAATAGGAAAGAGCGTCATGTTACTGTTGCTCACCTGGATATGTAGTCAACAGTGCAACGTGTCAACAGAGACAGCCACTTAAACAAATTTGCTGTCAGAAATGCTACTCATTTATTTTTACATACATACTGAGGAATAGAGTTAAATAAACTTTACTTAAAGTTTCAACACAGAACCTTCTAAGGAGAATGATTTATCTGATGCCATACATTTTTTTCAAATTGTTTCATACAAGAAACCCAGTGAAGCCATAATTATTTGAAAACAATATGTTGTCAGGAGAAGGAAACATGCATGCCAAAGTTCAGCTTCTTCAGTTTGGCAATTTCAGAGAAGATGTGTTGAGAGTGAGAACAAAGAGGAACCACTTGCACAAGGTGTCATCATTGGTGGGAACAAGCATGTAGTGTTTCCCCTGCCCTTTTATTTTGCGCACTGCCCCTTTTTTTGGCCTGCACTGCCTTTTCTGACATTTACTGTTTTGTCTGGAGAAAACCATGACAATATACATGGAAATCTGTTGCTGGATGCCCTTTTTATACTATTAGTTCCCTTTTTGAAAATCTGTTGCCTTGGCAGTTTTGGTAGATGGCAGTAGAAGATGTTTATGATGGAAGACACACAAAGGATGATGCTAGACAAAGAGAGCACAACATAAGCCCCATTGAATTTCAGTAAAAAGTATAGATTTACCTGGTCAAAGGTAGTTTGTGGAGTGCACAAAAGGACCTCATCTGGTTGAGGAAGGGGCTCATCTTCTGAATGTTTGTACATGTACAGAACAGTGTTCAACATGTCAGCTACAAAACAAAAAATATGGCAATATCAGCAAAGACTTTCAATTTGTCTATTCTTCGTGACTTGGATGGCAGCACCAAGCATATTTACATATATTTAAAGAATATATATTTTCAACCTTCCGTAGCACTGCAACATTTAATTATTTGACAATGTAATTTGTCTTCTCATCCTCATATATCTCACCTTGAGGGCAGACAACCAAGTTAGAAATTCCTGGTTTCAGTGGCGGTGGTATAGTCCTGTTAAATGGCCGCTCGTCTGGAAAAAATATATTAAGGCAGAATATTTATTCATTCAAAGTTATTGATCACCCAATTTGACCCTTAATCTTCACCATACTGCCAGTATATTTTGAAGTGTACTGTTGACGAGTAATATAAGGAGAAATGCCTTTTTAATGTAACTTTGCCATTTGCCATTTGACATGACGACAATACAAGACAGGTGCTAATTAGTTGTATAAAGTAAATTTCACTGATTGAAAAATAATTCTGATGTTGGTAGCTTGAGATTCATGCTGAGAAACCACCAGTAGTGATTTATTTCTAGTATATTTCATCTACTGGCATGATGAGGCAAATGGGCAAAGATACATTTTCGATGCTTCAAGTTGACGTTTTTGCCAAGAGAACTATTTAAATTTTGACTAAATCATATTGACTTTTATTTTGTAATCTCAGTGCCTGCATGGTGATTGGAACAGAGCAGATTAAGTCTAACAGCTTGGATATATGAAGGGAAATGTCCAGTGGACAATCAAGCTATTATGCACAGCCTGGGGGTTATCAGAAACAGCAAATGTCATGGTTAGGATATGTATGTTTATTTGTATCATGTTGTGTACAATACACAACTTGTTGAGGCACTTGTCTGTGGATCATGCCAAATTTAACTGGCCATGGAAACTGCACTGATAATTTTGGAAGACATTTTTTCATACCTCCATATTCTCTCCCATTTCTCTTTTCACTCATTTTTTGCAGTTGCAATCTATCTTACAGACACTAAGACATACAATAGCTGTTTCCTGTGTAAATCCATATCCATATATGTGCTGTAAGCTCAAGCTAAAGGTACCTGATTGAGCCTGCTGTCTGAGGATGATGCCCAGATGTTTAAGCCTATGAAGTCAAGTCTCTACAGTTGTGTTACTAAAATCAGCAAGTGTCTATATGGCATATCCTGCCCATTACTTGTGTAAATCTATATCAAGCTCAAGGTACCTGTTTGTGCCAGCTGTCTGAGGATGATGCCCATATGTTCCAGACTGAGATAATCTGCTACACTGGACGACACAGCTTCCAGGAACGTCTTCCACACTGACCTCAAGTTGGCGGTCAAAGCCTGTACAGTTGTTATATTCCTGTTTAACAAATAAACCACATACATGGAAAATCACAGGCAAACTGTTGAACACATGTGAGCTGCAAAATAAAGTAAAAATATGAAAGACAACAACTACACTGGAATTCTGTCCTTGTCATTTCTTCAAACTATCTACAAAGCCAATTCAGATATTAAAAATCATCATTGCCCCATGTTCATGTTGATATGTACAGGTCAGGTGAGTTACTATTACTTGGTCCAATAATCTATGAATTCTAAATCATGCCAATGTATGGTTTTCAAAGAAAGTAGGGGACAATCCTTATAATTTTATAAAAGTAAAATATGTGCCTAATTCATAAAGTTAATTTTAATATGAACTTAATGGATTTTGTAAAATGTCTATGGTATATGTTAATGTACATCATGTAAGCAGATGATAACTTCCAATAGCTAGACTACGCACAACCCAGCAAAATCTGTACCTTATGGTCGCTTGACTAGTCAATTTTAATGGTGGGCAAGTGAAAGGTCTGGTACATTTTTTCAGACTTTCTCAGCCCATGCATTTGGACTCACTTGTTATGACCTGAGATGTTTTTGACCCAGGACCTTGCAATGGATGACACCGACTCTCCTCCCACCTGCCAGCCAAGGAACAATGGATCAACCGAAGACTCCACGTCTTCCTCCTCATCTGGGAAGTCATCTTGATGTTCCATACACCAAACAATACCTGAAGATAATCAATGGCATAAAAGACCTAATTGGCTGTCTCCTTTCTTCTGGTATAATTATTTTGTTTAAAGCACTGATGCCCACCAGGTGCACCAGGTGGCTGTGTAATGTGGTCTGTTTGATGTGAGAGGACAGTTTGATAGCAATGTAATGTCATTTCATTGATTTGCTAACAAACATTCATGAAAAGTATTATTGCATTTGGTAAAGCAGTTTCTGAGATATTTTACTGTCACATCATTGTCGACTAGAGGTGTTTGCAAGTACCTGTCCCCGCAATTTACTCAACATTTAAAAGTCCAGCCTTATGTACCACCATGTACTATCAATCACAAAACATTACGTCCAGATTGATCTCAATCAAGACAACTACATAAGATCCAACAATTACAAAGACTTTAATTACATGTAATAGTGCAACAGAACTTTGTATTTGTATGTCAGGACTTTTTTTGCAGGGATATGAGTCAGTGGATGTCCCACAGTTGGTACAATATGCTGTTATCTGCTACAGTTACATGAATATAAACATGAATGCAGTAATCATGATTATGTGATACAAAATTATGACAACATAAATAATGTAATTTCTATCAAGAATTAATAGCACCAGTTGAAATGTTTTCATTGTGTATGAGTACTGAAGAAAACTGGTACTTTGGGGGATATACTCTGAAAAAAACCACATCATATGGAATTGAGTCAATCTTTTTCCCATGGAAACGGAAAACATAAAAATTCACAAATTCCCTAAATAGCAAAAGGCACCAGCTGACCATCTGATCTCTGTGTGTGCAAAGTTTCATGAAAGAGTGAGCGAGTATGGTATAAAAAATTATTACGGACAAACAGACACACTGATTACTATATCCCCATGTAAAACCTGAAGACATGTCCATTCCTCTTTTGTACTGAATTCCAAAGCTCCATAAAAATCCATACAAAGATAGATATATATCTGGGTCCAGCAAATTACCACCAAATCCCTGTTTCAAAGATTTAACATAATCCTTAATACAATCAAGGAAGGACTTACTTTATATTCACAGAAAGTATTTGAGACAAATAGAATTAATACCATGTGAATTCTCTCACACTCAACCCAAAAGGATTTGCTTGACTTTTTACAATCTCAGAAAAGAACAAAGTTCCATTCCATCAAAATATTGTTTTTCAACTTTGTTCACCATTATCCCATAAAAAACTTCATTCCTTGATCCACAGGGCTTATGCTACAAAACAAGGTGACCATAGACAGAGGTACACATCTATATTCAGAGGTTCAGGGCAATTTGTCAAAAATGAAAGTAAATCCCATCTGAAGCTTACTGAGGAAACAGTATATGAAATACTGGACTTCCTCATTGATAACACTGATGTAAAATTTTGGGGAAAGCCACTAAGGCAAGAAGTAGGTATCCCCATGGGCACCAATTGTGCTCCCCTTCTTTTGATCTGTTTCTTTATACATATGAGTCGGAGTTTCTCCTTGGATTGGCAAAGTCAACGTAAGCATCAGGTACATCAATGATCAGATATCATTCAATAACCATCAAATGGCCAAATCCCTTCCACTGATTTACCCTCTAGAAACTATTGAGTGCTATTTTTTAATTTTGTGACCTTGACCTCTGCACTGCATATAAAATATTTCTCAAACTCCATGTGGAATGAGACAGTTGTTAGATATCCTCAAAGGAAGTAATCTTTGCCCAATATTCACACAAAAATATTATTCAACTAGCGTTTAAAAATGTCCCCAAAGGTTACCTTGACCTTCAAATAACTTTTAAAGTATGTAAACAATGTTAGAGTTCCATGCCTCAGAAACTGGTAATAATATAACCATGTTCTACAAAAAGCTGAATGATAATGTTGACCTTCTGCTAATCTTGACTAAACTCCTCAAAGCAGGTATATACTAAGATTAATGATGATTCCATTGATAGGTTTTGGGAAACTGTAACCAGAAACTTTTTGTGAGTATTTTCATAACATGTGCTGAAAGAATTTTCCAGGGCCCTGGAAGAAAAATCTCTAATGTGAATGATATGTGTGTAGTATCTTTTATAAAAATCAAAATGAAGCAGTCCTGTAAATTTTAAGATGTTAAGATAAATGCCATGACTGCATCCAAATTCCACTTTAGTGATAGATATTTCTTATGTTTCTGAGAGTATAATGATGAAACATTTTTTTCAATATTAAAAAAATCTCAGACTGATCTTCATGAACATTCAGCCCTAGCATACACAGTAATCTCTATCACTCCCTCATACATCTTACACTAGCTAACTAGCATAACTTTTCATGCAATACAACTCATACACATGTAATATATATTACCTACCCAAATCAATATCTTCAGGTTTCACTTCTACCAAGGCATGTCTAGCAAGTTTTTCTGAGAAGTCACTGTTTTTCATAGCATCAATGAAAGCTTGTTTAGTGTCAATATCTTGATTTGTCGTCTCTTGTTCAGTTTCTTCGGTCTCTGTCTCAGTTCTGTCTTTCTTTGCAAATACAACTTCTCTGGCACTCTTCATCGCAAGGCTGAGATCAGACTCTGTACAGTCAGGCTTGATCAGAGACAACATTGAATACACACGAACAGAAGGTTCCTCCTCTGTGCCTAGTTTGATGAGTTCTCTCTGAAGGAACACCAGCTGGTCAATGGTGTAGAAGTTCAGCTCCAAGTACTCATCTCTTCTGTTACTGACATAGTTCATCCATTCATCATGGAAGTCCTCAAACTCATTTGCAAGAGCATGGATGAAGACCTCAACACCTTCCTTCCCTCGATGTCCCTTCAAAGTTTCAAGATTATCCCCTTCACCAAATTCCAAAATTGTGCATGCTTTTCTCTCATCTCCACAAAAAAACTTCCCCTTCCAACAATTGAACAAGACGCATCCATCTGTACACAGTCTGATGTATGTTTTGGCCAGACGCACTATGCCATCTAAAACCTGTAATACAAAACATAAACAATCTTGAATCCTCTTATGGTGATAAATACCTGAAAAGAGGTAAATACCTCGTTGATCCATAAAGCATCAAAGTTAAGATAAGGGCTTCATCTTTTTTCCCACTAGAAATAGCAAATTTTAAAATTTCATTTTCGGTTTTAGCCAATCTCACTCTGTTTAGTCTGTAACCCACAATACATTTTGAACAATATCATTGTATTGTTTTACCTAAATCACATATGAATCAAGTATGTTACTGAATTTGAAACAATGAATGTAAGATATATTGTTATAACACTGGTTAAACATTGCTACATTGCATAAGTTTCCTTCACACTGAGCTCAAATCAATTCACTTGAATTAATTCTAACTGTTTCACAACACTAAACCCAATAATGGTGAAAAACAACTACATAACTTATCAGAAAAAGCAGTTAGCTGTTTCTGAAAAAAACATTTTAGAAACAAGAAAGTGTATGCCTTACAAAGACACCAAAACATATCACTGCCTTGTATAGCATTGACCAGAACTCATAACATATCCACACATGATTTTTCTTGGGTTTTTTGCTGTACAATGCACTCAGCAATTTTTCAGCTATATGAGGGCAGCCTGTCAATAAAAAAGTCTGATTCAGACAATCCATTGATCGATATGGTGAGCAATGATCCACTCCTTTGGTTTACGATCGTGGATCCACAATCAACCAAATCACCGAGTCTGCTGCCCGATTCATTTCATTAGTCACCTCTTTTGACCAGCATAACTTGCTGGAAACCTATTCTAACCTGGAATCCCCCATGGGGGTAACTTACGTAAGTTCAATTAACAAATTCCACAGTACTGGCATGACTGTATCAATATCATACAACTGCATGCAACAGACTCATGGAAACAATTTGAGGAATCCAACCTTGACATTGAATTTAAACTTCCATATCTTGAACTTCTTAAATACTACCAAGTATCAGGATTGTACACACAAACTCATCAGTAACTGGCAATGATTAAAACAAATATATCTCCAATAAACTACATGACAACCTGATCTCTGACATATTACTGACAGTTTATTTGTTGGACATTTGACACACAGATGTAAATATCAAAACTTATACCTTTAAAGGTAACCCTGTCTTAGAAACTGACAATGATATCTAAACATATTTTATAACCAGTGTAAAGATGTTCACCATTATTTAGTGATGTAATACTTGAGAGGTCATGAGAATCAAGCTAAACTAGAATGTTTTCAATCATACAAAACAACATGCCTGCAATGAGTTTATATTGCAATTCCGTGAACATTTTTGGGGGATGACTTTTTATTTTGCTATCTATACTCATAAAAAGAGTGCCATGGCAATGTAGCTCACCTTGATATTAAGTGCATCATCATCAATTAAAAATGTCAACAAAGACAGCCACTTATCATAACTTACTGATACTGTGTGCAGTGGTGTTGAAAGATTCATAAGAAGGCTGAAAATTTCTTGAGAGTCTCATGTCATAATTGGAATAAATAACAGTTATATTTGTAGGAAAGGCAATGAGAACTTTCGACCAGACAGATGAAAACGCAATCTGTTCACTGTGGAAATGCATTGAAAACCTATGTACGGGATAATATAAGTTGCCAACTGATCTTGAGGGGTATATGGTCTGATGTACCCTGTGTGTAAGCCTATGTTCCCCAAGCCATCAGGCGAGTGGTACATAATATCACCGATATTCATTCACATAGACCAAGATTATATGTCTGAAGTTTCACAGAGTAAAACACTTTGATTCAGCCATTTTGACAGCTAGCAGGCAATGCAAGTGAACTGAGTTTCTTCCCATAAACATCAGTTCATTTCAGCTTAACGATACTTCTGCAAGATAAGCAAGTTACCAAAGGTGTGTTCTGATTGATTTCTAGGCTAGCTACGTGAGCGGGCATCATGGAAAATAATTACCCGCTCCTTAACCAAACAGAAACTAGTATTCATGGAATGACCAGCACAAACCTAAATATTATTGAAAATTTGTGGTAAAAACGTCCAAAATTCACTGACAATATCATCAACAACGATCAGGTGTTCAAGCTTATCTGGACCACTTGGCAAAACCTAATTGACAAATCCCAGTTCTCAGCTGTATTGACACTTGCAATAACTTTCACAAAAATAATTCTTAAATAATCTCACCATGATGAAGTGGTCAACATCATCTTTTCCCTTTTCTGCCTGTCCTGCTACCAGCATTAGCCTGCTCTGAAGATCCACCAACTGCCTGTAGCTGTATTTCCGGGATCCATTTTCCTCTTTGTCTTGTGTAACATGCAGGCTGATTACATTGTTCAAGGCCTATAAGCCAAAGAGAGGTCATAATTACAAATCTGAATGGTGCCTGAGCTGCCATGTTAAAAATTTGATTTAAAACTCTTTCTACAAACTCAGGTGACATCATTGGTGGATAGAGGCATTTCTGAGGATTTCAGTTGGATGAAATACGTATCTATAGAATCTTTAACATCATGATAAATGGAACATTCAGTATGTGTTAAATCCCACCTCTAATAAACATATACCAAATTTCATTACATTTTGAACAAGCATGTGAAGTTTCAGTTTCATTGGTTTCGCGGTTTCATGGTAGAAGCTCATATGACTTGTTCCAAAGTTAAGATCTTCTAAGAGCAAAGGCATGTACAGTTAAATAAGACTGTGACTTTGGTGTCATAAAACAATATCAAATGTGACATATCCAATCACCACTGTTCACACACCATAAAAAAGTCATTAGCAGATAAAGGTATGATGCACAAACTTGCACACCTACTTTCAGCGTTAGACATTGCTTCTCGTTCTCTAGTCTCAACACAAGTGTGAGCAAGGTGGTGGTTGAGAACAATCTAATTTTTTCCCCAGCTGTATCCAACAAACTACTTTTTTACTGAGCACCATTATACAATCTATTACTTTTAACTATTAACACATTTTTACATTTGGGTATTTTCAACAAAATAAACTATAAATTTTCTTCAACACTGCCAACAAACTATTCGTTTTGTGCATATTTTTGAAACAAACAATTAATTCCTCCCACTCATTCCCTCTTTAGAAATGAAATGGATGCTCCCTTACTGCATCATAAACATTAACTTGATCCAAATAAGGCAATATACTTAACATGATATCCCACAGATATGTCAACACCTTTCAGCTTCAAACACAAAACATGGTCCAAAATAACATTATAAACTAATATGATTAATTCTATCAGCACAAAAAAATGGTAGCAATGATGGGATGATCAAACAAAGCTTCAACTCAATTAGTTAATTTTCATGTCAAAGAAGCAGTTAAAATGTTTATGGACAAAGCATTGCAGACACCACAAAAACATAAATGTAGCCCTGACCTAGAAGGGAGGGATATCTTACCAGAAGTGAACAGTTCTCTATGTCATCAAAGTTTCCAATTCTGTACAGGCCCCTGTTGTTTATCTGACCTGCCTGTGTCAAGGAGGTTACTTCAACAGATCCATGTGACTTCTTAACTTCCTTCAGCCAGTTCAAAAGTCGATTGGATTCAGTCTACCACACAAATAAATAAATATTGCAAGCCATCAGATCTATATTCATAGGTAATAATATATGCTAATCCACAAGACAAATACCAGCAAGCATCAATTAGGACCAGCTTTATCAAATATAAAAGCATGTTATTTACTGTCAAGGACAGAACCTGGCAGAATAGTGATGACATACAGTTGTGAAAACTTAATGATATTATTCAAAATGGACGTTTTGCAGTGACCTACCTGACAATGACATTTGATGAACCCTGCATTCATTTAGAGTCATCAGATGTTTCATGAATTGAGACATGTTGCCTCGTGGGAAATGTGTTAAGAAATTGTGATAAAAAATTATAAGAATTGACTTTCACTTTGTGTGAGTTCATTGGAGAATGAACCTTCATAGGGTGAGGGCCAAACTGTATGAACGTTGGAGCTTGCGACAAAGTGAAAGTCAATTCTTATAATTTTTTATCACAATTTCTTTCCTAAAAGGATGTAAGCCAAGATCTAAACACAATTTAATTTACTACGTGTTTACACTGACAGCCAAACAACAACCAGCTATATCGCGGAATAAAATAGTTCCCCAAAAAGAGAGGTGACATGAGCGTATGGATGCAGAACTTGCTCTTCAGACACATCTTACGCAACACATGTGTTCATATAATATCCCCATTAGATGAGAAAGGTCTGTAATGAACTACCTCAGTAAGTCAGTCAGAATGACAGCGCGTCATAATACATTTACATCAAGTACAAGACGTCAAAATGGCCGACACGATAAACGTGACGGGAGGATTTCCGAAGTTGTTAATGAACCTGTGGCGGTTACATGTGTTAGTCATCATTGATCAACTGACCGATTATTGAAAGGTGATTAAAGACACCAAGGTAAATTCGTAGATTGCTGGAGACAGTCACTGTCAGACTAGACACAGATCGAGTTGATACTGTCGATAGCTTGGATGTGCATTTTTTCGTTTGTTCATTAGGATGGGCCGTAGCGAGGAAATTCATGAACAATCATACAGTCAAGCTCTCTTATGTTTCTCAATGTATACTGAAATGCTGAGACCAAGATTAAAGGTTCTAAATGATCAGAAATAATCCTTATGTATGTTTTCGTGCTAGGAAATTGCCAGGGTTTTCCCCAGGAATGTGGAAGTAGTCCGTCAGTGTTTACGTCTTTTCAAGAACACGGTCTCGTGAAAAACGTATGAACATCAAATTGTGTCGTTCATACACTTATGAACGTCAATTTTCGCGGTCATGTGACCGACCTCTCGTCCAATGGAAAAGCCGTATATCATGTAAACGTCAAATTAAAAATTATTTAATAATAAACTTAAGGGTTTTGTTGCAGATTTGTTTCTGTTATTTGACTACTTATCAAAAGACAGGAAGTGAAATTTAGTTCACATCACACACTACCATTCTTCAGTATAATTTGCATTAAAATACAGCAAATGGATCCTAATGATCAAAATCAGTAAATAAATTATTTGCAAACTGTTTTCAGATCATATCATATTTGTTAAGTATTGGCTGTACAGCAAAGCCAGTTCACAATATTTGCAAATATTGTTAAAAGTTATATTAATGTCACAAACAATATCAAAGGCAATACCATGTCAAACCTTCTGACTTTGATCTGATTTCAGTTTGATTTCTATTCTTAAGATTATTATCAAAATGGACTCTGCAATCAGGCAAAAGTGGGCATGATAAAAAGGTTGTGGTTTTTGTCCCGCTACTTTGCATAATAGGTCACGGTATCTGTAATGGGTCCTTCGTAAGGAGTTCAAATGTTTGTGACTTCAGTATTTGATCAGGATATCCTTCAAAATGTTCAAATTCAAAAGCTAAATTTCATCTACGTTTCATCTATTCAATAACATGTAATTTCATTATGGTGACAAACAAATCCTCAAATTTTGGTCAGTGGTTTCTGAGCAATATCAAATACAAAAGGCTTTTGCCCCATTATCTACAATAGCAGAAGTTGAATGCCATTCATAGAGTGTTAATCAGGTTTTATGTAGTTTAGTAAAGAGCACATATGTGTATGTATTATTCTTGCAACAACAAAGTTCAGTTCATATACTCAAAACAACAACAACAACCCTTATTTTTCAGGCAAAACTGCACATAATACATCAATAACTACTCCTTTCTTGTCATGCATGTCTCATGGCATAAACCCTACACCTGTGAAATTTGTCGTCATTCATTTGATGCTGAGTTAATGACTTCATCACAAGTATAATTAGCGCTGGAACCACTGAGATCACCCAACAAAGACTATGAAAATTACACAATAACGTTCACCCCTGCTTCTGATGGTGTCAAGGACATATAGCAATCAGTGGTTCGCAGTTGGTATTTCTCATGTCTGAGGTAATTATTCAATCTCAGATTGGTCTAGAAATCCAAGTCTGATGTGGTGAATGTATTACATGTTATGTAATATGCTACATGTACTTACATTAACTGTAGTAGGATTTGTAAGGATACATTCAAATATGCAGAAGTAACTATTGCTTACAATGATGTGACCATGTTTTACAAAAACCTGAATGTAGACCTTGGCCTTTGAATTATTTTTTACCAAAACTTTTTCAAGGAGTGTATATACCAAGTTTTATGATACATCATTAATATTTTTTGAGAAAGTGTAACCACAAATGTTTGGGTGACATACAAACTCAAATGTTAACAATCAACTTCCAACAAAACCCTGAAGCACTTGCTGGACCCCGCTCAATTTTAAACACTTTTTATCATTATGACTTTATTTACAGCAACTACATTCACACTTTTCCTAAACTTTTTGTCCAAATAATTGAAAATATAAACGAAAAATAACAGCATTATTAAGAGTTACCAGTTTGTCTGGAAGATTCTCGTCAGACTTAAGCTCCTGCCAGACAAGTTCACAGTTCTTGAGGAAAGTGGCATAGTCTGCAGTCTGTGGTGTGTTGAAGATCAGTGGAGCATATCCAGTGGTTGCTGAGTGAAAACAGTTGACTTTGTGTATCTCCATCGCTTCCTCTCCAGCTGAGATGTAAGCCAGGTCCACAAACACCTTCAGTTCCTTCACGCCATCTGACATACAAACACCAAATTGTAAAATCATTTTCAAAACACATCCATGGCACCCTAGTGATTACTCCAGAATATGTTTGGTACACCACAATAATGGAGAGGATCACCATTTCATGTGAAACATGTACCTAACATACTATGCTGAATACATTGTCAGAAGTCATTAGCATCTCCATCACAATTTTACTATTCCTTTGAATTATTCCTATTCATACATTATGCAAACAATGAATTAAACTAGGAAAGGGGATGCATGCAATGGCAAAAACAGAATTGGACCCTTAATTCTCAGGAATGCTAAGAAGGCCCCCATAAAACGTACATCACATAGCCATCATCCAAATCCTGGTAAAAACACCACAACTGTGTATGGAAACACAACACTAGATTGAAATACCATACCTCCAGCTAGCATAACAAGGATCCTAAATACATTTTGTGGTATGACAAAACAAAACACATATAAACCCTGAAAGTCTCTCTCCCTTTGTTTTGCAGTTCCGGTCAAATAACATCACTTCTAGTATTATGACATTGCTTGTGAAAGCACATGCCCATTTCAGTACATGCTTAAACCAGAAATCTATCTACCACAATAAGGATGCAATAGGCACTTCCACCCTAATGACTTAGCTGGGTAGATCAATGAAGTCACTGATCCTGACCACCAATTCATTTTGTTGCCTATTGTGACAACACCATGGGAACATGCCTCCAACAATTTCTTAGAACCAATAACAAAGTGATATGCCTTTCCAGTCATTGACCTTCAACCGCTGCCTTAGCTGCCAGCAAATTTCATACTGAGAGCATATCTGGTGTTACAATGTAAAGTCGCTGTAGCAAACCGTAAATACAGTTATTCAATGCAGAAAAAAGGTCAGTGCTTATGTATTATTAATCATATAAAAATGTTTTGTATCATCACAAATTTGTAACATCAAGTATTCAGTTCTAACAATGACCTTGAACTTCATTAGTCAGATAATCTGCTCTAAAACAACTTGTCTGTTAGAGTTCCTTGAGTTCAAATCCTTCATGCTCATGATGTTGTGTACACAAGCTTTCTTCTATGTCTACTTCACATTGTGTGACCTTCACCAGCAATCTTTGCCAATCACAAGTGAGGACATTTCTAATTGTACTTTAGTGCCATCAATCATATGTCAGAAAAAGACATACAGAGGTATAGAGGAGGTACAATCGGGTAAAAAGTCTCTAAAATTTGTCATTTGTTTACATTCTCAACCAAAATTGAGGAGTGTTTTAACTATAACATACATGATATGATATTGCTGTGATATCCAAGCAAAATAAAGTTCAGGTATGATGACAAAACCTTAAAGCATACCCATTTACATACCCTGTTTAGTCATATTGTCAAAAATATATTAAATAACAAAAGAAGTTTTACCTTTCATGGAAACTCTGAGCCATTCCACCAGGCGAATGCTATTCTCAAAGGCTTCGATGCACTTTTGCTTTTTTGGATCATTCATATCATGGAGTATGGAACATGTCCCTAACACGGAGTCATCCATTGTGTTGATCGGATGGTCTTTGTTGCTTCCCTTAAAAATAAAACGAATAATTTGATTAATGCAGATCTTTTTTCTTTCTTTTTTAAAATAGCATTAACTACAAAAAAAACTAAAGAACAACTGTCTTCAACTCACAGTATATTAATTCTGACCAAATACCATAACAATTTAGGAATAATTGTTTTGCAAAAGAAGTTAATACAGGTAAAAAAAAGGAGTAAGTCTCTCAATTTTGAAGCAAATGATCTGATGATAATGGTTTCAATGATATCATTATCTTATTGGTATAAGTTGTACACCAAAATAGTATTCCTAAAGAGAGAAAAAGGGTAGTGATATCTGCAGTAAGACACTAAGAGCTAAATGGAAATCTCACATAGGAAAAGTAATAAGTTTGACCACAAGTTACAAAACTAGGTCTAACATGTGTACCAGTAAGATATAGTCAAGTAATAAAACTGTAAAGGATTCAATTCAAATGAATACCCTAATCAACATTATAAGTGTCTTTCCCTTTATCTTTAGATTTCACAACTCCATAACTTACCATTTGTTTAACAGCTTCAACTGGGGCGAAGTTTCCTTCAATAGAGTATATTTCCTTGATATTCATGATGATTTCAGCAACCCTCTGACAACCCTGCAGAGTCTCATAGCTCTGGAGTTGCTCAATTCTCCTGGAAATCCAGTCAGAAGAGCCATCACTCATAAGCTGAAACTCTGCTGTGATTTGATCTGCATCACCCTGAAATATTCTCACAAGTTCCTGTATGTTGCAGAATGTCTCTGTTCCATCCTGCACCTTCTTGCTGAGACTACGCCATCTCTGACTGGACTTCTGCCACACCTTCAAGACAGCTTCCTCAAACTTTGTTCCAGGGGCAATAGCTGCCCCTTCATTTCTCCATGTTTCCCTAAAGATCAAGCTTCCATTCCACTTTTCCAGCTGAGGAACAATTTCCATGATTTGCTCTGGAATTTCTGAGATAAATATCCTTGGTTGATAGGAATCTAGGCTGCCATGCACAGCTTCACCTTCTGGCAGAGGATGGCATAGAGCACACAACACCTCAGTATCAATCTTTTCTTCCATTTCTCTTACTCTGTTTGATAATTCAACTGTATTCACTGCAAACGAGTAAAACTTTCATATATTTAAGGAAGAGTTATATCACAGTTCAGTTGATACTGACCATCAAAATTTAAAAAGATATATAGTAGAAAGATCACTAAAAGAAATTTCTTTTTCAAATATTGAAACTGCTGGAAGTACAGTGAGCATTTGATAGACTGATGCCATAAATGTTGCTTAACATCATATGTAAGATTTCACTTACATAGTAAGGTGCATGCACATGTGTGTGGCTGCTTGTACTAGTCCAGACTTAGGCAAGTATTATAGTACTAGTAAGTATTATAGTACTAGTGCAATGAGGTACCATGCAGCAGTTTTAAACATGGACACTCAACTTTGACACATTATACACATGTACTGACTCTGAGTTGACCAGTCCTTGTTTAATACTCTTAATGTTGAACGCCAGAGCATCAAACCACTGACCTTCCTCTCACTGGGCAGATGCACTAATCACAACACCATACCAGGGTCCTGTTCCACAAAGGGATCTTAGTGCTATGTTGATCGTAAGCCTATGATAAAGTATGGGAGTTACGACCAACTTAGCACTAAGATCGCTTTGTGGAACGGGATCCAGCAGTCTAACAAATATGAACGCTTACTGATGCTGTCAAATGACTTCATATAGAGTACTAGAGTTCAAAAAGCTCACCTGTATTCTGTGATGTAATCTTTATGGGTGAGGATGTGATGAAAGATATAATACCCAATAAATAATACTTTCTCTTATCACTGATGCAGATACTAGACACTGATAGTAATTTGACAAACTGGATAAAGAGATTCTGTTTTCAACGCAACTGCCTCATCAGCCTTTCACATGATCAGAGTTTATCCAAGGTGTTATCATCAGATTGTGGTACAAATAGTAAATAAAGCATAAGCTGTAAGAAAACATACAACTTTATATGGATGATAACTTCTGGTTTATTTCATTTAGCAACATTTTGATGCATAGTCTTACCCCGTAATCAAGCTGTAAGAATAAACATTGATACACCGCTAAATGCAATAAATATTAAATTAGATATCCAACTATTTACAAATACCCTTTTTTCTAAAAAGAGCTAAGACAACATTTTGTAATCATAAAACTTTAAATCTTACTTAATTGTAAAGAATGGTGATGGTCCAAGGTCTGTATTTTAAACTAAATAAGTAGCTGTGGTGGCCATTTTGAATGATACAAAATGAAATGTTTACTTTATTGTAGCTGGTGACATGTATACTACCGACAAAAAATAAGGAACTGATGAAATAATAGTGAAGGTGTAATGATGACACATGTCTGTAAAATTAATTTCAGGCGTGTAAATCTATAGCTGATGTGTCCACCATGTTGGGCAATACATGCATGACACCTTGATAGCATACTGTTGATTAACTTAAATATGGTTGCCCTTAGTATTTCCTGCTATTTCTTCAAAACTTCTTACATTTGTATGCCATCCAGAATAACTCAGAATTTAAGGAATTTAAAGTTAAAACTTTCCCAAAATTATGTACAAATCATTTTTTCAAATTTGTTTGCAAAGGGCACTTATATTTAGTTTGAAATCCTCAAATTAGATACAAATCCCTGGTCACACTTCCGGAATATTGAACTTAATGAACTGCCAAATATTGGTACATGTATGTGACAACATTGGAAAACACTGAAGGAACCAAGACAAAGTCAGCACCTGTGGCTAAACAATCAGATCCATCTTCCAGAAAAAGGAAACTTGTGATCGCAAAATTATCTGAACATAGGTTCTGTAGTACTATAACCATAACACAAAATAATGTTTTATTTTACAAATCAAAGAAAAAAAATTTGAATGTGAAGTTTCAATATTCATCACAGTTACATATCATATTACTTGAGAAACAAATAATTTATTCTGTTACAGAATTGATCAGGCACTCTAGATAATGCCTGACCAGGCCGGGGTGACAATGAGACACTGCCTTTGTTTTTACAAATTCTTTGTGTCTTGAAATACATTTTATTTGTTAACGATACTGAAAATCACTTTCAACATGATCTTAAATAAATATATTATTTAAAAAGAAATAAGTATCACAGCAAGAGCCAACAAGCTAAGTTTTTAACCCAGTGTAAGGATATTGTACCATGTATCATTTAGTGTTTATTTGCCTAGTCCTGTATTGAATCATATTAATCTGATTTTGAACTAGCACCAATAATAATTAATTGGAATAATAATTAAACACTTGGTTAGATTATAATATATATCATTACTTTACCATGTTTACTTGAGGAATCTGAGTTCTTAAAAAATACATTTGAAAACTTATCCTATCTCATACTTTGCATTTCTTCCTTCTTCTTTCAATCCTTGAGTGGAAACGTCCCAAAACAAAACACGCAATAACATCTTTGGCTATTTCAACAGATGTACCCAATTTCAAGGTGGTGATCCTTAACAAACTTTGAGTAGTATACATATCCTATCTGACACTATGCATTTCTTCCTACTTCTTTCAATCCTTGAGTGGAAACGTCCCAAAACAAAATTTCCAGCTTCTAAAACCATATCCCCAACACCCCTCGCATCACCATTGTCACCACTAAAACAAAAGGGTCACGCACTACAATCCCATACATCGTGATGTAAGCAGTTTGATCCCCTGACACCCTATGCCTCATCCGTGTGGAGACATGTTATTATGTCGAGAATACAAATTTGTTTCTTAATTATTACTTCTGATAGTCAGTTCACTTATACTTCTCTCTAACATTATGGGGAAAGACCAGATAAAACATTCGGCTTGCAAGAAGTGTCGTCTCATATTTTCACCCTGAGATCCGCATGAGTTATGCTGTGACTGTTGTGGTGTTTGTCAACCTGGTATCCGATGTTCTGAATGCTCTCACCTATCAGACGAGGCCTTTATTAGTTACCTGCGAGAAGCATAACATTAATCAGATATCCAAATCGCAGGATGTTGAACATGGGCCATCTGCTACCAAGAAGCCACAAAGTTTGTCACTACTAAAGCTATTACCCATTCAACTGTCAAATCCACTGTCAAACAACCACCGACTCCTACCATCATTCCCTATTAGTTGAGGAAGATCAGTCTCGGACAGCTTACTTCATGACGAGATTCCCGCCAAAACATCATCATCGGCTAATTCCAGCACTCCACCATTTTCCGAATGATTCTCTGTCAACTACTTCGGATTGTAGTGAATTCTACCAACCAATCTACAGTTCTACCTCTGAAAACAGATGCAGTTGGTTCAGCAGAAAGTCGTCTATCATTGACTTCATGGGATAGCACAGTTCCACCTGAAGACATTGTTTCAAGGATCAACATTCCAAGGATTGATATTCTGAGGACCGACTTTCTACTGATTGATCGCCAAGGGTTTGACCATCTGAGGATCTACATATTGATCCTACCCATACATGGTTGCTCCAGTTCTACCGACCATCATCATCATCCTGACTGATCGCAATTATCTGACTTTGACACTCAACGCTGCTCACATTGACTCTCTTCTCAGAGCTGTAGATGCGACAGAGAGCTTGATCAGGATCGATGCACTTCTCCGCCACACTGATATCAACACATCCCCCTCCTGATCATTACGGAGATCATCGATACCACCGTTACTTGGAGTAACATTCAATGACAGATTACTATCGATTTGCACCTCCTCCAAATCAACATTAGGATCGACATCGACATGAGGATCAACATGAGAATCAACGTCGACCCTCCTCTCGTTCGCACTCTACTTCCCTGATTGCTATGCGTACAGACCAGCGATCATCCAGTAGATCTTATTTCCAGTCAGCAGGTCCTACACCTTGACTTCCCCCTGCGGATACTTCTGCCAGTGCGATCCCTCCAGCAACTGCTCCTTTGCCGACTTTGTGGAATCATTTCGACCTTTCGACTTTGGTCTTCACCTCACCAACTACTGCTTCACCACAACAAGTTGCGGAATACTGAAAGTTTGCTCAAGTGATCAATGTTGGCAAACCCTAAACTCGCTACCACAATGGGCAAAAAATGTCTATGGTAGCTGAACTCAAGGCTTTCATCCATTCCAACAAACTTGCTGACCAGTCGTGAAGATTTTGTCCACCTTCTTGAGACACTTGACATCGGCAGATTATGAGCCTTTGGATGAAAGAGCTTCGAACATGTCATTCTGAAGACAGTCTACCTCCTGGCCCTGGCTACTGCTGCTAGAGTCAGCGAGATACACCTGCCTTGGATGTGAACAGAATTTGTTTTGAGAGACGCAGTCATGGCAAGGTGCATCTTGGTTTCTGCTGAGACTTCATCACAAAAAAAAAAGCATCCAGGTCAGCCCAGCGGATTATTCACCATCCAGTCCCTGGTCTCGGTCTTACACCCCAAGGATCATGAGGACATCTCGTTATGTCCAGACAGAGCTTTACGCATCTACCATCAGGCTTCGTCTACACTTCGCCGATCTCCAAAGAGTCTCTTTATCCCTCTTTGCTCAGTGGCCAATTCAGAGGTCTCCCGTACCACAGTCTCCTTTCGATTGTGTTCAACGATCCTCCACGCCTACACCTTTGCCGACGTGCCTCCGCCTCAGACGTCAAACACTCATGAGAAAAGAGCGGGCACTGCACAGTAACTGCACCCTCAACGCCATCATGGAGGGATATTTTTGGAAGTCAAATACGGTCTTAACTTCCCACTATCTACTACATGATATTTCCAATACTGATGTACAAGGCCTCCACCAATTTGGTCCGCTGGTCCACGTACCTGATACACATACCTGCTACCATGGACTCATATTTCGTATATTGTACACAGTGAATAAATGATTGAGGGCCACTCCTTTGTTTATTATTTGTAAGTTCGGGTTCCCAGATCAAGTACTCATGTCGGAGAATGTCGACACTCATCTGTAGAGACATTGGTCTTCAACGATGAAGTTGCAGCAAGGCGTGGCTGTTTTGGTAGTGTCCCAAACACTCACTTGCTCACCTCTGTCTTGTGATGTCTCAGTATTGGTTTGAAGATCCTCTTATGGATGTTGCTGATCATTACCTCTCCTTGTCTTAGCATGCTCCAATCCTGTGGTGGGAATGATAGCTTCTATGAAGCGCTAAAAGAGATGCCAAGCTGATCAGCCTTAAGTCTTAGAGTGTATGTGGTTGTTTGTCTTGTAGAACTAATTGACTGGAGACCCCTTCCCAAACCGTTATAAGTCATGGTTGAATAGGTTCCCTGCTTCAAAGCTATGCAATCGTTCTGGAAAGAATGTCCTACGTGTGGACACATAATGCATGTTATACTCAATTTCGTTATGTTGTGTCCTAGTAACATAAAGGGGGTATCTCATTTATTACACTGTTCTATCAACTCAAGAGCCCATTTCTTTCAGACACTAATGTGCAACAATCTTATGGTTGAAGCATGTTCAGCACCAGCTTCCTCGTGTATATCTCACAGTTGTAGTCCACTACAGGCAAGAGTATATCTGTGACCCACTGTCCAACCGTGGGATAAAATGCATAGTGTGTGATAGGTTAAGTTTAAAAACCTGAAAATTTTACATTAAAGTGTATATTTATATTTATACAGATCCTATCTCACACGTTATATGCCCACCCAACCAGCCCCACATCACAGTTTCAGCTCCAAGAAAGAAAATGATGAGGGTATCAGGTGATCAAACCGCTTAAGTCACGGTGCACGTGATTGTAGTGTGTGACCCATTTGTTTTAGTGGTGACTATTGTGATGCGAAGGGTGTTTTGGAGATATGGTTTTAGAAGCTGGAAACTTTGTTTAATGACGTTTCCACACAAGGGGCGAAAGAATAAGGAAGAAATGCATAATGTGAGATAGGAGAAATATGCTACTCAAAGTTTGTTAAGGATCACCACCTTGAAATTGGGTGCATCCGTTGAAATAGCCAAAGACATTATAGCGTGAAGACATGTGTAATGAACAAAAGTCTGTTGTCATGTGCCACACAATGCCAGCAAACAACTTGTCACCAATTATCAGTCATCTTACCAAAACTTAAACGTCGAAAAGTCACAAAAACAAATTCATGGTCTGAAAAGAAAACTATCAGGAGTGCATATGTGATCCATTTGATGTGATCACAGCCTGCCACCATCACCTCATGCTCCCAATAAGTGTCTGGATGGTTGCCAAGGCAAGATTTTTCCACTCTTCACTGCCGAGTTCCTGCAGAGTTGCCAGAAGGAGAAGGCATCTTGACAATGTGATCTGCAGGTCATTCCACACATGTTCGATAGTGTTGAGGTCTGGTGACTGAGCTAGCCACTCCATGTATACCAAGGTTTCCTGCTGTATGTAGGCATCAATGACCATGGCATGATGAGGTCGTGTGTTATCATCCATGATGATGAAGTTTGTTCCGATTGCACCAGCATACGATCTCATGTACACATCCAGAATGTCATCCCTGTAGTGCACACCTGTCATCATGCCCACTGTAAGACATGGAGATCGGTTCTTCCAGTTCAACTGATCCCACCCCAAATCATGATTGAGCCCCCTACATAGTGGTCATGTTCGGATATGTTGGAATCCTGGAATCTTTCTCCTTATATACGCCACACTCGAGCACGACAATCTGTGAAGTCTAAGCTGTATCTCGATTCATCAGTGAAAAATATGGGAGCAGAGTCCTGATCTGTCCAATTGACGTCTTCAACCAAATCCAAATGTTCCTGCCTGTGATGTATGTCAGGTCAGTGGGAGGCGAATGCATGCCCTCAGTGACCAGAGACCAGCCTCATGGAGACGGTTACGCATGTCTGAGTAGAAATCTCTTTATGACACTGACATCCTGCAGGCCATTTCTGAGTGTGGTGGCAGTCACCAAGGGATGACATCTTGCAATCAGGAGAAACCTGTATTCCCTCTGTGTGTTGGAATGCTGTCAACCACCTGCATGTCGCTGGGTAGATGATCCAAACGTCTGGTGTAGATTCCATGCCCTGTTGATCACACTGTGGCTGACACCAAAGACATTTGCAACATGACATTGTGTTGACCCAGTTTCAAGCATGCCTGTGCATCTCCTTAAATTTTCGGTCGTCAAATGATATCTTTGATGTTGAGGGCATTCAGTTGTTGCAATCCTTCTAAGCAAATGTTGTGGTGCTCTCTGATAACGGTGTGAAACATTACTATCACGATACATCCTAATACAGGTTTTCAAGCACATGGTGTACATCGTGCATATGACTGCATGCCTCTGTTCGTTCATCACGAAATTGATTTGGGTTACCCAATCATATTGTCCCGGGATATTTCAATCTATATTTGTTGGATGATTTTTTTATATCACCAAAACTTAGCAAACTTTTAGTAGAAATGTAAATTTACAACTTGCTATCATTTCCAGTAAATGAATTAAATTCACCAATATTTATTTTAACAGTTATATTATTTCACTAAAATATATATGAATAAGCCTCCACAACCAGTGAATAACTTATGTTGTAAACAATTCACAAGAAATAATTTTCTCATAACTGAGAAATACACTTATATTTCAATCTGTCAAAATATTCCAGCCATTCACTATTCTTTTCAAGTAATTGTCCTCATCGTTCAAACTGTGAGCACCAGGGGGTGCTTCCATTCACAGGAATAGGACCAGGGAATTCATAGAAATGCTGAAATATTCAATTTTGAAAAGATTTTGCATGAACGAAAACCACTGACAAAAAAACATATTTCTATGCTTAAAAAATCATTGCCGCTCGAGTAATTGACAATATTTTAGGCTGAATGTGTTTGTTTGTTTTTGAAAATAAAAACATATCTTAAAATCTGTGACAAAATTAATAATATGTTAGAAAGCAGACAGCAAAGTCTACCAGATTGTTCTCTGATGTAAATAATAGTATGATTTTGATCTGCATTGGCCAACTGTCGTAGTTGTTTACAGTACCGGTATGTCATGGCTGTCTCGCATGTCTCATTTCAGCAAATGCCCGATAGTTGCAAAAAACATAAATCTAAAATGATTTTGTAGTTACAAGCATCATCCTTGTTTATAACATGTGCAAAATCTTAAATTGATACCTGTTGTTATTTACTCGTATTGAATATCTCACCTTCCAGAAGACAAAGGTCTCAAGGAGGAGGATGGCAACATTTAACTGATCGTGAGTCCTACCACACGCCTTGTACCACCTCAAACACTTTCCTACTGACTACGAGGCTGCAATGGTCTATTGCATTAGTGAGTGTGAGTTCATCTATAGATGCACACACTTTGGCTTCTGTGTGAAAATGCATTGCATGCATAATATGCTGTTACATGCATGATGTGAAACTTCATTGTGATTAGATGTTGCATTCAGATGCAACACCATGGTACTGTAAATTTACACCTCAATAACTGCTATATTCAAATCATTAGTTCCCTTATTTTTAGTCAGTAGTACAGAACTATGGATGGTCAGTCTCGCTGACTTGGTTGATGCATGTCATCGTATCCCAGCTGCGTAGATCGTTGCTGGTGAAGTCAATCACTGGATCGTCTGGTCCAGACTGGATTATGGACAGACCGCCTCATATAGCCGGAATATTGCTGAGAGCGACATAAAACAACAAACAAACAAACCACTAACATAAACTCATACTTGACAAAATGTAATATGTCACTTTGGTCCCGGTGAGTTGGAAAGAGGATTAATGTGTTCAGAGAGGATAACAGTACCAAGGACACACTTACAAACATATAACATAAAAAAATATAAAGATTATTACACAAGCATGTGTGTCATACTGATTTTACAAAATGAGTTTCCAGAGCAAGAGCGAGATACAGGAATTCTTACACAAGATTTGTAAAATCAGTTTGACACATATGCGAGTACAATAATTTCTTTATTACTATTATTTCTTAAACATTTTGAGCTCCCTTTTAGAAAAATGCACTGATATTGACAGCCCTCTATAGTCGAATGATGTCGACAATCTTCAGCTATGGTGTTGTGTGTAGTGTGACATGGGACATATGAAGCGATATTTGCAACAGTGCACATACAATTTTTATGAACTCAGTTATTTCTAACCTTATGTGTGATAAATGATGGTACTAACCTCCTTTAATGTCAACACATTTATTTAGGAGTACTTGAGCTCTACTCAGATAAACTTGGCATGCTTGGAGTTCTATCTCACGGACTTGAAGGATCTCTTCTACCCTTTTGTGGTCTTCATTTTCATGCCTTGACGCTGCCCAAAGCTCTTTGAAATTGTTCTTATTGGAAAGAAGCAGTTTCAATAGCCACACTGAGATATCTCCCTTTGACAAAAATGCAGCTATTTTGTCCAATAGAGAAGCAGCTTCCATGAGATGCTGTGAGCAGTCCTCATCCAATAACTCATAAGCCTGTGGATCACCAGCTACATCCCCAAATGGACAACAAAAATAGGTAAGAAAAGTAATGTAGATAACTCCAGATAATATAATAAAATATCTGAATCAAATGAAACATGACTATTATCAATTATTTTCTAAGTAGTGATGCAAATATGTTTTTGCAAGAACTTACAAATAATATTCCCATGGCATCATTGTAGCTCACTTGGACATGTAGTCACAAGAGTTGACCTCAACATTGACATTCTGCATAAATACTAATAACTAGTGCCAAAGTCTAATGATTTGAACTTAATATGATGTCATCTTAAGAAGAAGAAGCAATACTTCTTGCCTCTACAAAAAGTGCACTTGGCAGCAAACATCTGCAACATGGGAGTAAAAGGTAACCCCATTACAACATAAAAACCTGTACAAGACTAGTTATTTGTACTGTGATGTGATATCACTTGAAAAATCTACAATCATACAGCAAATAAGTTTCATGACTCAATAATATGAATACAAATGCAAGAAACACACTAAAATCACACTGTAAAGAAATCTATATGTGCCTCCCCTAACAAGGAAAAATGGTTGCCAACACGACCACAAAAGGATAGATTCTTCAAAAACTCAGATGAGATATCATCTCAGTGAAGAAGACAATAATAACATATAGGGGGATGTCTTTCAACATCAGATGTCAGGGAGGAAATGTTGGGCAAAACAGTTACTGAAGACGCTATTAGATCCTATCATTTCATCCTTTCAGTTAGGACTTCGTCAGTAAGAGCAATGTGCAATATGTTTTGTAGGATAAGTAAAAAATATATGTTTTTCAATAAGGCAAGAAGACAGCCAGGGTGATTTCTTGTAATGAGTACAACTCGGACATTGTAAAATGTAGAATCCTTAAATTTGTGAGAACGAAAAGGTTTAATGACTTACCAAAGCGAACAAAGTAACTGATCAGAGGCTTCCAAGTAATGATGTGACAGATCAACTTTTCTTCATTTTCTTCTTTTGGCCAGTACATCTTGAGATGTTTTGACACCATTTCACAGAATGCTTTGTCCATCTTGGTATCCCGTGCAAATTTGTCATCCCTCTGAAATTTGAAAGACAGATTTGAAAGGAAAGGCATTAATAAATGACACAGTTCTATTTTTTCAAATAATTTTTTTTATAAATTTTAACATTATTTTGGAACTTGTCATTTATTATAGGGGGAGGAGGTCATGAAAATGTGTTAAATGTATTCGGAGGGGAGGCCAAAAAAAAAAGGGTTACATGAAATGAAGGGGGGGGGGAGGGTCTGCAAAATGTGATACAATCCCACGACCAATCTCACTGATGTCACCCCTCCCATATTATAATATCACCAGTCCCTTGTTTGCGCATCAACAACATAACCTAGAAATATGAAATTGATAATTTATTACATAAAAACTTATGAGTCCTGGGGCCAATGCGGACCCAGAAGGAATATTTATGTCTTGGGGTAGTCCATGACCCGGATGAGGTATCTGCAATATCCTGGGGTTGTAGACCCAGATGTAGATGAAGGTTATGTCCTGGGGTCATATTACCCGGACAAGATGGGACGTACTGTCCTGGGGTTGTATTACCTGGACAAGATGGGATGTACTGTCCTGGGGTTGTATTACCCGGACAAGATGGGATGTACTGTCCTGGGGTCGTATTACCCGGACAAGATGGGATGTACTGTCCTGGGGTCGTATTACCCGGACGAGATGGGATGTACTGTCCTGGGGTTGTATGACCCGGACAAGATGGGATGTACTGTCCTGGGGTTGTATGACCCGGACGAGATGGGATGTACTGTCCTGGGGTTGTATGACCCGGACGAGATGGGATGTACTGTCCTGGGGTTGTATGACCCCGACGAGATGGGATGTACTGTCCTGGGGTTGTATGACCCGGACGAGATGGGATGTACTGTCCTGGGGTTGTATGACCCGGACGAGATGGGATGTACTGTCCTGGGGTTGTATGACCCGGACGAGATGGGATGTACTGTCCTGGGGTTGTATGACCCGGACGAGATGGGATGTACTGTCCTGGGGTTGTATGACCCGGACGAGATGGGATGTACTGTCCTGGGGTCGTATGACCCGGACGAGATGGGATGTACTGTCCTGGGGTTGTATGACCCGGACGAGATGGGATGTACTGTCCTGGGGTCGTATGACCCGGACGAGATGGGATGTACTGTCCTGGGGTTGTATGACCGGACGAGATGGGATTTAAACAAGTGCCCTTTCATCCAGTCACATGGCCCTTCTTTGGTTTCAAGTGGAAGGATAAGTATTAGTTCTACACTAGACTTGCTTTTGGTTGTCGTGTGTCCAGTGATATTCAATGCTCTTTCTCAAGCCTTGTGCTGGATTCTGGAGAACAATTACCAACTAAACTTTGTCCTACACCTACTAGATGATTTCCTGGCTCTAGACAGGCCTGACTGTAATGCGCAAGAGACCATGTACACCATTCAGGAAGTGTTCCACAAACTTGCGCATTACAGTCGGGCCTGTCTAGAGCAAGGAAATCATCTAGTAGGTGTAGGACAAAGTTTCGGTTGATAACGTCACCGTGTTGAACCATCTTGCACTTCTCAGACGATGGCTCTCTATAGCACAGTTTAAAGTATACAACTGCAGCAAAGTTTTCCTTGTCTATGCTATAGGAACATGAAAACCCATCAGTTAGTCGTTTGCGCAACTCGGCGAACGTAAGGTAGGCATCGTTGTCGCAGTTGGTCTAGGTCTTTGACATTGTTTCGTCCAGAATGGTTGACTTGATTTGTCTCCGGAAGTTGTGGAAGTGGAATGGTCACCCTAGTGATGCGGGTTGTACGCCGTTTGGAGCCTCGGGATTGTCCCGAAGACATGGTGGTGTCATCGAAAAAACTCATTCACAAAATGCGAATGGACAATAATAGGATTTAACCGAGGTTGCAGGATTACGAGTATGACTGCTTGAGAATTTAATTGCTGACTGGACGAAGTCAAAGGAGGAAGATGCAGTCCGTGACGTGGTTTATATGTGTGTTGTGACGTAGAAGGCTATGCATGCACAGAAGCACAACTGTGTTTATATACGGCATGTACAAGATAAACATGAAGGATTAGGAAACATGGCATTGTTATGGGCACAAACTAAAATACAAATTCTCATTTATCACTGACTGACTTCATTTGTAATTGAACTTCATCTGTCTCTCGTGAGGAAAAGTTATGTGATTATCGAGCTGGTTATCAAGGGTGGCTTCTCTTGGATAAGGTACTATCTAATTATCAAATGTGATCTTAAACTCTCCCATTAATCATCCAGAAACCAATCCATGACCTCCAACATACTTATCATAGACCAATTTGTAACTGGTTAACAAGCTTGATTTGTTTTTAAGGAAGGTCCATCTAATTGTTGATAAAAAAAACCCATTTAGTCAAGCAAACTACATCAATCATTCAAAATCATCATGATTTGAGTTTCTATACAATACTTTCATAAAGGAAGTTATTCAGAGATGTTCTTCTATTTTAGTATCATATCATTTAGTAGCTTGCTTTGATATAACTCTTGACCTTTCATATAGTCAAACACAGGCCATGTTTAGGATGTAATTCAGGTGAATATTCTATCATTGAATCTCAAGTTTCTTGGGGTATAAGGTCCAATGGTGAAATTAAAAATCAAAAGCATAAACATATATTTTAGTGATATCTGAGTGATAGGTATCCATGTGCATAAAGAACTTGATTAACACTTGATTTCTATTCAAATAAATCCTTACCTTCATTAGCATATCAAATGATTTGAATGCAGCAGTTGTCATCCTTTCTTGAAGAAGGCTGTTAACTGGTTCATGGATTTGCTCCCGATGAAGTTGTAGACAGTGCTCTGGCTTTAACTGGGAACAAACACACATAAATCAGTATGGAATACAGTGTTCCAAATTAAACATGAAAATCAACATAAACCTTAAGCAAAATGGTAATGTTTCAAGGGGTCCCCAAAGTCCCTATTTAATTTCTTCAGCATCCTAACCTCTTCAGGGAAGGGGAATAAGAAACAGTTGTGAATAGAAACCTGCACCAGGGCCTCTTCTGCGAGCACTTCTGCTCTGACCACCAATGACCTGGGCCTACTTGTACAAAGCGATCTTAGCGATAAGACTATTTTAAGCCTATGTTAAAGTATGGGAGTTACAATCATCTTAGCGCTAAGATCACTTTGTGCAAGTGGGTCCTGAAGTCTGGCATCTTCATGACTGTAATGAATGTTGTTAATTTTAACACTTTTGACTTTCTGTTTACCTCAGATAACACTTTCTCAAAAGCATCAAGGAGTGTCGATTTCCATTCCTCAGACAGCGCTGGTGAGTGAACTTGCAATTGAATCAGCTTATCCCACAGCTAAAACATATACAGATGGTTTGTTTAATTTCAACATGATCAAGGGTTACTTTACAGAACAGATCATAAGAATAGTGCAACAGTGATAAAGCTCACCTGGATATGAAGTTAATTATGTATACAATTTTGATAACAAATGCCCAATTAATTAATGGCTATGAAAAAACATCATTGGTGGGAACATGCATGGAAGTTTTCCTTTCATTAGTCTGGTGGCTTCTGATGATTACAGATGATGCCAACAACATATGTCAGGTGAGCTTAATATTGATTTGGATGTGTTCCACTTGAATGCAATCTAGAGCTACAAATAAGCAGCATATTTGCATAAAATGCCCCCCAAAATTTCAAAACCCAATTACTTTCAATTAACTTGCAGACAGAACCGCATGCACTAAATGAAAAACCCAAATGTATAAAAAAAAGCTTGTGCATATACCCAATAAGGATTTTGGAGCTAATTTCCAAAACACAATTACAAGCTAATTTACTTTCCGAGTCAAGCCTATATATTTAGAACAGTTATCATGGTTATATACATCTAAAACATTTTTCCATTTTGTTTAAATCTTAAAATGGGGGAAAATTCAATAGAATGATGAATAGATGAGTGAAAAAATATTGGTTACCCAAAATGTAATGTAATAACCCAATCAAAATAGAAGCCCTAGAGTAAAAACTCACTTGCTCAAAAAGTTATCTGGAGCTCTGGCCATCCATTAAATATTAATATGTTTGCATGCAGTAATGGAAACAGATTTATGAAGATTTATTTCATGAAAAAATTCAACTAATAACAAGCAAAGCATTTGCAAGTACTTACAACCAGATGACAAACCTGGATATGACACAGTGAGTTTAAATCTTACATAAGATCTAAGATATAATATACTTCCAGCCAAAACATTCATAATTATGAATGAATCTAAAGACATATACAAAACATTAACTTGATAGTCGTGAGTATGGAGTTCAGATACTCTAGCTTCGGTAGCCATGGCGAGTAAAATTGCTGCTTTTACGGGATTTTTGGAGGAGAGTAGCGTTTCCATGAGGTTCATATGGAGCGGCTGGTAGAGCAGACAGGACGACTGATAAATTCCATTTTGGGAAGATCCAGGGAATACGAATATCCTCTAGGCTGTCGTAGGTGTAAAAGGAAATCCGGTACCATGGCAATGTCAACTGTGACATTTGTTAGACCACATCTGTGTCTCCACTGGATGAATTTTTCCCATCTGTTGTCGTAAAGGTGAGCGAATGATGATCTACATGATCTTGCAACAGCAGAAGAGGCACCTTTGGAGAACCCGGAGGCCTGCATTCTCTGCAAGATACTTTCCAGGCAGTGAGATGGAGGCTGGGAAGATTGGTGTAAAATAGCCTAGACCTTGGCTGACGCAGGAGATCTTTTCAATGTGGAATGGGAAGCGGCTCATCCGTCAGGAGCAATAGTAGTCTGGGAAATCATGTCCTGCTTGGCCAGTTTGGAAGCAATGAGGATGACCATGCAATTGGTCCCTTTCAACTTCTGTATGACCTTGACTAGGACAGATCATGGAGGGAATGAGTAGACGAACAGGCCTGTCCAGTCCATGGATAGTGCATCTACCTGGAGAGCTCTCGGATCTGGAACTGGACTGACGTAGACCAGAAGTTGATGGTTGAGACAGGTCTCAAAGAGGTCCAGATGGGGGGGGGGTCCCCAACAGAGATTATCCAGGTAAAGACGTCTGGTTGAAGAGTCCACTCCGTGGGTATGATCCTCCCTCGCTGGGATAAGCTGTCCACTAGTATGTTCAGTTTGCCTGGAATATGTCTCGCTTCCATCCAGTGGTCGGTCGTAATGTGCATCCAGTTTTTGGCATATAACGAAAGACAGCATTATGTTAAATGGCGGAAGTTGTGTATCGTAATCCATAGACAAAGCCAGTCGATAGGATGTGCGATGCTTGGAGAGGGAAGAAACAAGTCATCTTCTATCCCTGCGACCTCCGGACTTTGCATTTGGGGTCTGAGTTACGAAAAGAGTCTGTCGATGGCGGGATGCTTGGTAGGATTCCTTTCTTGATGGGATGTACTTCTTACGAGGCAGTTCATGGAAGGAGGAATCCCTGGCCAGTTCCCGTGATCGTTTAGTAGTTGCCAAGTTGATTGTAGAGACTTGGAATCTCTCTGTCATGTCTTGTCGGACTTCATCCAAGATCGTGTCCAATTTGTTGTTAAACAGCGTCGATGAAGTAACTCACTGTGACATAACTGTCTGTTTAGCATGCTTGGAGACGGCCCGAGATCTGACTTGAGACAGGAGTTGTTGTCGCTGAAGTCATAGAAGCTGGGATGCAGTCCAGACTTGTGTGAATAACATGTCCTCTTGCATGCAGACAATCGCATCCAGCAAGCTGTAGATAAGTCCCACTTGGTCTGTTCGGATGGACATCTGGGTTTCTCCTGGGACATCATCAAAGAACGTTGGTAGAGGTGGGATTACGTGACGAATTCCGGTGATGAACCAATTCAGGTAAGTGCCAATGTCCATAGAGTACTTGTTAACGGTAGATAGGTCTTTGACTCGGCCAGCCAGGAGAGAGAGTTTGGTGTTAGGCGTCTTCACCAATTTGATAAACCCGTCATCCAATGGTTGTGTTTCCAGATGACGAATGAGTCTGGTAGCTTCTTCCTCATAGTCGGGAGGGGAAGTCAGTCATCATGACTGAGCATCTGCATCGTCTCGTTCATCTGGTCAAGCATCCTGGTGGTATAACTTGGCCACGGTAGAGTATAGTGAATATGAGCATGGCATCCAGCATATTCAGGCATTTCCGGAGGAGGCGGCTTTTCCGTCCGTGGCTGTGTAGTCGGCATGAAATGGTAGATGGCATCTATCATGTCCATGAATGATAGCGCTTGCCCATATTCCTGTTGAGGTGATGTGGCCGGTTGATCGGGGACCTCTCCGTCATCAGACACCAGTCCATGGGTTTATATCAGAGAGTCTCATCGTCAAATGGGGTTCATGATTCTGGTAGGATTAGCTGACGCACTAACTGGCCTGGTAACGTGAAGAATCTGCTCACTCCTCTTACCGTCCGTGGTCCGTGTGGGAACTGTTGGCTTGTCTAGCCACTCCGTGCAGGAGTCATGTGGTGACTGGCTTGATCTGGTAACGGTAGCTGTGGCTTCAGGTCGGCCCGTGCAGTCCGTGTGGGAGCAGTACGGGATCTTCGGTGACTCGGCTGGTTGGGTCTGAGAGGGTAAGGCGTGCTTGCTACTACCCTGCTGTTCATCAGGAAGTTGTGATCTGGACATGCTGGTCATTGTTGCGGATGACTTAGGCTTGGTAGACTGCTTAACCCAATGTGGCCCCGAGACTCCTCTGTGCATAAGGCTTCCCTGCACTTCTAGCAGAAGTTGTGGGGATCGCCAGTGACCTTAAACTGACCATACTTCTGACATGTCAGCGGAGAATTGGAGGACGCCATAATATGAGAAAACCAGGGGTTCGGAAACGGTCATATGCACCGGACATGTCCGATTGGGAATCTCAAATGTCCAGTTTAAAATATAGACTTGAGATTTAAATTTTTCTGTCCGGACATTCTAAAAAACAAACAACGCTACCTTCAGGGTCCAAATAATTGATGAGCGTTATCGTATCCCTACAGCGAATTCAGGTGAATAAACAGGTCTAACAAACCTGGTCAATAAAAGTATGAAATTTGACATAAAACATCACTAGACATGATGATTTACCATTTAAAACGTATTTCCTGCTCTCCAAGGCATTGTTTTACATGCAGAGATTTAGATTACCGTGTGTATTTTCTCGTAAACTTAACCAGAAATAGCAATCAGCTGTGCACACGTTTCCACCCAATCTACCCATGATTCAGTTAAAAGGTACCCAATGATACAACTTCAAAGAATTTTGATGCAATGGTCGTAAGAAATTGTATCTGAAATTATTATTTTATCAGGAATAATATATTCCAATATCTTGTTATTTTAGTTGCAGCTTCCACCATATATACTTAAAATTATAAGAACCATAAGCGTAGTACTTTGGTACAGATGGTATGCAGAATTCTTTTTTACGTATGGAACGATTTTGACCAGTCACCATAGGGACTTCCCGCGCTACATGTATTTCAATTGCGAAAACGTTATGTGGACATTCAATAGTCAAACTGCCTCAAATATGACTTTTAGCGAGTCATGGTATGGCATTTATGATATGTGTATCCATTCTCTTGCAACTAAAGTTCGTTTCAAGGTGTCAATAGCGGTAATCTGACTGTGGTTGCTGTAAATAACGGTGAGTTGTGCAATCTACCGACCACATCGTATACAACTTTGCCGAAATTATTGTAAACATTATTATAATTATTGAATGAAATATTGAATAAAATTAATCAAATATACTGCAAACTCTAGTCCAGATAAACAATGAACGTTATTGTTTATTACCAGATATTATTATGATAGGATTAAATTGCGTTCTTCAGTTCGGATTTGTTGACTGGTATTTCCGGTGTTACGTGATTGCGGTGATCAGCTGATAATGTTTTCTGAGATAGGGGAAAAACATTGTGTCATTGGAAAACTTGAGTTTATTAAAAATGTTAGTAATTTTTGGGAGCCATGCTTTACCTCGCGCTATAACCGAAGCGCACAATAATGAGGGAACACTGTACGAAACAACTTGTAATGTATGTGAAAAGTCGTTAAAAAATAGGCTATTTGAAGGGGGCGTGGCCTAAATGCAAATGTCCGATTGGGATTTTAAATTTACCGGACCCCTGGTGAAAACACACACAAAAAACAACCCCAGTATACCTACGTATCCAGCCAGATCATACCATATAATCTGGTATTTCTGAAGAAATTAGCTTATCCTTGTTACTACATATACCAAGTGCTAGAGCAAAAACAAAAACCAGGTGTTGTCTCTAGCACACACAGGAAAGAAGTGACGTTTTTCCCACCTTTACGCACAGAAGAGCTGGTGAGCTAGATGTGCTATTAGGGAAACAACTAGTTGTGTATAGTTGACAGTGAAGAGGACCTCTGTTGAAAATCTGAAGATTTTGTTATAGTGTGTCTGCAGCCAAAATACAGGATTTATGGCTATGATGTAATAGAGGTAGAGGATTCGCAGGAAGGCTATTTTTAGGCTTTAATACACATTAGTCCTAACTAGTAATTATAAACCTGGTGCTATGTCCAGAAAGCAAATTCCACTTCAACATATCTAAAAAAGAAAGTATGTGGGTAGTGGTTGTCATTTCTGACAAAATCTTACAGCATCCCCATTTACATGTGTCACAGTCATTTGTTCCTCAATAAAAATTTAACATACTAAACACCAAACAAACACATATCTCACCTTAACATAGTAGCTGAAACGTGAGGTATGCAACCTTGAAAAGTAGTTTTTCATCCATGAAATAATCTTTTTCAGCATATCTTCAAGCAAAATATTCATGCTATTTTTCGCTTCTTCCACCTGAGATCTTTGGCTACTGTTCTGTTCGTCATTGTGACCCTCACAGACATAGATACTTGATGCAAATACATCAACAGCTGCAACCAGTAATCGGGTTGACTGAAAGGTATCGTCCAAACAAACATTGAGAAGGTCTGCTGCTATTTTCATACACATATATCTGTGTTCTGTGCAGTCCAGAAGTGTTTCTCTGTAAAAAAGGAACCAAAAATAGAAAACAAGGAACCTTGGATTGGAGTTTTAGATTGTGATTGTGAACCGACAGTCAATGAAATCAAGGCTCCTGTCATCAATGCTTCACAGGTAGAGGTGTAATGATACAGTTAGGTTGCGATACGATACATATCCCCAAAATACAGGCGCCACACGATTCAAATCCCAATACAGTACTCTTATTTTATAGTTGATATTTCTTATTTTTGCAGGTGAATCACAAACCTGAATCATATGTTAATAAATCTCAGTGATCGAAGATGGGATATTAAAGGGCAGAAAGATATAGGCTAGAGGGCACTGTGAATGTTATGCAATTTATAGCCAACCAGGAAACACAAGAGAATCTGTGTAAGCTGGTTGTGGAACAGTTTGGTTTAGCATTTTAAAATCTGTTATTATTCACATGTTTTTACACCAGTCTAACTTGTTATGTAAAGTATTGTATGCATCACGATTGTTGTATTGTGTCGTGGATCAGATGGGAACACATACAGACACTTTATGGTATAATAGTGACACATCTTTATTATCAGTCAGTTAATGAAATGAGGCCATGTATAAATGAACCGTGCATGAATTTTCTCCAAAACCTTTCAGAACCTGATATTGAAACAATGTGTAGTGAAGAGGCCACAAGGCTAAAGCCAATGTAATTGGTCTGTGCACTTGCTGGTTTTACTCTCACTGGAACCAGGCTATAGTGTAGTCAGCTGCTTAAAAATAGAAACATCATCACAAAGTGGCTTTATATATTCACCAGAGATTGTGTGGTGGTGGTGGGGTCAAGGGAGAGAAGTATACAACCTCATGATGATGAGCTCAATTTGAAGGTGTTCTGATTTGCAACTGTGTTAAATCAAGCCAAAATGAGTTTGACAGCTGACTAATCTGGCTGCATGGATATCAAACCTGGCCTGTCTTTATGTACAGAGCTTAAACTTATCATAACTGATTTAACCTATGAGTTTATATCATAATGTACGGCTAGTATCATTCGTAAAAGCAGGTCTATACAGCTTAGGATCATTCATAAAACCAGGTCAAAAGCTGAAGGAATACTTGCACAGGGTTTCTCTTGCCTAAATACCATTAAATAAATAAATAATATTATTTAACCTGTGGATGAAAGTCTTCTTGCACCTTCCTCCGAATACTTCTTTGAATTTTTTTGACACTTCCAGCAAGCAATCAGCCAGGTACTGAAATCAGAAATGCATCGATGTAAGCAACCCTTATGATGATACACATTTCATTCACTCTTTGCATCATAGATTTTAGTATGGATCATTATTAGCTAAAGTTACTAAACAGAACAAAAACAAGTATCATTGTTAATACTTCTAAGAATACTTTCTCCATTACATCATTGCCATAATCCTGTATTATGGTTGTCATTACACTATAAATATCTCAAGATTTTCAACAGAAATCCTCTTCATGGTCAGCCTTAGAATTATTAACAATGACAGCTATATTTATATAATTCCTACAAATACAAAACCATTATTACATTACTGCCAGAAGATACCTGACTGGGGGTTCTGAGATCTATTAATACCCTGGATAGTTAACAGTTTACTGAATTGAAGGTGAGGTGAGGTGACATGGGGATTTACGTTGCGTTCAAGATTATTGCACATGTATGTGTGGCTGTAAGTACTAGTTGGGACTAATGTCGATTTTATAGTGCCAGCCCACTGAGACACCATGCCGCAGTTTAACATGATTACTTCACTAAGACACAGTATACTGACTCTGAGCCGACTAGTCCTTGTTTTAGCCCCTTAATGTTGAGCACTAGGTGGTGACAAGTACCATCTTTTAACATCTTTTCGTATAACGTGGCCAGGGACTGGACCCACGACCTTACACTCTCTGGACAGACACTCTATTCACTCAACCATGGAGGTAGTCATGAAACATGACCTAAACCTCCGTGGTTACTTCTTTTTCTTCTGACTCAGAACTTTTGGGGTACCTAAAGGTTCCAAACAACACCATTCTAGTTGTTTTGACCAATATTAGGTGTACATCATTCTGAAATCTCCTTAAAAGACCTGATTTTCGGAATAATGTCAAGGACATTTGCAAATATGTGGTAATCTTCACTAGAACTACCGTTATATATGTGGCATCCAAAACCCTACTTTGTGACATCATCAACATTTCAGTAAACCTACACTTATTAACTCCTGGATACATTCACATGGTTCTTGCGATCACAAATTGCCCGCCTTTGATTTTTAGTAACACTTTACCAACCAATCAAACATTGACATAAAGGCTAAGGAAACCATATACCGATGGATGGGCTTTGGGCCTAGTTGGAGACCGGTCACTGCTGCGCAAGACCAAGCAGCACTTTCACGCGAGACTGCAAGATTCGAGGTTTTCGTGAATTGACTAATCAGTTATTAACCTAATTCAACACTATTCATAAATGTTGATGTATGTTGATTTTCTTGATTTGTCAAAGAGCATGTATAACATATAAGTAACTATATGTATATGTTGACATTCTTGCGAATCAACGAAAAGAAACATCATACCACATCACATTGTTCTATCGTACAAAAAGAAAAGGGCAGCCTCCAGAAATTCACAATTTATCCATTTTCCAGTATCAATTATTCCATTTAATATGAAACATAGTCCTTAGTTCTTCGAGTCCATCAGAAGATTTATTACATTTCTTTGTAGTGGCATAATTGTTTTCATTATTTATTTGGGTGTTTTGTGAAGGACGTTCATCAGAAAGTATCACAAAAATTATAACCTCATTACTTTTTGTTGACCACACTTCATTATTCTACATCTAACAGTACATGTATCTCGGTTAAACATCGTTATAAGTAACTAAAAATAGATTTTAACATTTCAACATTATTTTGTGCATGCAGCCTTGATATAAAAGAAATATTTTTAAAGTTTCTTTCTGATTTTTTTGCGAATATTAGAAAACACATTGAATATTTCAATATAATTGTCTTGAGATAGTGATTGCTGAAATTTACATTTTAAAGATGTAATGTTTGGATTACTTTCTCTGCTGAACGACAGATAGATTTGATGTAATAATTTACTCATTTTCAAAATAATCAAAACAATTTTTTAATAAGAACTAATTCAGATATCAAATAACAAAATTAATTTTTGGTTTAAATACAAAAATAATTTTTTAACAACTTGACCAAAATATATTTGTCGTTAAATAATGATGATTTTTTCCCCTGTTTCTATTACTTTTTTGTTGTCGTACATGAGGCCACAATTAATTCCTAACCAGATTCTCATCAAACTTTCCACACGGGTACAATGTGTGAAGGCCCAGCCGTGATATTGCTGGAATATTGCTTAAAGTGACGTAAAACCATACTAACTCACTCACTCATCAAACTATTGAGAAAAAATGAGGCGGGAGGCATTTGACTAGTATGCATGTTAATACTGTTATTACACTATCTTGTTATAAAGAGTGTTCATTGTCTACCTGGACTTACGTTTGTTATCTATTTTATTAATTTTATTCAAAACTTCATTCATTACTGTTTACATTAATTTTGGCGAAGTTGTGCGTTAACTGATCGGCAGATCGTTATAACTCGCTGTTATTTACAGCAACGATGGTCAGATTACAGCTATTGGCACTTTGAAACTAATATTAGTTGACAGAGAATTATGCGAATCGCAGGTAGGATCTAACAGTGACCCGCCAAACTGTTACATACGTAAAACAATTCTGGCTGTACATCAAAGTACTACGCTTATGGTTATTATTAATAATTCATATCATAAATTTACAAGGCTGCAACTAAAGTAACCCGATATTGGAATACATTGTATACCATTGCTGGAAAAATAATAGTTTCAGATACAATTTCTTCCTATCATTGCATCGAAACAGCTTCAAGTTATATTATTGGTATTTTTTAACAGAGTCACTGGTAGATCCGAGAGAAAATGTGTGTACTTAAGAACTGACTTTCCCTTTCCCTGTGAACGTCATGTGACTGACCCCTTGACAAGTGGAAAAGCAATATATTGTGAAAACTTCAAATTAAAAACACACAAATTTCACTGGTTAATGCATAAATGGGTGATGACAAGAAAACACCTACCCACATTGGCCGTTTGACAACAAGGATGTAAGTTTTCATGGTAATAAATATCTATCAAACGATTCCAAGACTTTTCAACAAACATTTTTGGTTTTTGGTTTCAAATCCCACCTGCCATGTTGTCTCTACATCTTCTTAAAATGTATTACTGTGGAATGTCCATGATTTATGTTTTTATTCCAGTCCAACACACAATTTAGTTCTGCACTATTCTCTGGACAAGAACCAAATATGTTTGTCTTGATGAAAAAGAGCAGTGTTTATGAATAAAACACCACAATATGTAATAAGGCACCAAACGTTATCCTTTGGTGTATGGTATAGTTGAAGTTAATGCATAACATTTCTCACAATACACATGGCAATCGGTGATTTTAACAGTTTTTGTTTTTTTCATTGTGTTCATCTTGCGTTCATCTGGATTCTGGAATCTAAAACGATCGTATAAACCATGGTAGTGGTCAAAGATAATTTCAAGTGATGAAAGTAGTTTTTTGTCATTTCTGTCACGTTTTCATTGCCCAGTAGGAACGTGTTTTGGCAAAGTCACACTTGTCCTAAAGTTCCTCATGCCGAAGTCACTTGATCTGTGAAACTTTGAGGGTATTGGTGACCCAGTGACCCAGATTCCCTGTTGATATGGACCACCAAGTGTCACTTGCATAAGACCATCCATATGTTTAGTATGTGTTTCCAACCTCAAACCTCAACTAACTACAGAGCAGGTAGACAAAATAAAAATTATTGTGTAAGCTAGTTTGTGACATTCTAAAAAAAAGTTTATAACACTTGGTACTTGAATCTAGACGATAAATTAATTTATGAAGTAGATCCAGTTGCTTTGTTTCTGAAACTAATTTTTAATAAACAAGTTAAGAAAAATAAAGCTGACCTGTTTTTTTTAGGACAGGGCAATATGGTAGATCTAGATCTATTAGAATTTGTTTTACTACATCAGCGGATAATTTTCCTGAGCGGCAGGAAAAATTGAGACACGAAAACCTTGTATTATTTCACATTGGAATGAAGATAAAACATGGACCCCCTCACAGACTTTGTTCAGATAAATATATTTGTTCAAACTAAGTCTGTCATGTGCATGTATTTCAACATTATTTTCATCAAGATTATTCAGGTTGCTGGCAACAGGGATCATCCTCTGCATGAACACATTTTTTGGTCTCGTAGCTCAAAGAAACAATGTCGCTCTCTGATGCATGTTTTCTCAATCCATGATGAGCATCTGTCATAATGTCAATGCCTCAACAATCTTCCTGGTCAATTATTTCAACAATGTAATACACACAGCCGATTTCATGGTGTCATCACAAGATTCCTGTGAAATACCCACCAATGATGATCAAGGTCTTCATGTTGAAAATGAGCCAAACCAGCAACCACACTGATGGCATTCTATAGCATGTTTCCCCAGTAACATATCTATACTGTCTCAGAGGATCAGGAGCATACACCCAGGGAAGTTGTCGTCAGTGGTGTGGTGGTAAGGGGTAATTGATATCCGGTCTGGAGCAGCTGTGTGATGAAGGGGTCGTCTAGAAGAGCTCAATTGTCTGCAAACAGACCAAGCCTTCCACCTATGTCGATTAGGGGCTTTATTGGAGGCAGAAGTTCCCAGTCGTCCTTGAGTAGAGACAAGTAACTTGCTGTTTGAGTCGTCCCCTCGGGCAGACTCACCGGTGTCCTTTGGACTTCGAAGGAGTACAGGATCAACTATGTGAACGACAATCCCGCCAAGGTAGAGTCGGAGATGAATGATGATCAGCTGGGGAAGATTGGCGGCGGCCCTCTCGGCGAAGTCAAGTAATCTGGGGATCATGAGCTGGGGATAACGAGCCAGTGAGCAACTGTATCCAGTATAAGTGTGGAAGTCTGGATAAGACGATGCATATGGATATCCTTGCCAGGAAGGATAAGGGTCAATGTGAGTGTGAGAACCTTCCCATCCCCAGGGGTGGTCTGAATAAGGGCCCCTAAGAGTCGTGACAAATGATGTTATGGTAGGATTCTGTGTAGCTAAAAGAAGGTACCAGAGGAGCGGTCAACCCAGTCTGAATAGCCATCTCCATGATGAGTAGAGGCAGAACAAGACTACTGGGTAACATTAATGTGGGATCACCGATCCTTGGAAAGTTGATTGTGGGAGCGCTTAACCCTGGGAGCAGTCAACCCATCCTGAATATCGACCGTGAGAGTGAGAGCGTCGATCCCAGCCATTCAAACCTGAATGCCAATCGTGGGAGTACAGAGCCTTAGAGCGGTGACCGGAAGAGTGTCGATCTTGGAAATAGGTGGAGGAGTCCATTTGTTGAACCTTAATTGGAACCATGATCCCAAGGAGAGTGATCAGTAGAGTGGAAAGTAGTTGATCGGGCTGCTTGAGGACTGTAAGCCATAAGTGAGGAGGGAGACAGTAAGCCTTGGGGATTGGAAGGAGTGATCGGGGGAGGATCACGAATGGCGGTAGAGGAGTTACAGCGATCGTCCAAATGTGATGCCAAAAATGGCGTAGATAAACTGGCATCAGAGGGAGTGGTGGCAAGGACCATCCGGGTATGTGAGGTTACCAGCACCATTGTGATAGACAATGACCTACGCTGATCTGCAATATTTTCTGAATACGGTGTTAGCGTTGGGCGTCTCAACGTGCGTGATTCCCGTGCACCCTTTCGAATTGAGTTGATTGGTTCAACTGTGTCATATGGCCCTGCGACGCAGGGGTAGCATTATGCACATGGCTGTTTCAATGAATGCTCGTTCCACTCATGACGAACAGGTCTGGTTGTTGATGAAATATAGTGATAGCTAAATAGACAGATTTTTTATTCATGCCCCGATTGTCTTTAAATGTAATATAATGTTATGTATGACTGTTTAATAATCTCATACCAACTTTGACTGGAGTAGGTCCGATAGTTTTTTCAGATATTGTAGTAAACGTCGGTACCTTAAATTACCTTCCAGACTATAGGTATGTCTACATTTCAAACATGCTTGGCGCAGAATATGTCGCTTTTTCCTTCTTCTTTCCTATTCCCCTAAGAATGGTATAAAAACGGCTACACTAAGATAGGAAATCCGTTGAGAAAAATATATATTCACTATCGACAAACATGTCACAACTGTGTGGTATAAGAAAGGGAATGAAATGACAGATACAGGAGGCAAGTGATCAGGTCGAGTAGGTCCCTATGCACAGGATTTGTTGCATGACCCATTTGTTTGGGTGTTGACCATGGTGATGCTGGGATATGTGTTTGGGGGAAATGTTCTTTAGAAGCTGAAAACTCTGTTCAAGCACATTTCCACATACGATCGATGAAGAAAGAAGAAATGCATGTTGTGAGATAGGATAAGTTTAAAAATTAACCATTACTCATGTGATTATTTATATTTTAAATATATATAATAAAAGCAGAAAGTATATAATAAGATATTCAATGTATCATTCCTTGTACAATAATAGTTTCAGATATAATTTTGTTCAATCAATGCATTCAAGTTCTTCTCTTATATTTTTTACTGGACATTTTTCAACTGAAGATCACTGGAGAATTTTTTTGTACAGATTTGTAATTTCCAGCTTATAAACATACATAGTCATATGGGAAAATCTGGGACACTTTTTCAAAGTGCATGTCCAAGAAATTATTTATCTGCAAGACAATGACAACACAAAACTGAGCTAACAATAGATATGAAGTAAAAAAATTACCTGCTTTGCATCATGACCCAAAAAGCAGCCACTAGATTTAATGTAGAAGTAAAGAGTTGCTGTGCATATCTCAGGTGGAACTATTTGCAGATCTAAAACCTTTCTCAGATTGCATTGAGATACACAAGCCATGAGTGTCCTTGGGAGGAGGAAGTCTGCATCAAAGCAGGGAGACAAAGCACGGAATACCTCTTCAACAGGTCTGAAAAACAAATGATCTTCCAATTAAACTCTGCAAGCATGAACACATACAACTAAGTTTGAAATTTAAAGTTGTATGTATTTTGTAAGTTTTTGTAAGACTTTTTAAGAAATAAATATATGTGTTCATCAGGGAATCAAACTGAAAATGCTGACATCAAACAGCTTTTTAGTTTGATCTTATCCAGTCTGTGGCAAAAACTAGCCTGAAATTGACTCTTTACACTACAATATAGCCTAAAATTGGCCTTGTGAAAAAGTATGGCACAATCTAAATGGTAAAAATATATCTTTTCATTAAACAAGAATTATGTACTGTACTTCAGCTCAGATAGTTCACTTTAAGTATGGCATATGCACATCACAACATATTAGCAGCCTGAAGTGTTACAATACGTTACCACAGTGTTCATTCTTGTCACATAGAAATAGGATTCTTTGCTCCTGCCCAAGACAAAAAAGTTTTTCATTTTCAAAAGATGCTAAGGAACCAAAGATAACCACTTTTCCAAGAACAAATGTCAGTCAGAGGCAATGCATTAGTTTGTTCATCAACTTGCAGTTCAGAATCCTGATTTGACCGTTACTCAACGAAGTTATAATAGCATGTTGATATAAGTGAATGTTGATGAGAAAAGAGCATGTTACATACAATATGAGAATTCTCAATTGGAAATCATACGCCCTACTGCCCCACATAGGTGAAATTTCTTACATTATAATTGAAATAGTCGTTACTCCAGTCTAGAATGTACACTGGATTATGGGATACTGTAAAATCTTACAATATCGCTATCTCAACTTGTCAAATCAGGCCACAAATACCCCGGTACACGAAATCGTGAGAATGTGAGAATGCAACATTTTATTTTCTTGCGTGTAAGACGCTGTTCGGAGACATGCATAAAATCATAAGGTCAAGGTGCATGCGCACCTTATTAGTCCTGTAGTCATGGTTCTTTCAAGTAGCATTTAGCAAAATTATGACTTAGCTTGACCAGAGACCATAAAATTATAAAAATATTTATTTTATGGTCTCTTGTTTGAAAATGCTATGTAATTTACATTCACAAAGTCCTATGTAGTGTATATAAGTCCTCTCCCATTGTTAAGGTTTCTATGTACACATGTACTTTAAACTAAAACCCTCAACAGGCTCAACATACTTTAGCAAAAGATATTGTGTACATAAATGTCCAAAGATAATGAAAACATCCAAGTGTCTGGAAGCTTGAAAAAAAATATCACCGTCAGTTAATGAGTAAATATTGCTTAAAGCCGCATCAGCAGTATTGCCGCTTTTCGTGGCTACACCATTATTCATAGACTTCTTATATGGGTTTTAATTTAAAGTGTGTACAAAACTGTAACAATGGGAGAGGACTTGTTTACATTAAATTAGACTTTGGGTGTAAATTACACATAGCATTTTCAAGCTAAGACATAATCTTCCTAAATGTTACTTGGAAAATGAAGAGCATGAAAGCAGCATTACCATATGACTAGTAAGGTGAGCATGTGCCTTGACCTTATGATATTATGCATGTGCAAGGACAGCATCTAAAACATGAGTTTTTGTGGCCTGATTTGACAAGTCACGATGGCACTATTGCTGGATTTTCATCATGTTCAAATGTTGCATTCTTGTGTTGTCAACTTTTGACAAAATGTGCTATGTACAAAACACGCGAGAATGCGTGTACACAAGATTTTGGCCAAATCTAGGGACCTTGCACTTTTGGCATATTTAGCTCGTTTTCAAAGGCCAAGATCACAAGCTTGTCCCTTACAGCATTCCATACTGGATACATGATGTGATGTACATATCAACAAGCAGATGTTGGATGCCGATAGAAAAAATATATACAATTTTCCATTAAATTTTATATTTATATACTTATCCTATCTAACACTATGCATTTCTTCCTTCTCTTTTCCATCCTTGAGTGGAAATGTTTCAAACAAAGTTTCCAGCCTCTAAAATCCATTTTGCCCGAACACTCCTTGTATCACCATCGGCATCACCCCAACAAATAGGTCACCCACTAAATTAGTGTACCGTGACCCAGGAGATTTGATCGTCTGACACCCTATGCCAGTAGGAAGCGGCTAGTGAAATGATACTCAGTGCTTTTGTAAACTACAGATGCATGTGTTGTTGTAGTTGACAAGGGAGGTTGGAGTAGCATGTTAATCTAACAGTATAGACTGATGAGCATATGTCTGGATTGCTCAGTTTATTGTAAGCAACTTGATGAGATGTGGCACTGAGAGACAATATGAAATTAAGAAAGATGGAGAGGGATTATTTGTTTAATGATGTACTACATGTGGAAGTGAATTCAAGAAATATGTGCCCTCAACATCCGTGAGATATACACAAGGAAGCTGGTGCTAAGCATGCTTAAATAAAATTATAGTCGCACTATAGTGTTGGAAAGACATGGACTTGTGAGTAGGTTGAACACTTTATAAGTGTGAAGACCCCTTTACACTACTAGGACACAACATCAGGAATCGGATATAACTTTCATTGTGTGCTTTTGCATAGGACATCGTTTCAAGAATGACAGTTTGGCTTTAATTAGGGAACATTTTCCACTACGGCATTGCCAAATCGGAAGGAGTCCAACCAGACCAAAACTCTAAGACATAAGGCTGATCAGCTTGGCATCTCTTTTCATGCTTCATTGAAGCTATCAATCATGCCCACGGGCATGCTAAGATGAGAAGAGGGAACAATTGACAACTTCTATAAGAGGATCATCAAACCAATACTGAATCACCAGGCAAAGGTGAGCAGCTAAGGGCTTGGGACACCGCCAAAACGGCTGCGCCTTATGGTGACTTCAATGCTGAAGACCAAAGTCTCTACAGACGAGTGTAGACACTCTCCAAGGAGTACTCAATCTGGGAACCCAAAGTGTACTAATAATAAATGAAAGAGTGGCTTTCAACCCTTTATTTAGGATGTAAAAGGTACAAAGTATGAGTCTGTGGTAGCAGGTATGCGTATCTACTATCTGCTTTGATGAGGTGTCGTTAGTTGTTGTGCCAGGCCCAGAGGACCATATTGGTGGAGGCCTTGGACATTTGTAACGGAAATGTCACGTAGATAATGGGAATCGAAGACTGTATCTGTCTTCCAAAACATCTCTCCATGATGGTGTTGAGGGTGCAGTTACTGTGCAATGCCATCGTTGAGGCTACAGCTCTCGTCTCAAGAAGGTTAGATGTCTGAGGAGGAGGCAAGCTGGCAAAGGTGTAGGCACAGAGGATCGTTGAACGTAACTAGAAGGAGACCGTGGTACAGGAGATCCCAGAGTTGACCGATGAAGACAAAGGAATGAAGAGCCTCAGTGGAGAGTAGATGAAGCCTGAAAGTAGATGCGGAGTGGTCTGACCGGGCATAATGAATTGTCTTCATGGTCCCCTGGGTTTAGGATCGAAGAAAGGGATGGGATAGTGAACAATCAATCTGGTTGACTTGGAAGCTGATTCACTGTCACAGTGAAGGCCAAGATGAACCTTGCTGTGACGACGCCTCGCACAACAAACTCTGTTGACGTCCAGTACATGTATCTTGCTGACTCTAGCAGCTGTTGCTAGAGCCAGGAAGATGACTGTCTCCAGGGTGATGTGTCATAAATCCTTTTCATCCAAAGGCTCAAAGTCTGCTGACGTGAAGTGGCGGAGAAAGACATTCAGGTCACAGGTAGATGGGCGAAATCTGGACAATTGGTCAGCAAGTTTGTAAGAGCCATTAGGGCCTGGAGTTATATTCATGCAAGTCATGGTAGCATTGACTGAGTTTATAGCCACTAGATACCTTCACCTTCCTGGTAGATCAGAGATGATGAAGGTATTCAGCAACTTGTTGCAGTGAAGCAGTGGTAAGTTAGGTAATGTCCCGGCCGCTACAACATCCTTCAAAGGCCTTCCATTTATGACCGTACAGAGCCACAGCGGAGGTACGATGAGCTTCAGTGATGGTCTTAGCCACTCTTCTCAAATAACCCTAGACCACTAGGGTGAGATGAGGTGAAATTGGGTTTAACGTCGCGTGGCCACTAGGGACTTCTGGAGATGAACCAGACGCATATATGGAGGTTTCCGGCAACAGGTGCAGCAGGATGGAGTGAGGCTGAAGCAGAAGGTCCCTTCACACCAGAAGCAGATGGTATCTTCAGCTTGTGAGGTTTACCGGAGTGGTGAACCAACTGCAAGCTGGACTATAGGGTGAGACCAAAGGCAGATGTGTCCTGGCTACAATCTTTTGAAGTAGCTGAGGTAGAAGGATTGTCGAGGGAAATGCATAGGCGATTCTCCCACGATGTGGCACAAGCATTATGCTCCCAAGCCTTTTGATCTGGGATGGGGGAGACAAACCAAAGAGGTTGACATCTGTGCAAAGGTAAAGGCATCAAATCCACCTAAAAAAATCATCGAATGTAGACACCATTCCATCAGGGATGGTTGATCCTAACGAGATAAGGAGTCTGTATAACGTTGTTGATCCCCAGAATGTGTCTTACTCAGATTTGAATTCCCAGAGAGTAGACCAACTGGAAGAATTCCATTGCCAGAGACAGAAGGGATGCTGACTTGGTGGAGTCAATATGTTGATATACCAAACGACTGAAATGTTGTCTGACTGGATCATGAGATGTGATGTCCAATGAAAAGCTGCCAGAATGACCGCGTTGAACTAGAGGTTGTTGATATGGAGGGTCGTTTCGACTGTGGACAAGCACCCTGCCACTTGAAGATTCTTTAGGTGAGCTCCCTAACCCATCATTGATGCATCCACGAACAAATGTTGAGTTGGGATGAATGGTTGGTTGGTTGGTTTGTTGTTTAATGCCACACTCAGCAATATTCCAGCTATATGACGGCGGTCTGTAAATAATCAAGTCTGGACCAGACAATCCAGTGATTGATATCATGAGCATCGATCCACGCAATTGGGATCGATGACATGCATCAACCAAGTCAGCAAGT